ACAGAAGGGCAAGAACAAGAAGATGTCCAACATCCTGCCTCGGGAGCTCCAGAACAAAGGGTGTGTCGGTGTTGATGAGCACAACCGGCGCATGTGCTTCAACTTCAACCTTGGAAAGTGCCAAGAGGTTGCAAATGGAGCCGAGTGCAGCAAGGGGTGGCATCTATGTATGAAGAAGGGTTGCCATGCACCCCATAGCGTGGCTGACCATGACAAGAGCAAGGGCAAGGCTTGACGGTTTCCACGCGTCGCGCAACTTCTTGAGCGCGGCGCTTCAATAGAGGATTGCTTAGTTGTAGAGATATTCGCTGGCAGCGGCCGTGTCACAGCCTGTCTAAGACAGTTGGGGATGAGAAGCTCCTTTGGGACCGACAAAGTGAGAAATAAGCAGTGCATGAGTCCTTTGATCGTGGTGGACCTCACAGAACATGAACAGTTGTTATGGGAGTGGCTCAGTAATGAATATGTGGTAGGTGTGTTTTTAGCGCCGCCTTGTGGGTCAGCATCGAGGGCAAGGCAGATACCTTTGAAGAAGCGACTCCTAAGGAGATCATATCGCTTTAATCATGCTGCCCATGGACCACGCCCTCTACGGTCAGATCGTCACCCAAACGGGCTTCCCAATCTGACTTTTTCTGAAAATTCGAGAATCACCATTGCAAACAAATTGTACCACCTTACTGCGAAAGTAGTTCAGTGGGCAAATGATGTGGGTTGCGTCTTTTGTGTTGAGAATCCTCAGTATAGCCTCTTTTGGGCCACTACATTTTGGACGAGCGTTGCACACCTTTGCATGTATACAGTTTTTCACTCATGTCAATATGGAAGTTTGAGAAAGAAAAAGACGATGCTTGCTTTCAATGCCGCCGAATTTTTGGCTATTTCTGCCCGTTGCCCTGGTCAAAATAGCCGTCACAAGCACGCCCGATGGGGACTGAACCGAGCAACCAATGGGTTCGCTACAGCTGAAGAAACTGTATATCCAATGGGATTGGCACGGATCATTGCAGTGATATTTGTTCGAATTTTTACCCAATGTGGGGTTCCAGCTACACCGGAAACCTTGGACCAACTTCATCCAGAATCTCTTCAATCGCTGCAACGAATGCGAGCTCAAGTTGGTCAACAGTCGCGAGCATCCAAGATGCCCCCATTGGTCAGGACATACAAGACCAAGTTTTTTCTGCAAGGACCCAAGTCTAAACTTCCATCTCTTCCAGTTTTCCATCGGCTGCGACAACCTTTGCAATTTTTGGATGAACCAATTCAAATGCTACCTAAAGGAGCCAAGCTACTGTCTTTGCAACACATTCCCTCTTCTGCAAAAGGGGGTGAGGGTTCCGTGAATGTGGAAGATCAGGTGGAATTTCCAACAGTGGATTCACAGACAAAGGGGGGCAATTTTTCGCAATGCAATGTTTTTCAATACAGCAATGATGATGAGCTTTGTGGAAATGTTCCAAATGTTTTCAAATTCCCTGACTCTGCGATGGACAATGAAGATGACACGCATTTGCAAATATGGGGTCTACCTTGGGGACCCGAAGAATTCTTGCGCATGGCAGTCCAGGCTGGTCATCCTGCCAGCCTGCAGTCATTTCTTCCGGAGCGGCTGTTTTTGTGCATTTCGAAAGCCATGACCATGACGTCAGCAGACAGGATGCAGCACAGGGCGCAGACTTTGAAACATTGGTTGAGACGCTCTTTGGAACTGAAGACCGAGGAGCAGAGTTTGCACGCAAAATTGCATAGCGATGTGGCTAAGGTTTTGAAAGGAAAGCGCATCCTTCTCTGGGGGGAAATGTTAGCTGCTATTGGCTATGAGGACATGGGTGTTGTTGAAGAATTTAAAACTGGGTCAAGCTTGGTGGGGGCAACTGAGATAACTGGGTTGTGGCCAAAGAAGTTCACCCCATCGAGCTTGACGACCTCAGACCTGCATGCGATGGCTTCGGAGCAGAGGAAGACTATCAGCTACAAGCAGGTGGTGTTCTTCGAGGAGGACATTGCTCGAGCGGTTTGGCAACAGACTATGGACGAGGTTGCCAAGGGTGAAATTGAAGGGCCTTTCGAGCTTGGTGATGTCCCATCCCACTATCCTTTGAGTAAGCGTTTTGGCGTACGACAAGGGGGCAAAATCAGGTGTGTGGATGACTTCAGTGGGTCTGGAGTGAATGCTGCTGTGCAGTCTAGTGAGAGCCCTCGCCCTCACACGCTGGACGTTGTAGGTGGGATGGTCATGGCTGCGATGGCACAACTACGACAGGAGACGCCATGGGTGGCACGAAGCTTCGATTTGAAGATTGCGTATCGACAGTGCGCAGTCCGCCCAGACTCTCAGCCCTTCGCGTACATTGTTGTTGGTGACCCGACATCAAAGAGCTTGCGTGCCTTCAGGATGAAAGCGCTGCCATTTGGTAGCGTGAAATCAGTTCACTCTTTTCTGAGAGTAGCCCATAGCATATGGGCCATCTTGACATCAATGTTTTTGATTTTCAATACCAATTACTTCGATGACTTTGTGGTGGTGGCTGATAGATTGGAAGCATCCGGTGTTGAGCACACTATCAAGGCCACCTTTCGCATGTTGGGGTGGTTGTTCGCTGAAGATGGAGCGAAGGCTCCCCCTTTCCAGCCTACAGTCAGTGCACTTGGCGTTACAATTGATGTCTCAGATATGCATCGGGGACAAGTGACTGTGGACAACACGGAGAAACGAATCAATGAACTGAGCCAGACTATTTCACAGATTTTGGACAATGGGAAGCTGCAGAAACTGGAGGCCTTGAGATTACGTGGCAGGATGCAATTCGCTGCCGGTCAAATTTTTGGCCGCATTGCAAGGCGATGCTTGGGCCTAGTCACACAACATGCTTACGCTGCGGACAGCCCTTTGCTTTCAGATGCAGCGACAGCGTCATTGAGGAGGTTTCTCAGTCTCCTGTCCCTGAAGATACCCCGAACTTTGTCTCTTCAGTGTGACGCCACCTGGTTTCTCTTTACAGATGCATCTTTTGACCCTAATGAAGGGACACCAATTGCTGGAGTTGGTGCAGTCCTTGTTGATTCTGATGGGAGGAAGCAGCGTTTCTTCTCAGAACAAATCCCTGGTGAAATATTGAAAGAACTGAACGTTTCGGAGCGTGATAAGTTGATTTTCGAATGTGAATTCTTGTCAATTTTTCTGGCAATGTTAGTTTGGAAAGACATCTTGAAGCAATGCAAAGTGGTTATCCATACGGACAACGATGCAGTTCGAGATTGCTTCATATCATGCCATTCAAGCAGTGTCAATGTGACCCCCATTCTTGAAGCTTGCATCAACTTAGAGTTTGAGATGGCTTGGAATGCATGGATAACGAGAGTGCCCACCGAGTCCAATGTGGCGGACGACCCATCTCGTTTTCAAGTCCAACAGCTTTTGACTGAAGGTTGCAAACTTGATGTTGTTGACATCTCAGCTTGTTGGGCGTGCCTGATCGGTATGGTGAAGAGGGGAGGCGAACGACCAGCACGGCCAACCCCTTTGGAAAAAGGCACTCCTGCAATGCGAGGGTCGTCAGGTTGAGACTTAATGCAGCAGACCAACGGGTAAGCAAACTAAGTGTCAGCATGATGTGATGAACTTTGTGAATCAACCGAGCTTTGGATCAAGTGGATCTACATGCACTGTGCAATTCAACATGTTTTCTTGTGACAATGGTCCTCATGACAATGGTCTTATTTTCATGTACAAACATGTTTCTTTGTAAAAATTTCGCAGCCCGCCCTCAGCCACCCTAAATGGGGTTGGTTGGGGGCCAAACCCAAAGCCTGGCGAACGACCAGCACGGCCAACCCCTTTGGAAAAAGGCACTCCTGCAATGCGAGGGTCGTCAGGTTGAGACTTAAATACCCATAATTTTTACAAATTAATGCAAACACATGTATAATGCATTCATATTTCCTTTATTATGGTAGCTGTGGTTTCACGGCCCTTTAAGATGGCGCTTGCCTTTGTGCCCTGGTATCCCAAATACCCCCAACGTGCCTCCCGAATCTAATTTGAAGAGAAAATTGTTTTGCACAGTCCACAAGAGTAGCCAACACAAAGCACATGATTTCAAGCGTTTAGCGTCCGGCCTCGGATTGAGGCTAGGACGTAGTCCGGAATTACATCCAACTAGGCTGAACATATGCCCAAAACATGCCCCAGAGGGAATAACATGATAGACACAGACTTGACACATTTCACAACAGCACCTCAACCCCTATACTGTGTGGATGAATCTTCAAGGCATATGTGCAATGGCCTAGGTGTAAGCAGAAATGCAACTCATCAGAGATCGAACCGCAGTGGGCAGCAGGGTGTTCCGGTTCTGTTGATCTTCCCCATTTTTTTTTGCCCGATGGCGTTGTTATATAGACTACCATAGCATGTAGGTGTTTTGCTGACTTCAATTACAATAGTGGCGCTGGGTCAAATGGCAGGACCACGGGCGCCAACAAACTGATTTGAGACCGTTCGTTTTTTTCCTGAGACTCCAGGTAAAGAGCTGTGCATAGGAAAAGGCCGAAAACGTGCAAATAGAAGAGTTTTGAGAGAACAAAAAACAAAGGTTTCCTAAATCTGGTGCCCAAAAGCCTTTGGTTTCTATATCCATACCACCAACTTGGATGCTTTTGGGGTCCCCCATGTTAAGAAACATCTGTATGTTTTGTTTTCGTTTCAGCCAAGAAAAGTGGGAATGGTTTTGTTCCCTGCAAACCTTCTGATGGCCATGTGCTTCTGGTGTGAACAGCCACTGGAAATTCGGAGACAAGATGTTGCAACTGGAAAGTAAGCCAGAGGTTGTCTATGGGTTTGTCAGTGCTCTGCGTTGCAATGAACCAACACAACCTCTGTTACAGTTTTCAGTGCCGCTGAACACACTCTAGTTGCGGTTTTTCCGTAGGAGGTTCTTTATGACTCTGTGAGATCCCTGCTGCAGCTCGCTCCATCAAGATCAGACCTAGCTGCTAGCTTCTCATTCTCAACGCCGACAATTCGCAATGGTCCTCCGGCATTATTAGTTCTTGTTTGCCCACAGCAAGTTCTTCAAGAAATTGAGCAGACTTCAGCATGATTTGACATACACTTTAAACTTTACTTACCACAATGTCATTGCGTTTGGATGTTGCTGGAAACGATGTCCTTTCCTGCCTTTTCATCTGACCACTGCTCATATGTTCTTTCCTTTGGCAGGCAGACCAGTTTGGCAACAAGGCGTGGCACCAAAATGCAGCAGTTCCAAACGTGAGTCAGGGTGTAGCAGTTTCAGCAAGAGATTTTACTCGAACAATGACTGGTTGTGTTCCCGAGCTGCGCAGGGCTTTGAGTCTTGGGTAAAGAACTGCCTGGGCAGTGCAAAACCGGAAATCCTCCAGAATGTCTTGGCAGTGCTGGACAAGGAGTGCTTTGAAAGTCCAGCAGATCTGGCGGAATTCGGAGATCGTCCTGCAGAGCTCGCCAAACTTGGAAACTTGGCAGACGGGCTTCCCTTTGGCGAGCAGGGTTTCTGATCAATATGGGAATCCCAATATGAGAAGCACAGCATAGGATCAACGAAAGCACCGATTGATGGTGGTGTGTTCCACGTCCTCTTCACTTTTTTTGTTGCCGGGACCTGCGGGTCAAACCAGGAATCCCTGCGCGATATGCCAGTGCCCTGCTCCAGAAAGCGACGATTAAGGCCAGGTTGGTGTTTTCGTAAGGCTCTTGGCTTGGAAAACCATGCCTGGAATCGGGAAGATCAAAGCGCTTGACCAGGCTGCAGATGCGGCGGAAGTGCTCACAGTGACAAGTGAGACTCAAAGTTCCAGCGGAGACTCCGTAGCTTGGGAGCAAAAGGACGTCACTTTGGAATTTGGACCCGAAAACTTTGTAAAAAAGCAACGGAACTGCCATTGGCAACTTGGACTTGCTGCTTTCTGATTGTGCATGAAGCTTGGCTATCCGTTGTTGGCCGTCGCTATAGGTCAGTGTCCAACGCTCAGAAGCTTTGAGCGCAGAGAACTCTGTTTCAGACTTGGTCGCTTGGACGCAAGGCTTCTGCGAGCCACTTGGAACATTGGATCAATTTGCTGGGAATCATTTAGATTTTAGATCACTGTAGGATGGAAAAGGAGCTTGGATCTTGTTTGTTCTTTTTGTTTGAACAAAAGAGGCCGACGTGGAGCCTGTGGAAGTTCCGCAGGAACCAACAGAGAAGGCATGTCCCAGTCCTAGCATGTCCTGACAGTATCCTGCATTCTTTTTGGATTGCCACGGCAATGGCAAACACGAGCATGAAACCAACCACAGTGTCGGACATCTGGATTTTCAGCCAGGCCGAGGAGACAAGTTTTGAGGTCTTGGGCGCGCAGAAGCCAAGTTCGGACATCGTTTCCTGGTTCTTGAATGGAAAACGGACCGGTTCACATTTTTGGACACCTGAGTCCCTGCCCCTGCTGTCTTTTTCTTTTGTTTGCATGAAGCACTTAATGCTGTTGCATGTGCAAGAGAGGAAGCAGGTGCAGCTCGTATTTCCACGGAATTGCTGGTTTCAAGATGCTTACACCAGGCTATTCAACAATCTGCAGAAGTTCTGCGGGAAGGAGCAGAGAAGGCCGGTTTGTTCGGTTTGCACAGTTCTGCAATCATTTGTTGTTATTGTCGGCTGGGCTGGATTGCCAACATTAACATTATCGGAGAACAAACATATTAACAAAAGCGTTATCGCTTTGACATTAATCTCAGACATGGGTGTTTGTCAGGCTGAGAAGCAAACTTCAGAGGTCTTGGGCGCAAAGCAGTCAAGTTCGGGGACCGTTTCTTGGTAGAAGATTGACTTGTTTGCAGTGGTTGACAAGCTTCAAGGCTAGCATTTTTTTGCATGAAACACTTTTGGGCTGCCCCTCACCCCTCGACAGACCTCCTGGTTGGGAAGTGCCGGAGCCAGGCTATTCCACAGTCTGCGGAGTTTCTGCACGAAGGAGAAGAGAAGGCAGTTGGTTCTGGCTATCGTAAAAACCAAAATCGATAGCAATCGTGTCCTTTGGCATTTTTTCGCTTCAAGTCAGAGCCCAGAAAGTCCACGTTTCAGTCAGGCTGACGAGCGATCTTTAGAAGCCTTTGGTGCACAGTCAAGTTCAGACACGGTTTCTTGGATTTTGACATGTTGGTTGACACACACACACATGAATTTCTTCGGCTATTAGCAAGATATGTGACTGCCCTGTTTCCACAGAATTTCTAACTTTGAGATCGATTCAAATCGAGTCTTTGCACCAGGCTATCCCACAACCTGCAGAAGTTCTGCAGCCACATGCAGCAGTGGTTCCTTGGTCGTAACAGGTGCTTGCGGGATGGTGAAGAAGTAAAGAAAAGAAACACTTCGTACATGTAGTAATTGATATATATATATATATGTCTGAGTGCCTCAACAACTTCAATGATTTGTTTGCGTTTGTTGCCAACTATCAATTGACATTTAGTTGCTGGTTTCTTTCAAACTAAGATGGCTTGGAACACCGAACAACCAACACTTTGTGGTGTCAATGACGGCAATCAAGACCGAACCATCCTAAAAAGGTCATGTGCATTTGCGTTGGAGTGCCGAACCCTTTTAGGATTGCTTGGGCCTTTTCCTGCAGATAGGTCTGGGTGTCTTACTGCTTGAGGAAGTTGTGGAATCCTTGGACAATAAAGATTTTGGCATGTTCGGCTGTGGGCTTCTCTTATCCCGCTTCTGGCTTGTTTCAGAGAAAAGGTGTATCCATGTCTCATTCCCTGGCGTCGTTGCTTGGGACTTCGGCGTCGCTTGTCTCCCCATCTTTCACTCGTCAACTCCTGCCGTTTCGCTTGTTCCTGACCTCTCAAGCTTCTTGTCAGCCTTTGACCGGTCTGCTTCAGTGGCACCTACTTCTGACCCGCTTCTGCAGGTTGTTTCCTTTGCTGCCGGTTTGAAACTTTCCAAAGCAGATGGAAGCTTTCCGCAAAAACTACTCATGTCTTTCTATTCTTAGCTTGCCTGGTATTTCCCATTGTTGTTTGCACCTTTGTCGAAGAACAGAGCAAGTTCGGCATCACCGGTGAGAAAAAACATATCATACTATATATTGAAGTTTCGGATAAAGAAGCTCCACTTATCCTTGCTTTTTCCCACAGCGGCTGGGGTCAGACAGTGTCATATTTCAAAACCAAGGTTGATGATGCCGGTCCAAGCAACTTGCCGTTCAGTGGAGCTTTAGCTTTTCGTTGCTGGATGTTTTGACAAACTCGCTATAAGCACATGATAAAGCATCTGGATCTGTCACAACTTCACAATGTTTAGCGATGTTGCTCATGCGCTTCAAGGTACTGAATCTCGCTCACCAGATCAATTCTCTGAAAGTTCGGAGACGACGCAGTCATGGTGTGTTGTGGAAGCTGACACGCTCGATTTGGCAAAGGTTGGAGATTATGTGAAACACTCCAACAAGATCCTCCTGCAGCTTAGTCAGAAGGAGGTCCTATGTTTTCTTGGAAGCACTGGAGTTGGGAAAACCACTTATCTCCACCACATTGCCAAGAAGCGCTTGGTGGCGGTGTACAAGAACGGCCAGATGTCATATGAAGTGGCCACGGACCAGGACTTGACAGACTTGGAGGGTATTGAAATTGGTCATGGAAAAGAATCTGGAACAACAAGGCTTTCTCCATGGACCAATACTGACACTGGTGCCGTGTACATGGATTGCGCGGGTTACCTTGACACTCGTGGACCTGAACTAGACATCGCTACATCTCTCTCCATGCGGAAACTGGCAGAGACTTGCAAATCTCTCCGTTTCATCGTTGTCATTGGCTGTGACCTGTTGGTGGGCACCAGCAACAGAGGTCAAAGCTTCAGACAGCTTTGCACGGTTATTTGCCAGTGTGTGAAGGATTTCATCAAGTACTCCGGTGCTTTCTCGTTCGTGTTCAGCCACGTGGACATGTTGCAGTGCTGGGAGCAGTGCCGAAGTAATCCAGATGTGGATGCAAACATCAAGCGATGCACCGCAGAGATCCGTGAACATTTGAAGGATATTCTCAAAGGAACCCTCAAGATGCCAGCATTTTTTGAGGTTCGCAGCTTGCTTTCTTTGCTGATCAATGAAATGAAGTCGCCCGAGAAGGCGAAAAAAAAGTCTTTCATGGTCTTTCATCCCAACTGGTGCACCGCCCAAGAGTGCCGAGATTGCTTAGAGGTCTTTGACAAAAACCGCTGCTTGACGATGCCCAAAGCCGCCGTCCAATACGTCCTCACACCAGAGCAGGACAGCAAGCTGCGGCGCCAGTTGCAGCAGAGCAAGTTGCACTTCGCAAGCTTGATCAATGAAGGCAACTGGAAGAGCGTAGAGGTGCAGGGTTTCACTTGCCAAATGCTGAGACGGGTCCAGATGTTCTGTCACACATGTTTTCCGGGTTTGCCATGCGAACTTTAAGCAAACTAAACACAAAAGACAGCACAATATGATGTCATGACAAGCAACCACTAGGTAGGTTTTGCTCAAGTTTTCAATGTTCCATATGCTTACCCAACAGAGGAGCATTGGAATGCTGTGCACAACCTGGCCCATTTGATCCAGCTGCCAGAGCTTCAGTCCAGCTTGGAAGAATCCCGTCTCCAGCTTGAAAGATATGACCGTGATCTCTCGCAGCGGGCAACCGAGTTGGTGGAGTTTGGGGGAGACAGCCATGGGACCTTCACAGCGAAGGAAGCGCAGGTGGCTCTGAAGTGCTTTGAGACCTTGGGCTTCCTGGGTGGTCTCTTGCACAGCGACAGCAACGTCCAAGAGCGGTGGAAGAAGACGGTCATTGACAAACTTCGCGTGCTGAAAGAACAGGTGTTGGCGGCCGTGTCGACCCAGGGCAAAGGTGACATCCTCACGAAACCAGCCTTGGCAGTGGCTGACATGCAGCTTCAGCTGTTGCGATTGAAAGCTTGGAGTGATGCAGACCAAGTGACCTTTTCCTGTGAGTTTGATGGAGCGAGGATGGCAGTAAATGAGCTCTTTCAGCAGATGGTTGCTCTGTCCACCACCCAATCGGCTTTTGGTCTTCAGGACTTGCCCGCCAAGTGCAAAACTGCACTTCACTTGAAGCACGTCGCTTCTGAGGCGAATCCGTCACTTTGGGATGGAGAAGTCATTGACATGGAGGGTGCAGCTCAAGAGGCTGTGTGGCAGGCCCACCAATTACTGGAGAAATCAAAGGCCGAGAGCATAGAGTTGGTCACTAGTTTCTTGACGGCCAAAGATCCGACGAATCTTCCACTTCTAGGGAGCATCGGAGTGGCATTTGAGAGCTTGATGTCTGCTGAAGCGGAACTGCAGCATTCGCCTGATCAGTCCTTGTCGAAGTGCCTATCGACAGTCATCAGTGAAGTCATGGAGGCGTCTAGGCCTCAACATTTGACAGATGAAGTGGATAAGCTGGTCCGCGAGAAGCGATTTGACCACCTGGAGGCCAGGGGTTTTGTTTCCTGAACGACCAATAGAAATATTTCTCAAGGTCAAAGAATCGCTCATCCGCAACAAAAACAGTAACATATTGACATGTTTTGCCTGGCTTTTGGCTTTGTTTTGGGGCCAAGTTTGAACATCCTGGAGGCTCCTTTGAAATGTCTGGAAGCATTTCGCCAAGTTTTGCCACCAGAAGCTGCTGAGAAATCCGGCGTGGCACATGCCTCCGCGGAATCCATGCGACGGGTGCTTGTGGCAGCTGAGCATTTGGGCAACGAACTCGATGATTTCTTCGGGGATCTTTCTGCCGGCAAAGAGGCATACCTTGAGAAACCACTGGATTTACTAGCTGCTTTCAAGGCTGCTTTATGGTTGGACCAACTTTGTGAGGAGACGCATTCAGTTTGGGAGGATTCTTGTACTCGAGGCTGTCTTTTGAGTCTTATCGTCTTATCTTATCCCTCAATGTCGTGTCAAGTATAGACAAAATCAAAATACAGAGCACAGATTCCATTCGCATAGGTATGAAGCGAAACTGACCCAGTTGTGCAGTTTGTGCAGCTTCATTTGGGTGATGTTGCAGGACTCGTGCTTCATTGAGGAGAGTGTGTCGAAATGGCAAAATCAGCTGGGAGAAGCATTGAGGTCAAGCCTGCAGAAGCATCTGCTGGCCATTGAGTCCTACCTCCGGGATCCGCGCAACCCGAGCAACCTAACATGCCTGGATGACGTAAATGCGGTACAGCGCCTGCAAGACCTCTTGCGCGTCAGCCAGTCGTTTGACGACTTACTGGATGTCGGAGCCTTAGTTTTCTAGAGTCCGTTGGCCTCAATGCCATAGTTTGTCAGAGGCCTTTGGACATCAGTGCAGTTTTGGTGTGTACATTGCTGAGCCATGAGAGGTACTTAAGTAGACATTTGTGACGAGCATAAGACCATACCCGGGCCCTCCGGTTACAAATGTGCACGCCCGCATGTGAGATTTAAGAGGTCTGAGTTGACAATCGATAGTTCATGCCTGGTCTTGAAGCACTTGTGAGTCTTCAGCTGCCTTGCCTCCCCATGTCGATGTCCCGAGGCCGAAGTTGAGTTCAATGGGAAGGTGGCCACGGTGCTTGAATTTTGGATGGAAACCGATTGTAGTGAAATTCTGGCACCGAACAAGGATTTCAACTTTGCTGAAATGCCCGCAGTAGCAATCCACACAGCATGCAAGGTCTACGCAGCACTTGCTGTGTATCCCAAGAGTGGTGAAACGCTATCTCAAGTGCTGGAAGGTTCCAAAGAGATTTTGCGACAAGCACGTCATGCAGCAGATGAAATCCTGGAACGCGGAACATACCAAGAGAAGGATCGACTGCTTGCTTCTGTGCAAAGGTTAACCGAGCAAAATCTGACCTACGTCTTGGCAGAGCTCAAGCCGATCAAGGAAATGCGCTCAATCATTTGTACGCAAGCTTCTCAGCTGTTGCATGAAATTCGCCAAAAGCTGGAAGTGTCCCTTGATGATGCCGAGCGTGCTTTGTCACAAATATCGCCGGTGACTCACTTGTCTGACTTGGTGTGGGAGCAAGTTGGAGCCGAGATCAAGATGCTGCAGACTTCAATTGACTTGCGCAATCAAGATGTGGGAACAGAGATGGAGCAAGCCATGACAGAATTTGATTTCAAAACTGTCAGGAAGTATTTGGAGCCTCAGGATCCCAGCAGCACATTCCAAGTTCAAAGGTGCGAAGGGCGCTGCAAGAGTGTCAGGGTGGCTGTGTCAAGCATGATTTCTTCTGGCAAATATGATCTTCCATCGAAGCCATCCAAGTTTGCACAGAAGTTCTTCAAGCTTCAATGTGCCATGGATGACATAGGCGATTTGATGGATGATGCGCGGCAGGAGTTGGAAAGTCTTGAGAGCTATGCCAACGAAGTCTTCCAACAGCAGTGCCATGAACATGGGCGCGCGGTCAAGGACTTTCGCACCGCAGACATGTTTCGGACACGTTCCGCCCTCGAGGCTTTTTACATGTCTGTGCGTGATCCTATCAACATCTTGTCTCCAGAAAGTAAGCAAGCCTATCAAAGTGCATGCAGCAGCTGTGACGACATGGTAGAATCTGTGCGGAAGAGTTGCAAAGAACTAGGCGATGCCTTGTGTGCGCTGGCATCGGGCAATGGAGAAAGTGTTGCAAGTGATGCGAAGGACAAACTACGAGAAGTTCTCAGGTTTCTGGACCACGTCCAAGTGTCCAATGGCACAGGAAGCATCAGTAGCGACTTGTACGCTGAGCTGACCAGCAGACTCAGAGATCACTTCGAGGACTTTCACACCAAAATGGAATCACCATCGGAGGGTCAGATGAAGTATCCACTAGCGATTGAAGCTTACGACTTTCTCAACAGCATGCTTCAGAACGGGCTTGAGGCGCATGTTGCGCTGAGCTTTGATGTTGATGGGTGCTGCAAACGCCTGAAAGAAGAAAAGAAGAAGCAGGACCAAAGATTTCTCCAGTACTTGCTCAATGAAGAGATGATTGACGAAATCAAGCGTGAGCTGAAACAGCTTCGCTCATGGCGCTTTGACTACTATACGCAGTCCTGGATGCAATCGGCCGGCCCCTTGTATCGTTTTCGAGTGGCAGAGATGCGCAGAGAAGTTCAGGCATGTGTGGAGGTTATCGAGAGGGAACTGAAATCTGCCAACTACTTCTCCGTAGGAGCACATCTTGAGGCAATCACTCGGATTCGGAATCGCTTGTGGGATCACTTGCCTGCTAAGAGTGTTGAGTCCGTGGCGCACGCCACGAAATTGGTCAAGGCCGCCTTTGATAAGATTGTCCAAGAGACCATCGATGCCACAGCGAACCAGGACAGTGATCGCATCGACAGGTTTTGCCGGCGATTCGTGACAGCGGTCCACTACCTGGGGAAGCAGCTTTGGAAGGACTACAACACGAGTGAGCAAGAAAAGCTACGTGAGCAGTGTGAGCAGGTCCATAGGGTACTCCTGAGCTTTGCGGACAGCAAGTGGCAGGAATTTCGAGACAGCTTGAACCGACTGGAAGTTCGGAAGGCCGGCAGTGCAACATGTCATTTAGCATGTTCTCTCGCATCTGTATCATACGCAAACATGATCATTAAGTGAATTTTGTAAACGCACACTGTTTGGCCGTATTTTTCTACTTGCGGCAGTGTTTTTCACTGTTTTCCTTGATGTTCTGAGAAGATGAGCTATTTTTTTAAACATCGCCCTAGGCGTTGAATTCATCCATTGAACTCCGCAACTTGGCTGAGCTCTTCTCTTCCAGCTTGGCGATGCATTTGGAGGACAAGCGAGCTACAACGGCCACAAGAGATGCATCATGGATGTGCATCCCAGTTCATATCTGGATCACGCCTAGCATGGGAAACTGCCAGGAATAGATGCCAGGAATAGATGAGAATATATATATATATGTGTCTATATATATATATTTATGTATATATATATATATTTATAATGCCAGTAGTACCGCACAAGGCGGTGGCGGAAGTTTCAAAGATAGGACACTATAGGAGAGGTGAGTTGTTGTGATGCAGAGCGAATCCACTGATGGACCGAACGGTGGTTGGAGTTGTGTTTCTCCCCAACAGCGTAAGCTAACGGGGTCTTCAGCCCAGAATAGCTCCGGTGTGCACTGGTGCGGGCACCTGGTCAGGTTCAACGAGGTTCCGGAGAAGGTTCCGAAGGTTCCCGAGAAGGTCTGGGATTTGGTGCAGAGACAGGTCAGGTTTGTAGTTGTAGCTGTAGTTAGTGTAATGTAGTGTAGCGTAGCAGTGTAATGTAGTGACTATGTAGTGTAATTAAGTAGTGTAGTTGTAGTTGTAGTTGTAGTTGTAGTGTAATTTGTGTAGCGTAGTGTTGTTTAATGTAGTGTAGTTGTAGTTGTCGTTGTAATTGTCGTCTAGTGTCGTGTGGTGTAGTGTAATGAAGCGCAGTTGTAGTTGTAGCGGTAGCTGTAGTAGTAATAGTAGTTGTAGTTATATTATAGTTGTAGTGTAATTAGTGGAGTGTATTGCAATTACTGTAGAGTAGTGTATATAGTGTATTGTAGCGTAGTCAATTTGAATTTGTATTTGTAGTGGTAGTGTAATGTAGTTGCAGTCGCAGTTGTGGTTGTAGTTGCCTATCTATCTATCAGCAATTCTGCGAGACGTCCTCAATTTTGACCTTGACAACGTCCAAAAAAAAGAAGGAATTCTGCAGGACTTCTTCAATTTTTGAAGTTGATAAGAGCAAAAACGAAGCAATTCTGCGAGACTTCCTGCCAAAAAGGACAGTGAGTGCGGAGCTGACGGCCTCGTACCAATGCGTTTTGCGATTTTTCCACTCCATCTGTCTAAAGTATTGCGCATGCCACGAAAAAGTGATGCAAAGTCATACGAAGTGCTGCACCTGTCAGGCAAAAGTATCTTAGCAAACCTGAAGATTTGATGCTCCAAAATGCAACCCCCCTCTTGGGAAATCAGCGCGCTGACCTCCTAACATCTCTGATGAACATGTCTCTTGTATTGTGCCTGCCACGCGAAATATCTTTCCAGATTTTATTCAAATGTCCCACGGCTGCCATCGTTTTTGGAAATGCTACAAAACCCTCACGTTTTTTCTCACTTTTGACAAGGTGCAGAATCCCTTTCGCCTGCCACGCAAAACGACATCTGAACGTCCAAAAATGCTCTGAACCCGTCGAAATGTGCTTTGCGCCACAACGGCGTGCACTTTCTCATCTCTCATCTGGCCAGATGTCTGCGCACCCGCCGCTTTAGCGAGCCTACTTTTCGACCCTGCGGAGCCACAAATCATTGGAAAACACAGTGAACCGCGACTTTTCTACCTTTTCGTGCACCTGCATCTTCTTTCTTCTGGCTCTTTCTCTTCTCTGATCCTCTCTCTTCTTCTTTTCTCTTCTCTTCTCTGACTCTTCCCACCTCTGCTTTTCCATCTGTCCATATTGTCGGAAGTTTGGCTTCTAAACTTACTTCGGCAAATAGATTGCTAGATAGATAGGTAGGGAGGTAGGTAGATAGATAGATAGATAGATAGATAGATAGATAGGTAGAGAGATAAATAGATATATGTATATATATAGATGTCATGTATGGGTGCTATGATTGTCTAAAGTTTACGGGATGTGCATCCAAGTGGATTTTGTTTACACGAACACGTCTTTGCAAATGCCACGCCATGTTTGGGCATCAAACCAAGTTCGATTGATTTCGAGATGATTTTGTTCTCACTTGGATTACCTGTGTATGTGTTTCTGAGCAGTTAAGTAGTTGAACGATTGTGCCGGAGAAGTTACGAGTGAGGACTTGAAGGGCGAGAAGGGCTTGGTAAAGTCCATGGATCTGTTGAGACAGAAGATGAGCATGCTCTGTTGCGGACTTCCGCTCCATGAAGCTGGGATCCACTGTGCTGTTTTGGAAGTGAAAGCTTCCTCTGGCTCTGATTTGAGGACCGTGTCGCACGCATACCAACTTCTGGTGGATCGACATCATCCCGACCAGGCAGGAAGGACCGCGGCAATGGGGGAAATCGAGAGAGCCAACCAGGAGCTGGTGAAAAAGGATAATTTTTCCAAATACAAAGCGGATCTGGCTGGGCTCTACCAGGCTGATTTGAGGGCATTGCCAGAGACTTTGAAAAATGAAGCCATGGAAGCCTTACATGATGGTGACTTTGAAAGAGTGAAGGGCTTCTTGGAAGTCGTCCCAGAGCTCTCTCTGCTACCCTGCGGTGAAGATGTGAGCATCCGGACAACCGTCCATGAACGAATTCGAAGCAAGTTCAGCCATTGCTTGACCTCGGCAGAAGATTCATGGGAGAAGCAGGATTTGCGCAGATTGGACATGCAATTAAAGATGATCAAGAGCATGAGTGATTCTCTAAGTGGCTGTGAGGATTTGCTTCCAAGTGGTTGGAGGGAAGACTTTGAGTCAAAACTGAGAACGAAAGTGAACCAGCACGACCGGGCTGCGAGGGACTTCTTGAAGGGCAGCACAGATGAATGGGATTCAAACATTAAGGAGTTTGGCAGGGAGTTGGTCCTTCTTGCCCGCATCTATGAATACTTGCCAGAATTTGCAAGAGTGGCAAGCTCAGTTCGTGCGAAGATTGACCTATTGCTGGATCGTTGCCAAGGATCATCTGAGGGTGTGCTTTTCCTCTTCAAGTTGGGCATGCTTCTGGAGCAAGGGCAGTGCGGAGACATCATTGATGGTGCAGTGAACATTGAAGATCAGCGTATAGCTAAGCAGATCGTGATGGACTATAGGCAGTTCAGCGAAGTGCGAACTGTGGTCTGGAATCAACAGACTGCTGGGATGGCTCAGAAGGACGTAAGCGAGATAATTTCAGAGTTCAAGGTGCAGCCAGACGAAGCAAGTGCTTCCTTTGTTCCTGGCAATTTGAGGCGTGGCTACGATCTCTACAAAGAAGCATACCAAGCTCACTTGGATGCATGGCAAGAAGCAGGCATGGACGACGAAGCGTTTCTTTCCTCACTTGCAGAGGAAGCGATCCAGTCTGCAGCTAGTGTGGCACCTGCTTCTTCGGAGCACTGGGACCAGCAATGCAAGGACCAGCTGCCCCAGATCTTGGCTTCGGCGGTGTCCTCAGTTTCAATTCATGTCTTTCTAAAGATCTAAAGGATTGTAGGGGAATCGTTCTGAATCAGATAGGTTTCATTATTTCATGCAGCTTCGAGTCAGGATTATGATTCTAGCAAGTCGATTTGTCAGTGCAGTTGCAAACATTATTGTTTCAAGCTTCCCTGTGCCAATTCACTTAGTTTTTTTTGAGGTTTCAGCTTACTTCACTATCTCCAAGTCGGGCAAAGCTTTCAAAGAGCTTGCCAGAGCAGGAGAAGATGAGGAAAGACTCGCGGATCCAAACCAGTTGCTGAAGCAGCCCCACGTAGTCCAGACTTTGGCATGCCTTCGGATGCTGGGATATGATTTCAGCCGAGATGCTCTCAACAGCCATTTATTGCAAGTGCGGACAGGCGAAGGAAAGTCGGTGATCCAAGGAACTTGTGCCGTTGTTTTTGCCCTTCTTGGCTTCAAAATCCATGGCATTTGCTACTCAGACTACCTCACAACCAGAGACTATGCGGACTTCTTTAAGCTGTTCCAGGCCTTCAAGGTGCAGAACCGAATTGAGTACAGCACCATCACCAGCTTCAGTGAGAAGAAGGCTCTTGCCAAGGGCAATTTGCGAAAGTTCACTGAAGACTTGCTGTTGGGTTCCTCCATGGTTTCAGAGGCAGCTGCTGATGCTATGGCCGGTGCCGTTCCCGTGGAAGGAATGCCAGCTCCGTTGAATGGTGAAGACCTTCTGCTCGTGGACGAAGTTGATGTCTTCTTTGGTCCCAGCTTTTATGGCCACACATACAACCAGGTAGCAGAACTTCGTTTGCCAGAAGCCCGAGGCATCCTCACCAAGATCTGGAGTTGGAGGACATGCAGCCAGCAAGAGCTGCTTGAAAAGGTGACAGCCAGCGATGAGTACACCGCTCTGTCCAACAAACTGCCAGGTTGGGAGTTCCTGGTGAAGCGAGAGGTTGAATCAATGTGCGCAGCTGTGATGAACTTGGACAAATGTGAACTGGAGCCCCATTACAGCCGCGAGAAGAACAGAATCGGCTACAAAATCTTTGATTCAGTGGATTTTGACGTGTCCTATGGTTACACAACATCATTCCAGTATCTAGAGCTGGAAGAACAGGGGAAGCTCCTCCATGATGAAGAGGCATTGTCTGCAAACCTTTCACTTCGCGTACCCTGCGGAAGGCTGTCATATGCGGAGCTGGGTCAAGAGACGGGCAAGAAGACAAAGATCATAGGCAGGGTGGTTTAAACTTTCAAAAGGGGGACTAAAGAGTTTTCAACATGCTTCCAGCATGTGGACAGTGGACAGTGTGTTTGGTTGAACAGTTGTACGTCGTTTTGGTACTTTTGCTCGCTGAACCAGGTGTTTCTGGTACCCTCTCAGAGCTCCAGCAGCCCGAACGGCAGATTCTGCAGGGCTATGGGCTTACTTCATGCAGCCTGATGCCTTCCGTCTATGGGGCTGCCAATTTCACAGAGGAGCACTTTGTGGCAGTCAGCGATGCGGATCATCATGTGACCATTGCCAGGGAGATCGGCAAGAAACTTGAGCGAGACAGGGCCGTGATTGTTTTCTTTGCAGATTCCAAGAAGCTCAAAGATTTTGAGAGATTGCATTGCAGGAAGTTTGCAAAGACGCAGTGCCTCTTAGAGACCCAAACTCACAGCGAGAAGCAAGATGTGATCAAAAGAGCCACCACCGCAGGTCAGGTCACTTTGACAACGGCCGTGTTCGCACGAGGCACTGACTTCTTTTGCAACGACCGAAAGGTCATCCACAATGGTGGGGTCCATGTGATTCAGACCTTCCTGTCGCTGGACATTTGCGAAGAAGTGCAGACCAAAGGCCGCACCTCTCGCCAAGGGCAGGATGGCAGCTACCAGCTGATACTCAACACCGAGGACGGGTGATTTCAAAGATGTTAAAGTAGGGAATGAGTGCTACCCTCGTGCGATCCCCGCTATGCCACCAGCATATATTGTCTGGGCCGTTGCTGGATGTTTCTTGGCCAGTTTCGGCTGTGCGATCTGTAGTGTACCCTTGTTGCGCACAGTTCTTGCACCCTTGCCGTTGAATGGTTAGAGTCGGTTAGAGTGAAGCAGAGCTCCCTGATGTTCGCCTGAATGGACTTGAGTAGCTTGCGTGAGTCTCCAACACACCATCTCACTCCCTTTGTGGCTCGCCTGTGGCCTGTACCCAAGAGCAGTCAGCAACCAGTGCAAAACGATTGTTGCAGCTAGAAGCGGAATCATTTTGTCCTTCTTTACATTTTCAATCATTTTCCACTCAGTGTTTCTGAAATGTATTGAGCAAAGATGAACATTATATAATTGGAAAACAATGATATGTTTGATTGTCCCACTTTAGAAAGTCGCCCGTGCTGTCCTGTCATAACCATGAGACACATCCCGTGCCACGCCAATCATCGTTCTCGAGCTGTCTGCCACTGAATTGCGCCCCGCCCACCTAGCAAGCAGCTGCAAGGCGTTCCATTTCTTTTTGCCAAGCTGTCCAGGAACAAGTGTAGGGCCTTGTCCACACATGCTCCGTGCTCTTAGAATTCCGGACTGGCCGGGAGAGCAAAATTTGACATTCGGCAAGTGCTAGGTTTCTGTGACTGTGCATTGAACCGTCCCACGGTTCCAGACAAATCACGCTAGTGCCTAGAAACTTCAGCTTGTCTTCATACCACATCAATCCACATTATCCACATAGATCTTTTGTTGCCGTGTTTGCTTTCTTGTCGTGTGTGTGCATTCTCTTCTTAGGGAAGGAAAGGTCCGCAGGAACTGAAGGGTGTAGGCTGCCAATTTGCATCCCCTCTGCGACAAGGCGGTTTACATTGTTTACATTTTCCATTTATGTTTCCTCATCCAGTGACTTCGAGATCTTCGGGCGGACTCTGGCGGAAGAAATTTGTGGGAACGATTTGCGAGTGTTGCGCTACAAGCTCCTTAACACATGTCCATGTCATCATGTCATTTTTCTTTCCTGAGTTTCCAAACGGCAGGACTTGAAAACAATGGGCATCAAAAACGAGATCCGGATGCCTGACGGTGACCGCAGTAAACTCAACCAGGAACGTGATCGGGCCAGGACCTCAGATGTCCTTTGCTGACCCTGACGCAAAGATGTTAGCGCCTCCGAGGTCAGAGACCTTGCAAGGGAGAAAACCGCCAAGCAACTGAAGGCACCAGCCGTATGGGTCAAGTGAATAGCACCAAAATCATCCAACATCCCAACATGAAAGCATGCTCCCATCTGTTATACGCAACCTCTGAACCCATTCTCTGGTTCTGGGGGGGAAACTGAACTTGGAAATTTGCACGGCGCATACGAGCACTGCAGGCAGCCACAGAAGTCGACAAGTTGACCCACAAGTACTTTGATGCAGTGCTGGCCGGATGCAGCTCGGCCACTGCGTCTTTGAAGGAGCTCTATGAGTTCATGAAGAAGCGGACACCAGGACGGCAGGGGCATGAGTTGAAACTGTGCTGTAATTTGTGGAATCTTGGGATTCCTGGGTTTCCTATGATATTCAATCCTGCAATAGCCCCAATTTCACATCAGCAAGGTATCCATTCCAGCTTTTGTGCAACCAGGTTCTGGTTAAGAAGGCATGGAAACTGGACTCACCAGATTGCACTTCAAGACCCTGCGTATATTGAACACAGATTCTAAAAGCAAACCAATCGAGAATGGCATCCGACTCCCTTCCCTTGTAAGGCTTGTCTTGGATGGGGCCATGGGATGACGAAAAATAAGCGCGGCTTTGCGAGGTCAAAGCAGAAGGCAACATGCTCGGCTGGTGTGCCTGTCAGATGCAACAGGATCCATGAGATCCCTGTGGAACAACGCGCAGAGCACTATCAATGTGATGATTCGGCGCATCAAAGAAATCGGTGGAAACAACTTCGACCTTTTATGGGTGGCATACCGTGACTACAGTGAAAGGGACAACATGTTTGAGTTGTCTGGATGGACTTCAGATGCCCAGAAGTTGCAGAATTTCGTGAACGGAATTCGTTGCCATGGTGGCGGTGACTGCGAGGAAGCTGTTGAGCAGGCATTGCTGCTGGCGCGCAACGAACATCGTCGCAAGAGCATCTCTCGCGTGATCCTCATTGGAGATGCACCTCCCCACTTTGAGAAGAAAGGCCAGCAGCTTTCAAGCCACCGAGGGGTTCCTGAGCTGAATTCTAATGGGAGGGGTCTCCAGGACCAGCTGTGACATGTTGTGACGCAATCGAGGCAAGTGAAAATTGTAGACCGGAAGTTTATTGAGCACTTGGTTTTCTCCCAGCTGTTTGTAGTTCATTCCAACAACGAAGGGTTCGGAAACTGGTGCAGCAATAGATAAGACACTTAGGTAACAGCTACTCAGCCATTCATCTGTTGAACCGCCAAGGTGGTCTTGGAGACGGACTACCAGACGGAAGCGCAGGAACTGAAGAGCCTCGGGGTGCCCGTGCATACCTTCAGGGTGGATGGCTCAGCAAATTCAGATGAAACCCCAACAAAAACGGATATGAACAAGTGTGGTCCCACAAGGGCTGTTCAGCCAAGTAAACCCAAATGCATCCCAAATGTCAGTGGGTCACGATCATGATGTCGCGCCACATGCCTTTTGCCAGGTCGGAAGCCACAATGGCACCAAAGAGACTTTCCAGCTGATCGCGCATGAAACAGGTGGACAATTTTCAGACCTGAGTCCTGATAGCTTGATACATGCCGTGTGCACAAGTGTCTTGATGGACATTGGTGGCGAAGAGCTTGTCATGGAGTACAGGGAACGCTTCCAATGATTTAGCTGTCAGCATGAAACTGTGAAACTTGATGAAACTTGTATAGATATGTATAGATTTTGTAGTCGTGGCTCGTCCTGCGCAAACTGCGCAAGCGGCTTGGTGAGACTCCACTCTTCACAAGGGCCAATACATTTTCGGATTGTGGGTTAACATGTTCATCATTGCATTTTTCTAAGCATGTCAGTCATGGCCTTTGATGTACAGTCTGATGGTTTGTCAGCTGCTTAAGCTGCCAAGCGAGACTCCGCACACCACGGAGGAGTTGCCGTGTGGCGGTGTGACCGATCATTTAAAATATATGAAGATTATGATATCATTTTACATACATCTGCACCTACGTTTACTGTCTTTATCTGTATATATATAATATATATATATACATATGTATTGTATATCCATGTCTATAAGTACATATTTGCGGATGAGGCACCAACACAGAAGAAACATATGTTTGCATCCAAATGCAGGTTATGCAACCCAACATAGAACAAAACACATTCTACTTGTTTGATATTCATAGCATCGATGACTCCAGGTTCCAAGTCCTCCAGGTGCTGGACGTCTCCAACTCCTGCACATGCCAAAAAAGTGCCGATGCGCGCATTGATTCGGTGGATGGCACTTTCCATGTCGATCACTCCCCTGTTTTGTGCCATTGATATAGAACGTGTCCAGTCAGCCACGGCATGTATTTTGGATTTGGAGACCCAGTTTCAATGGCTAATCACGTGACCATATTACAAGCCAGTGATGATGGGATATAGCCTAGTCACACTGCGTTGTGCCACGAAAAGTGCCATGACAAATGAAAGGTGCCTTCTACGAGGTATGGTTTTTGGCTCAGGCCCAGCTGCCCAGCTTGAACGGTGACAGCAGAAACGTTTTTTTTTACATCATGGCGGCTTCTTTCCGATGGCCTTTCAGCATGTTTGAGCAAACCTACAGGCGGGCCATGTTGAGGGCCAAACACCCATTGCTAGGCTTTGTCAGTGCCTTCACAAGGGATTCCCGAGAACGGTGGGATGATCGTCGTCAACAATGGTGATTTCAACTATTGCACATATAGATTAGATGTACATTCCATGGTGTGAATTTTTACATCAATGACCTGAAATGCTACGCGCAGATGATCAAATGTAGGGTTGTATTGGGTTTGCACAATGGGTAGATATGGCCTTCATCTTGTCACGCAACGATTGTGCTGAACCTCGTCATATCATCCACTAGTCCCAAACATAGGAGTTGCCACAACCATGACCCGGCGGGTTTTGTTGGTAACCGTTGGTAGTTTCATGTGACCCCATCAGAAACCTTCGATCACAAATGATTCATGGTTGATCCACCAACAATTGTCCATGGGATTGTCCATTGCCCAGATACCCACAAATTTCCTAAATATTTGATCATTACAACCACTTGGTATTTCACCCACAGCATCTTCATTTCAGTGGCTTGTATTCTCATCTCTTGGCTGACAATTCTTCATATGTTTTGCCTCTAAACTGCATTTTGTCTTCATATTTTTGAGGAGGTGAGCTGGAAATTCCGTTGCGTTAACTAAAAGATCACATGTTCAATACCTCCAATTTAGATCAAATTAGATACTTGACATATCCTTTGATTTCCGTGCAATTGGACAAAATAACCATTAAACCCTCATGAACCCACCTGAACCTCTGATTTTTCCAAGAAACACATTAAGCAAAAACAAACAAACATCGTCGTTTCCAGGGAACGCAACGACCTCCAAGATTTAAGAGATGCCATCGAAAGAGCAGAGGAAGCTGTATCAGCATCGTCCTCTGACAGCGCCTTGGCACAGGTCACAACGGTCACAACGGTCACAACCTGGATTAGCTAAGGATGTTTGAGAACTACACGAAGGTCTTGCACAGATACAAAATTCATGTATAAAACTTATAAAACTGTGACTCAGCTCACAGAGGTTTTTGTCATATGAAGACAGCGAAGACATTTTACGGCATTTTTGGATCGGAAAGGGGTGAAACTTGACAGATTTGATTGACTTTCCATGATCACCCAAAGTCAGAGTCATGAATCTGTTCAGGTACATTCTTTTGCGCAGGGTTTTCGACTTTGGCTACTGAATTCAGTAGATTGATTTCAAGGAATATTTGTAGGAAACCCTGGTTTCTATCTTCAAAACCAGGGTTTTCATCCAGACATTTTGCTTTCAAGCCTGGATGAAGCAGATGCCAAAATCTGCATGGCATCGGTTTTACAATCTCATCCCCCTAAAAACAAATAAACAAACAAGAAATTATGGCTTCCAGAAATGAATAGATCCAATACTAAGCCATTGCTTCGTTGCAGAATAAAATTGGGGCAATTAAAAAGTGGTTACTCCTTTCTTTCGCTCAAGCCAAGGTGAAGAAGAAAGAGAGAGGAAGGAGGACGCTTTGGTCAACCTTGGGCTGGGTTGATACTTCCTGAGAATCCAGGTTAAAAAAATGTGCCATGGTCAAGTTAGTTGGATTCTTTACACAGTCCTTGAGGGATGGTGATCATAAACCATGTTTGGATTCCCATGGCATTACAAAATAAACCATACATGGCCATTGACCCCGACCCCACAATGGCCGCCGCCTGCTTGATCGTCATCAAGCAGGTTAACTCACGGTTTTTGGATGACATCACACATTTTATCCAACATTCTCAAAGCATTTTCCGCTATTTATATGGTAAGAAGTCCAACCATATGGTAAATGATGGTAAGAACACACTATTTTTGATAGAGTCGTATTTTGACATCCCCATCCTTGTTCCAGAATTGAAGGCAACATTTTTCGATTGAGCCCCGCTTTTCTTTTATCAATGGTGGTTTCAACTTTCTAAGTCAACCCGTTGATCTTGGTGAAGCAACCATTTGAGAAATGGGTTTTTTCCTGGGGGTACCCCTAGTTGTCATCCATTTTATTTTTGGATTTTCCACGAAATGAACCATCCAGCCATTTCAGGAAGTCTCCAAATAACAATTTTTGGTCAGCATTTGCTATGGCGGAGCCCAGGAGATTCTCGACACCTTTCGAACAAAGCTCGAAGAGTTGGAGGTGCGGACTTTGACCGACCAACACGAAGGATTTATCCAATAAAAAGTGGGTAAACCACTAGATCACTAGGATTCACTAGGTAAAATTGAGGATTGATCCGAACAAAATTGTGAACATTAGGGATCTGTAAAAGAAACAAATGCGAAAACATAAGTCTTACCAACAGAAGTGGTGTTTTTATCAGCAAGCATGGTGATTTAACAAACCGAAGTGGGATTATTCTCCAAGCATCTGGCACAAGCTCCAGAGATTTTCTGTGACCCTTGAGAAAATGCTGGGATGCGAAGTTGGAACCCAGATAGGCTCAGCGTTGCCCCAGATTTCGCTCTCCCATTACCAAACCAATCAATTCCCAAGTAGACCCACACAATTCTCCACGAACGGAGTTTAGACTAAGAGTGACTGTCCTTTTGTGAGTGCAGAATGGTACAGCCCACGTCCCCCATTCACCGCTCTGTGGAAAGGATTGGATTCATAACAGGTTTTTTTCAGTGGTGCGAAAAATTGGGGATCCCCTAACATGAGATTTTTAGGTTTCATGTTAGGGGACCCCTGCATGCTGGTTACAATTCCCATCAAGTATCCATCAACCCGACTGGGTGAAATGCCCCCAAAAAACGTAGATATAGAAATTCATCCAGCATTTCTGGATTATCTCCCGCAGAATGTATTTTCCACTGGCCTTTTTTCGATATGCCAGTTACAGCACATGCTGTTGATGATGGTTGGTGATAACCACCAACCGAAATTTCGGATTCAATTGGGATTCTACCTAACCAACTAGTGGGTTTAAGTGGGACTACAGTCGGGATTTTCCACTTTTGGTGATCATTTTCAATTCCCATCTATAGATCATTAGATTCCCATATTTTTTGCAGCTTCCCTTATATAGATACACTAAAAAAATAGACTTCATCATCTCCCGATCTTTTCTATATTGGACCATATCATATCCATTTCATATCCCCAAAAAAGTTCTTGGTGAAGTCTCTTCAAAAACCGCTTTATCAATGGGAATTTCAGGATCCTAAAATGGAGGTACTGTACCATATAAGGCCATATTTTGTGGGGATATTCACTTACATAGGCCTTATATAGGCCTTATATATGGTAGGTACCTCCATTTTAGGTTCCTGAAATGGCCATTGACTTTAAGGTCAACTCATTGGTTTTAACACCGTCGTCCTTACCAGGCGTTCCGCCTGGCAGGTCGAGACACAAAAGTTCAAACTCAACGTGTGCAGTGCCATGAGTGGCGAACCCTTGGCGCAGATCCGCCCCTCGGCGGCTCGAAATGGGAGAAATAACATGAATAGAAACTAAAGACATTTGAGAATATGGAAAATTAGCTACTCTGAAAAATAATTCCACCAGTTTTCACCACATTTATTCAATGGAATTGGATTTTTGCAATGAACATGGCGCTTTTGTGAATATACCCTATTTTCAGACACACCCGCATCCCAAAGATGCTACCAGAATTTTGATGAAACAAATTGCAGGTGTTCAACTACAACCACATTTGGATGAATTTTGAGAGGTTTTGACCCATACACATGTCGACCCAGATACATGGAATTCGGACTTCGTGTCAGTGGGTAGAAGAACTTCATACTGAAAGAAAGCAAAGGAATACGCAACTTGAGCAAGCTTGCTGTTAGCTTCCCCAGTTTGAGCTTGTCGCTGCATCTCTCAGTGCTCCATTTTCAAAATGATCAAAATGGCTTGCTGGATGCCCTTTTTTGGGGATGGTGATAGTTCTCCCCTTCTCTGATCCAATATTCTCCAATCATCCACTAACCATCCCCAATTTTTGCCGCCGTGCTGGATCCCCAGGCTTGAAGCCCACTGACTCAGTCCTGCAGCTCTGCGAAGCTGTGGTGAAAGAGATGGGCGAAAAGAACGGCGGAGCCGTGGTGTCCCACTCCATCATCTTTCAGTCCGAGGTGTGGTGCAACGGGTGCAACGGGTGCTTTCCGATCCCAACGGACGGTGAAGGTAGCACTGGAAACGGTCATCTGCAGCCGAGTCATGGACGTATTTTTGGAGCTGTTGTTGTTACGATAAACATCCAATGTGGTATCCGTAGGCCATGGATCCTCACCCTTGCAGGTGCTGCCTCAACATGTATCCTTGAACGAAGTCACTCTGCTGGGGATGGACGGTGCTTCGGGGTTCTGAAGGCTTCTGAATATGCCTTCAGAACTGGTTCTTGAGGCTAACTTGTACTTAACCTTGGATATCAAATCAGATTCCCTATTCTATAAGAACGCATATTTGTTTATTTCGATGGTGCTTTGTTTTTCAATCTTATTGGGACTCCAATGGAGCAGAGATATCACTGGTGAAGTGTTGGACTTCAAGACATCGCTTGGGAATGACACCCGCAGCCAGAAACAGAACCAGTGCTTGAAGTGGACTTGTCATGACTTATCCAGATTAACTGGCCATTTTGGTCATTCAAATTGTGTTCAACCATATAGGCGATGTCCAAATAATTGATTGTGTAGTCTTTTAAACAATTTTCACATGGCAATCGGTATCCCATAAAGACACACCCATCCATTCACCGTTCTTGCTCATGTTATCGCGGGAACCTCTGAGGGGACATCTACATCCCCAGCTTTTGTGGATCCCCCGATAGCACGGTGATTGTTGTCTGGATCCTCATCTCATTTGTTGTCACCGAAAGTTAGGCTTGGTTCAATACCCCACCATAATTTCTTGGTTAGTATATATATATATATATCCCACCATTATTATATATATATATATATTTCCCTATTTGTTGGTTAGTAGTGTTAGTACATCCTTAATGAGCCCAACCAATATATACATATATAAATCTATATAAATCCCTAGAAAAAATCATGGATTGATGACCATTCCCTTTGAGCCAAAAGAGAATCTCACTTCCAAACCACGTTGTTTTGGTCAACTGCCAAAGAAGCATTGTTGTTGGTTAAATTCCCATTTGTTGTCCATTAATATCCCAGTTCTTCTTGATTAATACCCCCTTTTTATTGTTGCTACTAAGCCATATTTATTCAGCATGTTGCTACTAAGTTCCCCACTCAAATTGCCACAAGTTCTGGACAAATCCACCATTTCTGGACAAACCCATGCCCAGCCACTCCATGTTCTCCATTAAAGCAGCCGGACAAAGCCATATAAGTGCTTTGGAACATCATTTTCCATCATTTTCCCACAAAAGCTGCAAGAAATTAGATGATATACACCATTTCTGGAAAGCCATATCCAAATCGCATCGGTGGTTATTAACCGTGAATTGCTCCGTGGTTGGTAAATCGATGTATCCCAAAAAAATATCTATTGTGAACATCCCCATCATTGATGATATATTCAGTAACATCCATGAATTCAAAGAATATGTATATTTCTATCTATCCATTACCCTCTGGTAATTTAACATAACTATGGAAAATCACCATTTTTAATGGGAACATCCACTATAAATGGCCATTTTCAATAGCTATGTTAAATTACCAGAGGGTAATCATATCTACTAGTTATCCCTGAAAGTCAGATACTCACCCCTATCCTCCCCATTGGATTGTGATCATCCACAATTTTTTGCCAGGGTAAAATAATCAGCCACTACATGCCTATACATCCCATTATTCTCCCATTATTCAGTTGTTATGTCACTATCAGACTATCATGTCAATATGAAATTTCGTTGTTATTCCACTCGTATTCGAGGATTATTCCACTAGATTCTTGTCATTCCATTCTTACTATTACTAGTGTATACTATCCCATATTCTTATCCCATAAAAATCCTCCATTGACCATAAATCCATGGTTCCTTGATGTTCCTTGTAGGGATTCCCCACCGGCACCAGGTTGGACTTCGCGATGGGGACACCGTGTACTTCGCGCGCAGCCCTGTGAGATGCCTCACGGCCTCTCACGATGGCTCCGTGGGAAACCTCAGTGGCGCTCAGTGGGCAGAAACTCTGAATGGATGGGTTTAGAACATGGTTTTATAGATGGGTTTATAGATGATATAACTCACTATGGTTATATAACATGGATATATAAATGATATCCCAAAAGTGGGTTTATAGATGATATAACTCACTATGGTTATATAACATGGATATATAAATGATATCCCCAAAGTGGGTTTATAGATGATATAACTCACTATGGTTATATAACATGGATATATAAATGATATCCCAAAAGTGGGTTTATAGATGATATAACTCACTATGGTTATATAACATGGATATATAAATGATATCCCAAAAGTGGGTTTATAGATGATATAACTCACTATGGTTATATAACATGGATATATAAATGATATCCCAAAAGTGGGTTTATAGATGATATTCCACAGATAGTTATAGATATAGATGGTTTATAGATGGGTTTTATAACTTTCTCCAAATAGATGGATTTTCGAAATTGTATCGAAATGTGGTTTATAACTTTATAACTATGGTTTATAACTATGCTTATCCCAACTATAGATGGCCTTCTCCAGATGGTTTATCGGATATATGATATAACTCACTATGGTTATCCCACAGATAGTTATATAACAGGGATATATAGTGATTTATAACTATCTACAAAAGAGGGCAATTGTCTATGGTTTTATAGATATCATGGTTTTATAGATGGGTTTATAGATGATATCCCAAAAGTGAGTTCCAGCTATGGTTATCCCCCAACCATAATAACTATAGATACCCTCTGGAAATTTAACAGTTTGCTCTCGAAGCCATGGCCCATTTAGTTCGTTGATTTACCTATTGAAAATGGTGATTTTCCATAGCTTTTTGTACGTTTACCAGAGGGTATGTATGTTGAAACGAATGTTCCTAGGACTGTATATATATATGTATTCAACATATGTTTCTAACGGACGTTTCCTGAATTTCCGGTATGTTTCATTTCAACGATGGTGGTTTCAATGTATATTCTCCATCAATTCTGAAGAGGAACCGGGTCGTTTTCGGAGGATGAACGACATATCACCATTGATAGGGACTCACGGATTTACTCATTATAAGGATTCCTACCATACCCCATATACCATGTCACCTCACCATGGCACGTATGAGTAGACATTGCTGGCTTATTTGGCATCACTTTCCCAGTAGACATTCCCTTTTTTTGGAGCGTTATTTCCGATTTTCACGCACACCCATATGGGTATGGGTCACCAAACACAGCTGGTATATAAATGTATCTTTATCCCCCAAGCTATGGTAGGTCTTTGATCCCTCCCATATGAGATCTTCGATACTTGGAACATTTCTATCTTATCTCCAAGTAAACAGCCGTCTCTGTGGTGATAGCAATCGTGGCTGTTCAATTTGGGAACACCTCCGTATGTGGACCATGGGATACACAGAGCTCACAATGGACCAATGGTATGGGCATGTGTGGGCAAGAATGTAAGGCCACAGATTTTGTCCACTTCTGACGAGTATGTGGAGTCTGGTCATAGGAGAACATCACATTTCATTGTTCAAATCTGCATTTTTTGTAGGTTTCATCAGTTTCATCTCCATTTTTGACCCCAAGGCCACAGTCTTTCCGTTTTTTTCTGAGGTTTGCCTTTGGGACTTCAACGAATCCTCTTCTTCAGAGCCCTATCTCCGCCTAAGCTTCTTGGCAGATTGGAGCCAATGGTACCAAGGTGTTGATGCAAGGTACAATAATCCGCAGCAAAGTCAAGATCCACAAATTCTTGGGCTGTCAATGGCTATTATATATAGATATATCACTGATATATCTAGATGATCGGAAGTATACAGTATACAGAAGAATCAACTGCAAATTTGGGATTGGATATTCTTGTGGATCCTCAATTGAGTGCACACAATCACAAAATGTCTCTAGATGCGCGCATCGGTCAGATAAATCAAGGGTTGTGAATGATTCCGCCGCGGTGTTTTCCAAATTTTTCCATCTAGGTGTTAAACCATGTCCATTGTAGAAACTGCTGACATTCCAAGATTAAGAATTGCATTGCAGACATGGACATTTCAATATCTCTCAATATCTCTATATATTTCAAATAGACACACACACAGATATATATATACATTGTTTCATATGCACATTACATTTTGGTAGGTAATTATATGTGTTTTTATTGAATTCGTGGTTCATTCATAACACAGAAATACAGCGGTCAGAAATCCGACGCCACGTCAGGACCAGGTGGGGCTCTGAAGAGTGCCCAGATCTCCTCATGTGGAACACTGTCACCTGGTGATTGAAGCGGCGGTGGAAACACGTTGGGTGACCCTCCGGTAGTCAAAGGTGGCATGGAAAATCATGAATTTATGGATGAATTTCCCATTCAAAACCTCCATTTATAGAGTTATATCCCTATGAATGGTATATCTCCATCTCTGATTCTAGAATTATCCCTATCATGTCGCCATGATTGTAGCAATTTCCGAGGTCCAGCTGTGTCATGGGTCAAACGCTTCCCCAAATCCACCGGTTGATGCTGTCTTTACCGGAACCATAGAATAGATATATAGCAAACCCTACAGGATGGTGCCCCCCAGTTATAAGTTGGTTTATAAACCCCATTAACTATAGTCATATCTGCCATAAACCATAGTTGTGGGAGTTATGTTCACCGACTTAGCTAACGAACTGGGGCACCACCTTGTAGAGGTATCTATACAATTCTATACATACATATGTATATATATATATATATGTGTATATATATATCAATATATACATATATATATATATACATATACATACTTATATATATATGCCCTAGAAAGATAGAACAGTTGGAAACTCGGCTCGGCAAAATCACCTGGAGCACATGGGGATTTCGCCAGCCATCTGTTGGGGGGAAACTAACCATAGTACCGACAGATGGTCAATGGTTAGTTTCCCCCCAACAGATGATATAAAATGGCGTGTAACCAACAGATGATATAAAAGGGCGTGTCTGAAAATGGGGTATGTCATAAATAGCCATGAAATAACAGGGACATACTAGGATAAACTATCAAATTTGGGGATACCCTATTTTCAAACAAAGCCATGTAAAGCTGGTTCTATTCCATGTAGAACAGGCTGTACCATTGTTTTTTTTTTTTTTTATCACCCTCGAAGGCTCCACGGCTCTGTTTTTAAAGGCTAGCACTGTCGACAGAAGACGGTGGCAGCGGAAAGCTCTACTGTTCGGAGACTTCCGACTACATCGCGACACTTCAAGGTGGATGATTCGGGATGCCATGCCCAGATGGCGGATGTTGGAAGGAACCAACATAGTTAATATATGGATAAATCTATGGTTAATATATGGATAATCTATGGTTAATGGTTAATGAAATATACCCTTGGGAAATTTAACAGTTCGCTATTTCAATTCGCAATTTAGTTCGTTGATTTAGCCAGCTATAAAATGCTGATTTGTCCAGTTCGCTTTTTGTATGTTTACCAGGCCGGGTACAACATATGAAAGGTGCAAAATTTGAAGCTATGTCCATAGCTTCTGGTAGCTCTTTGCCAATTCTCTCAACTTTGAGAAGCAGGAGGTGAGTCTCGCTGGTCGTTTGCTTGTGTCTGGGGTATCCGTCTTTCTTTGTTCAACCAATTGACTTCCCCATTTGAAGGTAACATTTTCATTTTTGCTGTTGACACAAGCGTTTGTTCCTCTTCCCAAAGTTTCTTTAATTGGATGAAGGGAAAACCACCAGGAAACCCTTGCATTTAGTGAGCAAAACCAGTTGGGTTTCATTGGCTTCCCAGACTCTTTGACATTTTGATGGACGCGTGACAAGAAAGCTCGGACAAACTCCATGTGGTGCAAAATTGGTTTTTCAAACTAGTTTCAAATTGAAACCATTCCAGCGATTCTTTTGTAATTCCTAAAAGTCACGGTTTTACTATATAAAGACTTACTTTCAACCGCCGATTCCCTACTCTCGGGGCTGCACTTGGGTTTTTCACCATGGCGATTTCACCAAATTATGTCCTCTACGCCAAGAAAAATCAACCACCGGCCCCCTTTTTAAAGGTCCCAAACTCGTCATCTGCGCCGTCCGGCTGCGCCGCTAGGGGGCTGCGCCCTGGGCGAATTTTCGCCCGACGGCAGCCGCGTGGTCGGCATCGATTCCAACGGTGCGGCCGTGATTTGGTGCGCGCGCAGCGGGGTTGTTCTTCAAAGGCCGGCGATGTCGGTGATTTTTTTTGGGCTTTCGAAGCATTTTGATGACATGGACCTGGCTGATGATTTTCAAATCATAGGGGGACCTGGCTGATGATTTTCAAATCAGTTCAATGAGTTCAATGATTTTTCTAAATTTCCAAGTCAGACAAGGGAAGTCTTGAAACCCATGGTGGCGACTGGAGATCCCATTGACACCTTTGATTTTGGGGGGGATCAAAATCCATCCCCGGATTCCTGGAGAATGGCCATTTAGTGCGAACGGATTTGCCTATTATATACACATGGTGATTTTCCGTAGCTAGCTATGGATGACCAGAGGCAAAAAATGGATGACCACTAGCTGGCTGGTTTTATTGACCACTTGCTAAGTGGGATGATCCTCAGTTTTGGTTTCCACCATTGCAAATATTGGTTCTCTTGCCCAGCGCTGGTGATCATTGTTCGCTTATGCTGCAGAAAGATAAAGACTTCAATGAACCAACCAGTTTTTTGGGTGAATTCCCATCAACGTCCCCTCTTTTCATCCATGAATTAATTCTGATCCAAGTTTGATCACCCACGTTTGTGTCTGTCAAGGTCTCCACTTTATTGCGCTAAATGCCCGGTTTTGCTTACATCTCCACTCTCGTTGGTTGCGGTTTATCCCTTTCTTGTTGCCGATCCCTCCTGAAATGCCCCAAGAACTCTCATTTTCTTGGTCAAAGACCCATCTTTAAGGCTCATAAAGTCTTTCTAATTCTCAACATAAAACACACACACACATATATATATATACATTCGTTAATATTGATATAGTACGTATATATATATATATACACATGTATATATATATACATATATATATATAATAAATAAATATATATATATATAATATATCATATTTGTACTAATATGTACTTCTCATATATCATCATTTTCGGGTTGTATCCTGCGCAGGATGTTTGCCCCAAACGCTTCATCCCAATGGGATTCGGATTCGGATGACGACACTGAGTTCCTTGGGCGGAGTGTCACCGGTGGTTCCAACACACCTCTCTTTTTACATGGGAAGAGATGGGAAGAGATGGGAAAAATGGGAAAAGATGGGAAAAGGATGGGAAAAGGATGGGAAAAGGATGGGAAACATCTCACTCTTGATGGTTGAGATGATCTAATTTAGCCCAAACGGGATATATTTTTCTTGTAGTTTCTCAAATTAGATGTTCATGATACGCGTTTTTCAACAAGTCTGGACTGATCTGCACCATGTCCATGTCCAACCCCCCTTACCAGGAATTGTATCTCAGTCAACAGTTGACTTGGACATCCAGTTTTGCTACGAATAAACAACATAGCCTCCTGGCACCAGGGCAGCCTAAAATCATCTAAAATCCACCAGGTGTAGATTCCCATCCTTGCAGGTGCCAGGTGCATCCCAGGAATGGTAGACCAGCGGTTCCAAATCCAAGGTAAATCCCGGAACAATAGGAGATGCAGAGTGTAAAAAAGAGGTCTCTACAGGACGTGCGAAATCTCAAAAGCTGGATTGTATACCGATATCGGGGAATGGTCATCAATCCATTCATAGGGATTGATATATATATATATACAGTACCATTTCTTTCAGGATTCTCATTGAGGGATAGATAACCATAAAGTATATACCATGTTTTGTCCCTAGCACATACTGTTGATGGAAACAATCCTGCACCAGTTGATAGGTGATTTATCCCATGATTTAAAGGGTTTCAACCATCCTTTCGGTGGTGCAGGATTTCTGCCATAGACAGCATGTATTGGGTTGTTATTGAGTCACTCTTATTGGTGCTTGGCATTGCTTGGTTGCTATGTCCGATCAGGTCCGTACATACATAAACTGTCCAACTAGAGATTGACGATTCAAATAAGACTATTCAGTAAAACCGTTCAACTCAATGCATATCTACTCGAAGCAAGAAAAACTCACCACTTCAAATCTGCAGCCCCTTAGGATGAGCTTTGCACATTTCTCGCCTTGCGGCAAAATGGTGGTGACCGCCGCCGGCTATTCCACCCAAGTGTGGGACACCGCAGGCACCGCGGTTGGGCGGATGTTGGGCCAAATCACTGTGGGATACTGTGGGCCAGTGAAGTAAGGGGTGTCGAATTTACCATTGGAAGTAAGGGGTTTACAATGAGTCATGAGGTTTTTCACAACCGGGCGCGCCCCTTCAGCATCCGTTCTTCTCCGAAAAAAAACTGTGGCTGTCTCCTCGAGAAAATCTGACAGGCAAGTTGCGACTGACCCTGCAGGGTCATCAGGGTTCCGTGAGATGTACATCTTTCTCATCTGTTGCTTGGCATGGAACGATGGCTACGTCGGAACATGTTGGGAACTTCCCAAATTCCAGATGTTTTTTTTTTCGTTTTTTTTTTTTCCAGATGCTTTTTCTTTTTTTTTCTGGTCAAGATAATGGCAATTCTTGGGGTATACATCATGGTATAGCCGCATAGCCATATTTTCGGACACACCCAGATTGATGGACACAGAGATGTGTCGCCTACATGTTGACCAACACGTAGATGTGTCCGAACATGGCGTATACCCCAAAATGGCAATTTTAGTAAAGAACATGATGATAAACGACGCAGTTTTCCCAACATTTTCAAGTACCAAACCCATGTATGTTTTTAGGTTCACATCAAACCAGTTAGAGAGTCCGCTGCTGAATCAACAGTAGAAGTGCAGAATCTCCAACGTTTCAACCTTGGATTTTAGAAAAGTAATCTCTCGGTCTCCATTGCCCCGGCGTGGGGTCGATGATTTTTTTCATGGCCGTTTTCACGGCCTTTCTATGATGGGGTCCCATCATGGCTTGATATCATGGCTTGAACACGTCTGAAGTTGTACTAAACATTTCATAAACATCCACTAGCCCATGTCCAAAAATATCAACGAACCAGGACAGCCGATATTTGCTGACCGCGTCATCGGACGACACAGCCCGGATATGGAGCTGTGAAACGGGCAAGTGCTTGCGAATTCTTTAGGGTCATCAGGCGATGGATGATGGGGTGTCCCTCCTTGGTGGGTTGATGGATGTTGATGGGTATCATGCCCAGTTGTATATGTATATATATATATATTTATCTATTATATATGCAATATATATGTATATATATGTATGGCATTATATATTATATGTATATTATATATATATGTATTCTATATATGTATACATGAAATTATATATATATACTTATGTATATAGTCAATTACAGTGTTAGTATATTGACAAATAACATATATTACAGGACGAAATAGCGAAATGATGATTAGATGGTACACCAAACGAGCCCTCCATTTCTCCAAAAGGACAGCAGTGGCACTGCTTTGGTTTCCACCAGCTCCGCAGATGGTAACAACCAGAAATAGCCATGGATCTTTCACTACGGTAATGGTTGGATTATCTGTACAAATGGTTGGCAATCGGGATACCACCATCTATGTCTGTCATTCTCATCACTTCACCACGGGGTATACGAAACAATAAGCAAGCATCAGCCTTCAAGCTCTGCTGGTCCTTGGATCATTTCTTCTGGGGCGCACCGCCATCACTACAATATTTCCAATCACTTAACAGCATCACCCAGGGACCCATCATCAACCATCACCCGCTCTGTTCAGCCATCAACCATTCTCAACCATTCTCAACCATTCTCAACCATTCTCAACCATTCTCAACCATTCTCAACCATTCTCAACCATTCTCATTCTGAAACACGTCATCCCATCGCCAGGCATCATCCCTTCGTATCATCCCCTCGCCAGGGGGCGCTGAACTTCTGCAGCTTCTCTCCCAACAGTTTGAAAGCCATCACCGCTGCGCGCGATGGTACCGTGAAGCTTTGGGATTTCGAGGAGGGCTTGGAAGGCCCTTCCTGCGAGCGGGAGCTTCGCACGGCCACTTGGTGAAACACCTTTGGGGGCCGGTGTGTTGGAGATCTAAATAGCTTTGAGTAGTTATGCTGACATCTACTTTTCTGCCATCCCCTGATTTTTTTTTAAAATAGATGTTTCAGATGCCTTTGCTCCCAGACATCTTTGGGCAACACGGAGCCATCTCCAGATCGTTCATTAAGGAATGCAGTTTGTCTCTCGAGGCCCAAGGCCGGGCCCGAATGGCATCAGCTGGCTATGGGAACATTATGATAATGGCAGACAAGACCATGTTTCTCAGGGGGGAGTCCGGCAAACAAGTCCATGACTCCCTGACTCGCTTGGACAACCATGAATTTCTGAAATTTGGGCATCTTGGCCCTGAACAACCCCTGGTATTTTGGCCAGCGCCAAAATAAGCTGTAAACGGATGTTCATTCCCTCCCAATATGATAGTGGAATCCAAATTCGATCCGTCTCCCTCGGACGCCCTGGTTTCGTATTGGATCTATTCATGATTTGGGGTACCAACCATTGGCTATTCTAAAAAAATCTAGTATGTTGGCTGTAAAGTTCTATCATGGTTAAACCATACTAAGCCCCCCTTTGTTGATGGTTAAAGCCCCTCTCAATATTGGCCTCGAGCACCAAACAACCAGAAATCGGCATGGTCGTTTCGAATCCCTGCACAATAAATGGTTGGCAATGGGCAACCACCGTGGCTGTTTCTGCTTTGCTTGGTTGTTTTGGGATTGAACATTATTATATAGCCATTATTAACAGACAAATTATTCAATATCCATTATTTATCATAAAACATTTCATTTTTACCCATTGTTAATCCCATACATATTATATATATACATACATATTAGCTCCAAGATAAGTTATTATTTACACTTTAACCATTATTCCCATATTCACCGTCCATTCTCAATCTCATTTTAATGTTTTGGGATTGAGCGTTATGTACAATCATTACCAAATCATTATCATTTTAAATACGTACTAGTCTTAACTACAATTAATCCATGATTAATCCATTCTTCACTGCCATTAAACCATTATTGACCATTATTAATACAGAAGGGGACACCCTGGGAGTGCGGTTTTTCACTGCATTCTGCAACCACTGACACTGCAAATGTGCGATGGTTCTCTCACTGCTTTGCAAGCATTGACAATTTTGCTTGGTTCTGTTAATACCATTACCAAACCATTAATCCATGATTAATCCATTCTTCACTGCCATTAAGCCATTATTGACCATTATCAATACCATTGACGTCGAAGCGAAACTGCGGATGACACTGCAGGAGGCGTCGTCAGTTCAGCTTGTTTCTCTCCGGAGGGAGCCAGGCGTAATTCTCCGGCGGGGACGCGTAATGTTCACATCGTCACCACCGGGGTTTACGGCGTAATGTTGGCACAACAATGCCATAAACCTTAGGTTTACCATAAACAATATGGTGAATAGTATGGCTTATGATGGTTTTCAATAATGAATGAAATAATATGTTGAAAATAATAAACCATCCCCAATTTCATCATAAATGGGTGATATGTTTACCGTTCCCAGTCATGGGTGGTTTTTATGGCATTGTTTTTCCCACAGTATAAACAGTGGTTGTAGTAGCACCTGGAAAGAACATAGGAAAGATGGTGGTGGGACGACCATACCCAATTTTTTTCCATGTAAGTTGAATTTGGGCATAGATTTCACCCCAGTCCTAGATGAACATGATGAAGGTAGTAGTTCCAAAATTAGCAGCTGCATAGATATCGCCATCCCTGAACTTTGGATGCTGCAGGTTTGCAAAGTTGTTAGTCACCACCCTTCACCAGCACTATTTCGTTGGTCATATCAGATCTCCGTGATGTTTAAAGATATTTTTGGTAAGTCATGAATCAGCCCGGCATGATTTTTGAGTTCTACCCAGTTCTAGCCCCATGGAGGACCATCCCACCCGACCGCCCTGGGCCGGAGGCTTCTGATGGCATGTGCATCTGACACCGTGCGCCTAGTCAGTGCCACGGGGCAGTTGCAGCTCTCATTGGAAGGCGGCTGCGAGTTGGGTTGGATATGCCATTGTAACAAGTCTAGGATAAATCCAGAGATGAGTACCCTCTGGTAATTTAACGTAGCTATTGAAAATGGCCATTTATAGTTGATTTTCCCATTAAAAATGATGATTTTCCATAGTTATGTTAGTTTACCAGAGGGTAGGTGGAAAACTTGGTGTCCCCAAGTGGTGAACCAAAAAAACCCTCGTGTTCTGGGCCTGGCTCGCCTGCCCGACCTCTATCCGACAAGGTTCCCAATGAGCCCATTCAACACTTACTGCTTCAGGTGAAGTGGACAAAAGTTAATAACCTATACAACAGCATATAACATATATAACATATATAAACCTGGGTCCTAAGAGGCTTAAGAAATCCCCTCTTACTTACCATAAATCCACGAGATGGACACCCTGGAGGCCTCCACGAAGATTGGGTGAGATCCGCGAGTTTCTCACCAGATGGCTTACTCATTGCCACGGCCTCGTACGATGGCAGCGCTGGCATTTGGCATCTTGGTGATCTTGGTGGGGCTGGAACATTCAGACAGGTGATTGGGGATACGTTCGTTGGACTGTGGATTACCCTCTGGTTATGTCAAAATAGCTATTGAAAATGGCCATTGATAGTGGATTTTCCCATTAAACATGGTGATTTTCCATAGTTATGTTAAATTACCAGAGGGTAACTGGGGGATTAACTGGGGGATCTAACCATCAAACCTGGGGCAGATTTGCGAAGTAAGTATGTGCAGAGCGGAAACCACAGAGTATGCCGCCCGAATTTACGCACTCATAAAGGTGGCCAGGGATGTCTTCTGCAACCATGGGCACGCATGGACATGGCAACCGCAATGAGCTGGAAACAATTTTTTTCATTTTTTTTCAAAGTTGGAGAAGTGGCACCTTTCACCAGTTTCATCTATTTGGGTGAGCCTGATTTATGTTTGCTTCTACTTCGTCGTTCAATCTTCAACATGAAATGAACGAAGAGTAGTGATTGCTTCAAAAGTGAAAGGGGCATTGGTCTTGCCACTCTGAACATCACCAGCAGTCATTTACAAGGCACTGGATTTTTTTTGGGGCATTCAAGACATGCTATGCCCAGTTTGGTGCCACCAGGTTTTCCCGAAATTTGACCCAGGAGTGCAACGAGCGGAAAGTGCGTGCGCGTACTTTCAGGACACAGCCAAGCTGTTGTCTCTGCTCAATTAGTTGCATGAGCCGAGATAGGTCCGGGCTCCCATGGGATGCCATGGGATGTGGGCTCTGTGAAGGCTACCATCTGACCCCAAAAACATCAGTTACTGGCATCCGTTTCCCAGGGCTCAAAATGGGTGTTTCCCACCAGGTCGGAGTACCTGAGGAACATGACGCCCAAAATTCGACATCCAATGATATTCCATTGACTTTAGATCCCAATGTATTTCCATAAAACCCAGATTCCTCCTATTCATGGATTTTCCCATCATATATCCCCATCATAACATCCTATTCATTGATTTTCCCGTTTCCCAGTCCATATCATATCCGCATTATAAGATCATATTCATGGAATTTTCCCTCATATATGTATATATATATATATGTATATATATATATGTATATATATATATATATCGTCACGCCCATGATCATCATCTAATTTTACTGGCATTAACAGTATAAATGCACTCTCTCTCTCTCTATATATATATATATAGATACATTTATTTATATGACCATTTTCTGCACCATTTCTGCCATAAGAATCCCCATTTTTGATGCCAAAATGTCGACTGGAAACCGCCTCCCACCGCCTCGCCGTGCAGTTGAGCCGCAATGTGAGGCAATGCGTGAGATCCCAGTTGGTTGATTTTTCGGGGGAATTTTCATAGGAAAAATATGGCTTTTGAAAAAATAGATGGGAAAACATGGGAAAATGATGGGAAAATGATGGGAAATCCCCAAACTCAATGGAGGTTTGATAGTTGCAGAATGGTGCCCCCCAGTTATAAGTGAATGTTGGTTTAGTTTCAGCCCATGAATACTAGTTCGTTATATCTGCCATAAACCATAGTTATGGGAGTTATATTATAAACCAACTTAGCTAACGAACTGGGGCACCACCTTGTAGAACTGATTGATAAATGATGGTACCAATGGTTGATTCGAAATTTTCATGGGGATTGGAGCACCATTTTTTTTTGGCTTTATCACCATTTTAACCATGACACACACGTGGATTTTGTCATCCAATTGAGGTGATGAATTGATGAATTGATATTATGTAAATGACATGATGTAGTTCATGTCAATCATTAGTATATGTAAACCATTAATATTAAATATACCAAACAATTAAATGCAATTGACTTTCAATCCAATGGATTTTCCCAATTTAACATAATTTGTTGCAATAGCCTCTGGTTATTTGTTACATAGCCATGGAAGCCATGACCCATAGAAATAGATGATTTACCTATTAAAAAGGGTGATTTTCCATGGCTATGTAACAAATATCCAGATGGTATATTGATTTATGGATTTGCCACCTCATGTCATGAGATGGGTCGAACCTCCCATACCCAAGCTTTTGGAAGTGGATGATGGGGGAAGTGTCACAGGGAAATCTGGCAGATGTGGTTTTCATCCACGGGTTTCTGGGAGACCATTGGGTTGGCCGCAGACGACTGGGGGTCCAGAATCGAACGGTTTCGACATTTTCACCATTAAACTGACCATAAATTGGGAGCAGATACGCCATTTCTACATCAATGCCTATGAAACAGGGGGAGGGGACGGTTAGACTGGAACCACCACCTGGGTCAGCTTTGGGAAACCAGCCTGATGCTGGGTTTATGATTCTTAATTAATAGCTACTATGAACTAATGAACTATTACTAACTTTTATGAGCTATCATGAACTATGAACAAACTATAAATTACATGATATGTATTCATAGCATGATGATCATGTCTGCTTTGAGAAAAAAGTAAATAGCGTAGACAGTTTTCCGAAGCAAGACTTGGTAAAGACGCAGTTCCCCCTGGAAATCGTCAGTTTGTGGTGCATCTCAGTGTATCTCCCATTGAACATGAGATTGCTCGCCACTCATGTCATAGATTAGCTGACCATTCTGATCCGCAAGGCACTAACTTCACTAACTTAAGAACATGTGTTATGTTTCGCTGTTTCTTGTGATCTTTTCTGCGCAACTTTCGATGTACATTTCACAAAATCGAAGGCCTGTAACCCCAAGAATGGCCACATGTATCCTGAAGAAATTGGACAGCCGGCCAGGTAGCAACACGCGATCTTCCGAGTGAGAGTGCGTTGAAGTTGCATGATATGTCTCAGCTTCTGCGTAGACTTTGGATAGGAGTTGTGATGCAGGTCACAGCAAATTTGTGTGAGCTTGCAGTTGTTCCCTTGTAGATTCTCCAGAATTCCAGGACTTTTCCGGGGTTTCTTTTCAGCCGGGCCCCCTGTCATTCATCCATTGTGGAAGCTGGGACCGGGATTTTCCATTCAGAAGGTGAGTTGCACAGGACCAAATCGGACAGGTTCCGGACCCATTTCCTCTTGAAATGAAAGAATCTGCCAGTCCAAGATATTTGGCGTCAAATTTGGTCCGTTGTGAAATCTGCAAAGCATAAAGACGCACTGCTGCATGGTGAGGTTTCGGTTGAACGTCTTCAAGGGATGTTCATAGACCCATGCTTGATGGTATTTCGTTTTGACCCAGCAGCGTGCGAGTCCCGTCCCGTCCTGCCCATATGGATGGCGAAGATCCAAAAATGGGCTGCCGGCAAGGGCCGGCGTTTCCTATCGGTTGTAAGTTTTGCCCACTTGGGGGCTTCTGCTAGGGGCGTTCGATGTGCATCCCAGCAATTGGTCAACCCATAGCTAGGGGTTATTATCCCATTCATTCCTTGGTAGGATTTTGTCACTGGGATGCGCCAGTATGGTACCCATAACAATATGAGAAAAAGATGTTGTGATCGGGGGCCCCTTCCCCATTGTCGTTGCCTACGTTCCTAGAAGGTGACACGTCCACGTTGAGAAGAAGATTAGTTGGATGCCTATTTTTTGTGCCTGGATGCTGTCCATGGCACGCTCCGCCAGAAGTTCAGTTGGAGAGGTCTGAATCGAGTCGCATTTCATGTGGATTCAATCAACCGCCCCCCAAGGGACCCCCCAAGAATGGAGTGAATCCTGATGAACAACTGCAAAACATGGAAGGAAAAAGCTGAAAAAGCCATGGGTGCGGACCAAGAGTTGGCTCCAACTGGCGAGAACTGGCCCAAAAACTCGTACGCCGGACATCGATGCGTGCTCCGGCTGTTGGCACAGCACGGTGCGCGAAAACGCCTTGACATTGGAACACAGTGACATCCTGAACGAAACTCAACGATTCAAGGGATCAGAATGATGTCAGAATGATGAAATGTTCATCCAGATCTGGGTACACCAGAAAGATCACAAGAATCATTATTAATTTTCAAATACCCCCATACCCCTGAAATGAGGAGGTCCAGTACTCAACGAGGGGTGTCTGTTTTTTTTTGTATCAGGGGGAAGTGATTAGAAACAAGACATCTCACCTCATTAGGTAGCACGGAGCCCAATGTGAACCCCATCATATTCATTTGGGCTCCACTGAAATCAGGAGCTTCCCAATCCCGGCATTTTCTGACTTTGGAACGATCCGATTTCAAGGATTTTCAGAGGAACTCATGGTTTTGGCGATCCGAACATGTAGGATTTCCGTTGCAACATCTTTCCTTCGTCCAAGGTTCTGCTGTTGATTTGGCCGTTGGGGCGGCTTTGCGCATGTTTTATACAGATGAATCGAAATCGAATTGCCGACACTGGACTGTTCCGCGCTGGCGGCCCGTGCCGTAAGTAAGCCATGTAAAGACTTGCGGCGCCGCATTTTGTCGCCAAGTTGCGCGCGCGGCCGTGTGGGCGTTCACCAGCCGACAGAGTTGGTGGCGTCCACAGGGGCTTTCGCCTTGGGGGTGAAGTCATTGAAACTGGGGAGGTCATCGATGACCCAAGGGGCGGGTCATAGCTTAGAGACGATGAGCCAAGTCATGAAGAATTAGATCCAATACTAAACCAGGTTTCGCATGGGGGATATTTGATAGTAGGGGTAAGGGATTCTTTCGCATTAATGAGTCAACTCGGATTGTAATCATATTTCATATATTTATAGTATTTTTCATATAATAGTATTTTATATAATCTAGTTTTTTTTTGTTTTATTTTATATTTTAAATAGTATTTTGCACACTATATTTCATATTTTAAATTTTAAATAGTATTTTGCACACTATTTTTAAAAATTTAAATAGTTTTTATATAATAGTATATATTTTTTCCACCTTTTTCAACCGTATCATAGGATTACAATCCGAGTTGACTTCTTGGGGATGAAACCTCCGGTTTGACGAAACGAGCGCTGTTCCCTTTTTTTTTCGGAAGTGCCGTTACGGCCTGGATCCAGGATGAAACAGTCATTATAATATGATATAATATAATATAATATTACATTATATTATATCAGAGAACAGGAAATATAGGAAATATAGGTGAACACTAATACAAATAACATAAGACCAATAATCATGATTGTAAATTATCATTAATAGTACAAGTTATAACAATGATCATAAGCGCAACAATACTACTGATTTTGATGTCCCAAGGCGAGGTCTTTTCACACAAGATGGTGCACATATTTTCCCCCCGCTGCACCGGGCAGATCGGTGACAAAGGATGCGGTCGCAATTGTCGTGGACCTTGGGCCCGTTGGGCCTGTTGGGCTGTTGAATTTGCGTGCGCCACATTGAAATCCACAACCAATTCCCATTGACATGGGTTGTGAAGTCGTGTCAAATTGAGTCAAATCCACATATCTAATGGCAATTTTCCCATGTATGATTGATTGTCCAAACTACTTGGATTTGCACTCCAGTTCGTAAGTGATAACCATATAACACAACCGAGATGATGATGATGATGATGATGATGATTATGATGATGATGATGGGATTTCGCGATCTAACCCAAGATCACATATATATACATACATACATAGATATGGGTTATTGTACAACATTTACAAACCATGTCCTAAGCTAAACAAACTTTCCGGACCTGATTTTGGTTCCATGGCACTCCAATTTCCAAGCAATCCCAGTGGCTGCTCAGAGCCCCCATTATCTCATGTGGTTAGGGGATCTTCCAGTAGCAATGATTGACGACACGGTCCGATGTATTTAGACAGTGCAAGCCATAAAGTGATGAATTGATGACTCAGCAATTTGCGGTTAAAAATATAGGGGTTTGGCCACTGAAGTGCAGGGATGCTGGGATCACAACCCATGATTCCAGAAACACCCAAGATACGTTCGTTGGTTTTCCTTTTGAATCCTTGCGGTATCAGAGCAAGATAGGTTGTTGTTAGCAGAATGACTGCTTCTATGCCGATTAACCGGTCGATTCTAGACGGAATTGGCACTCCACGTGATGAATTTCGGTGAGATTCACGATGACTCCAGGTCTTTTTGCCAAACAGGAAAAAACCCGTTGTATCCCGGTTCTGGTCTCGGTAGCATTTTGATGAGATTTCATCCCACATCAGGGATGCTCAGGTTAGGTGGATCATAGATTGACTTCACCGATGGACCCATTCAAAAATAGGAAAACACCATCATTTTCACAGGGCCTCATGGCCAATGTAGGAAATTCATGATGGATGACCAGGGGCCCGCTGAATCCCGCTGTCTCCTACTTGGCTCAGTGAGTTGACGTTTCCTGGTCGCGACACCGCGACTCAGGCTGCGACGTGTGGGTTTTTGCCTCGAAAAATGCGGAGGTCATTAAGAAGAAATCGTGGATTCATGTGGATTATGATATTTATGTGGATTTCATGAAAAAATAGCGGAATGAAAAAAACATGTTTTCATTTTGGCCAGTTCATGGACATGCCAAAAGTCGGCTTTCGAAATCCTCTGGGTTTTTGGCAGACCGAACCTGGCGGAGGATTCTGTGATGCTAGCTGCATGTAAACCATGGCTGTCATGAAGTAATCTATGATAGTTTGGCATGTAATGACTGAGTCGACTGATAAGAGCCATTGTTGCCCCACACGTTTCCCGCGAAAGACAACCATGTTTAAGCGAGACTCTCGCAAACGCACCATTTGTTTTCGGAAGGCTATTTATTTTTGGTATTTTTTTTGCGGCAGGTGTTGGAATTATTTTTGGGTTCCTGGTTCTATGCTTTCCTGCTTCTCTGCTTTTCCTGCTTCTCTGCTTGTCTGCTTCTCTGCTTTACCTGCTTCTTTTCTTTTCTGCTTCTTTGCTTTCCCTGCTTCTCCGCTTTTCCGCTTTTGTGCTTTACCTGCTTCTTTTCTTTTCTGCTTCTCTGCTTTCCCTGCTTCTCTGCTTTTCTGGTTTTGTGCTTCTGTGCCTTTCTGCTTCTACTATTCAACTTTTTCTTTTCTTCAGTCACATGTTTTTGCTGCTCTACTTCCTGCTCCTCTGCTTCTCTACTTCCTGTCTTTACTGCCTCTTTGTTTTTCTTATTCTCTGCTGTTTGTAAACACCCTAAGTGAAACCCAAAAGACACCTTAAAGAAATGCTGATAAGAACTCCTGAGAAGAAAACCTACATGAAATCCTAAATGAACCCTAAAGAAACCACTACTGAACCCTAAAGAAACCATAAATGAAACCCTAAAGAAACTTTGAATGAAACCCTAAATGACATCCTAAAGAAACCCTAGCGACACTCTAAAAAACCCTAAATGAAACCCTAAACGCTAAATGAAACCCTAAACCCTAAATGAAACCCTAAACCTAAAGAAACCCTAAATGAAACCTGAAAAGAAACCCTAGATGAATACCTAAAGAAACCTTAAAGAAACCCTAAATGAAACCCCAAATGAAACCCTAAAGAAGCCCTAGAGAAACCCACATGAACGTTTGGAAATCCTGATAAGAAATCCTGATAAGAAACCCTACATGAAACCCTAAAGAAGCCATGACTGAACCCTAAAGAAACCATAAATGAAACCCTAAAGAAACTTTGAATGCAACCCTAAATGACATCGAAAAAAAACCCTAAACGACACTCTAAAAAACGCCAAAATGTAGCAAATACCATGCAAATGCGAGGTTGAAGTAGTGCCAAAACGTAGCAAATACCATGCAAAATGGAAGGCGAACATGGCCAAATGTAGCAAATACCATGCAAAATGCAAAATGACCCTGCCAAAATGTAGCAAATACCATGCAAAATGACAGATTCTAGTTCCAAACTGTTGCAAATACAAGGCACATGGCACCAGGAAAGAAAGCCAACAAAAAATCCAAAACCTGAGCCAAAAAAAAACCAAAAACTATTCTGCACCCTTTGTTTTGGCGAAGAATGGCCGTTTCCGGATGAAAGAATCTACAGATCACCAGACTGACACCTCGATTCAGATGTTGAACTGCAATGAACTGCAGATGTTTTCGCTTCAATAGTCTTTGGCTCTCTCTTATAGAAATGAATGGACGTGTGCATGCAGATGTTGGTTTTATATGTTTTTATTTCATTTGGATTTAGCCGGTGGCGGGTATCTCCCAAGATTGGAACCAGGGAAACCAGTGGTGCAAAGCAAGAGGCTTCAAACATCTTGAAACCCAGTCTCAACTACCTTCTTTTCCGCCCCAAACATCATAATTTCCCATCATCCCACTGCCTTTTTTTGGGTCTATATATATCAGCTCCAAAAGGCGCTCAGTCAGCCAATCAGGCGACATGGCAAACGCCAAAGTGTGGCTGCGCTCGGGAGCCTTGCTTGGTGCGGGGTCCTATCATCCCATCCGACAGTCACCGGCCGGATACCGTGACTCATTGACCACCAAGGATCCTGATGATGAGCATTTTACTTTGTTGTAATTGAGGCATTTCTAGTTTCTCCAGGTAAAAAAAATGAGAGGAAGCCCATTTTCGAATCTGGAATTGGAGAAACTCGCCTGGATCGTTGTCATTGCCTCGCCCAGTCTTGGCCAGCATTGCGACCCTCGCACCGCACGGGGCCCCAGATGGGGATGGGTCAACGCCAATGAAATTACCATATGACCGGGGAACAATCCATTCACCAGGGAATTTCCGGTTAGGTACCAGGGTTTTGATACTTAACCAGTTTTCCGGGAACATTATTTGATAGACCATTGCAATTTGCGGTACCCTATTTTTAAATCCAGATGTTGGGAAGTTGCTACTAATTTTGCAGGTCGGGACGCGCGAAGCGCAGAGGTTTGAATCCGATTAACGTTTTCCGGTTTGTTCCTTCCAGAGTTCAAGAGCCATGAAAACAGTGACGTTTAAAGAACCTCGACAACTAGACAAGACACATCTTATTCAACTTTACAAATACTGGTTATGTCTCTATATTGGAAATGAGTTGGCCACATATCAGTCGGGTCCCTTCAACTATCACTTTTTTTTTTCGGGGCCTCAAGACCATGAAACACACTCTCAAGACACAGGCGCTGCTGGACTGAGGTCCAATTTTCTGACCCCCAGCAAGACACCGGTCCGTTGACCCCCGGCGTTCCTGGCAGGGTGACTAGTGGTTGGCAGTTTTTTTTTTTAACGAAATGAATGGATTGTGGTCTCTCCAAAGTATTCCAAAGTAACCTGGAGAAAGCAAAGAATGCATCGAAAGAGGAGGAACATAATTCAATTCATTGCTTTTCAACATGACCTTTGCAATCTCTTGGCATTTGTTTATCATGAAAGCCTGTCTCTAGAGATTTAAGTCCCAAAGGTACAGAAGACAGAGGACATACCTTGAACGAAGGGACATATTGTTTATACTGTGTCATGTGTGTTCGAGTTTTCCCGCCCCCTTGAAGATGTAGTGTGGTATGGGAGAAGAAGTGAGGGCAACATGGCGCAACAGGGCAAGCATGGGCATGTTTCAGCTTCACAGATAATTGCAAGCCACCAGTGAGGCCTAGGATCTCTCACCCAGACTCCTCCCATAACAGAAGCCCTGGCATCCACCAGTCTTGAGTTTTCGCCGCGACCAACATTCCCCAGCCGAATTCACTCAAATTGAAGCTGGGTCAATATGAAAGATGCAGAGAAATCCTCTACTGATCTGCCTCAAAAGATGGACTATCTGGGGAAGCCTTGGAAAGTGAAATGACAGGCTTTGGAAGCTTCCCAACCACATGACTTTCAGGTTTTTTTAAAGCACGTCTATTCTCTATTTTATTGCTTCTTGACACAGCATTTTGACAAAATCAGTTGCTCTTTTTGATACCCTCTGGTAATTTAACATAGCTATTGAAAATCACCATTTTTAATGGGAAAATCCACTATTAATGGTAATTTTCAATAGCTATTTTGACATAACCAGAGGGTAAAACCCCCCACTTTTTTTGGGTTCTGTCACCTGTCTCATCCAAGAATATCTCGTATATCCCATGCACGTGGTTCCACGCCGATGCACTTCTTCTGGGATGATGCTGAAGAGACGGAGGACGAGGTGCTCGGGCTTACCACATTGGGGGCTCAATCCTAGTTGGTTTGAGAAGATATGGTCTATTATATAACTTGTACAGTTCCATGAAGAAAGTCCCTTTCAACCAGTAGCACCAATGCCCATCAGCGGTTCTGTCAACTGCTCACTTGAACATCGCATGCCATGCTGAAAATGAGCGAATTTGAGTTCTTCTGGCTTCTTGACATACTTCTTCTTGGCATTGTTTCCCAATGACTGTTGGGTTTCAACCTCTTGGTCCGGGAGTGGTGCATTGTTTTTTGCTGAGCCCAAAAACCGGAACGGAACCGCAACGCTGGAACCCTGTAACCCTGGAACTCTGGAACCTGCTGTTTGGATTGCAAAGCTGGTTTCATCCTTTTTTACGTCAAAATCCATCAAACAGCTCGATTCCATCTGTGTAGGCAATGGGAGGTTTCTTTCTACTTATAGGTTTATCATGGTTCACCATGATGGTTTATCATGGTTTATCATGATTTAGATCCTCATTTTCCTGGAAAAGATCACTTCGCCAGGCCAAAGAAGCTGACGGCGATGACTCTCCAGGGTGCCAATGGATTTCCTGGGCGATGAAACTGATGATTCTATGTTGAACCATGTTTAATCATCATCATCATTGAAATGATACTGCTCAGCACAGTTTAACCATATTCTTTAACCATAGTTGGAGGTTTCCTAACATGAGTGCACCCCCCAAATCATCCATTTTCAATCATTTTCATTGGATTTTCCATGAAAGAAACCATCCATTTTGTGTACCCCGATTTCAGGAAACACCCATATGTCTGAAAATCTGGTGTAATGGTGGATTCATGGTATCATGGAATATGGCTGAAACGGCATTATAAATGATCATAAATCATAAACATTCATAAACGACAATTTGATGATCAACGGTGGATTTGATGATCATTTTTCTTTGATTTTCCCAACCTTTCAAGACAAACTCCATGTTTTTCTGAGGTTTTGAAGTGTGTTGAAGATGCTTCTGAGGATTTTCGCCAACAATGATCTCCTTTGGAATATGAACAAAAACACATTCAGGTTGAAGGATTTGTCTCTACCAAGTTTCCGTACCTGAGAAAGTGCTCAAACATCTGATATGACATGTGCACAAAAACTGAAACTGATGGATTTAGCCGGCCAAAAGGTTTTTTTGGACATACTCGCATGGTTCACCATCCGATAATTCCATGGACAAAACCTCGGGACGGACTTCACCTACGCACTGGATCTATATCCCTTGAGAAGGTAGGTGCAAAATGAAGAGGTTTACCCTAAAGAAAATTCGAGCGATAACCCAACGAAGGGATCGTAGAATTGAAGGGACCAAACAGGAATCCCACCATATTTTATGGGAGAGACATGGTCTCCCGGTTGCCAGGGAGGAGGACTTCGAAGACTCGCCTCGTCCTCGAAGACTTTCGCAAAGTTCCAGGCGCTCCAAGGACCCGTGTTTGAACGAAGTGCTTAAACTCAAATTGTGGTTTAGAACTCAGGCCTCATTTCTACACTGGTCTGAAGTGAGGCTGGAAAAATCCTGAAAAACACCCGAATCATCTGCCTGAGGACTCCACTGGTAGTGGAGCTCGACGCAGATTTGCTGTGGGGCAACCCAACGCTGGATTTTGTGACGTGGGAGATATTGAAAAATATGGCCGAGAGCTATCTTTTTACATCAATAAAAACCATAGAATCTCAAGTTTCAGTATGAATGAATCGATGTTGCCACGACAATCTATGCGCAATTTGGATCAATGATCAGCTGGTGATGACTGGGTTGGTGATCCCAGTCGCAGGAATTCATCCCCCCAAGCACCAAAAAATGGCGCGTGAACAGGACCGTTTGCTGAAATGATCCATACGGAATATTGCATATATATATATACCCTCTGGTTATTTAACATAGCCATGGTATAGCTGGCCCATAGAAATAGATGGTTTACCTGTTTTCATAGCATGGTGAATCTTTCCATGGCTATGTTAGTCATAACCAGATGGTAATATATATATACAATATTATGCAATATTATATGATATTAAAACATCCTATCACATGATGGTCGATCCTATCACCATACCTCCAAGCAGTTGATGGTCTACTGACTTGGGTACCCAAATCAGTAGATGAATTTTGGACGGTTAATACTAAACATAAATCACACGTGAATATGTAAATCCATTAAATCATACGACATAAAGACATAAATAGATAAATGAATAAGTTAAGATCAGAAAGTAAGTAAGTAAATAAATAGATAAATAAATAACCATCCATATATATATACATATACATGCACCATAAAGCTTTCATTTTCGACCTCCCCAGTTCCGTCCAGGCGGAGGGCCGTGGCGTCAGCATCTTCTCGGTGGGCTCCGGTTTTTCCTCGGCCTCGGTCTTCGATCGGATCGAGCTGCCGCCCGAGAAGAGGCGCGGTTGGTCGCTGGGTCAGGGGTCTGTGGAACCAAAAAAAGACTAAAAAGGGTGACAAAAAAAAAAAGAATGTTCTAGTTTTATATAGTTTCGATGTTTTTGACTTGCCGTTTGATGTGTTCTTCGGCATCTGAATTTGGTTTGCTAAATATTTTGTGGGGAATATAGCTGGTAGAATTGGGGAAACTGACTGGATACCGGATGCAGTCTGAAGTACATTTTTACAATTTAAGCGGCGACATGCTAACCAAACCAGCCAAAAAAAAAGAGCATTTTTTTGCAGGGAATCTAAGAGTGGCCATGCGAATTTTTTGGGGATTTAACGATCACGGGGATATTTCTGTATAGAATATTGCCGTTCTAGAAGGGATTTCACTACTAATGAAAGAACTGGTGAGTTTGGTAGTATTCATTCAAGCTTTACTTTTCATCCATTTTGCTGCGGACGTAGAAATATATATATATATAAATATGTATATATATATATATGTATACACATAAAATGATAACAGTATACATATATATAATAACAGCACATTATATATATAATAATCCTAATTCAATAATCATTCTAGCGATAATAATGATAGTAATGTATATTTACATATATATATATATATATATAAAAATACTGTATATAGATACATACACGTATATGATAGTACAATAATAATAGTACAATAATACAATAACAAATGAACAAACAAATTAAATACATAAATACATACGTACGTATGTACGTACGTGCGTAGCTAGATGGATGGATGGATAGATAGATATATAGATGGATGGATAGATGGATCATGCATACATATATACATACATGCATGCATGCATGCATACATACTTACGTACTTACTTACTTATTTACTTACTTGCTTGCTTACTTGTTTACTTACTGACTGACTTACTTACTGACTGACTTACTTACTTACTTACTTGCTTACTCATACATGCATGCATGCATGCATGCATACAGACAGACAGACAGACAGACAGACATACAGACATACAGTACATACAGACATACAGACATACAGTACATACATAGAGTACATACATAGAGTACATACATAGAGTGCATACATACAGTACAAACATACAGTACATACATACAGTACAAACATACAGTACATACATACAGTACATACACACAGTACATACATACAGTACATACATACAGTACATACATACAGTACATACATACAGTACATACACACAGTACATACATACAGTACATACATACAGTACATACACACAGTACATACACACAGTATATACATACAGTACATATAGGATATACATACAGTATATACATACAGTATGTACATACACAAGTATATACAAGATGGACATAGTCTTCTTTACTGCAAGCTACCTAAGATGAGCTGTGATACAATTTGTTAAATTTTTCATGTGATTCATGAGATACTCCAAATTCTAGCGCAAGTTTCATTGTTTGGTGTTAAACATGATGCACAGCCACATGACCATCATGAGGATGGGTGAATAGCTACTGTATATTTTTCCGTCTACAGATGGATGAAAAACCAACAAAAATTATTGCGTTTGCTTCAAGATTGGAATCCTCCAGCACCATGGCCTGCAGGATTTGCATTTCTCACCCAGCAATCCCTGGCTTCTGGGGATGGTGAAAACTTGCGTTTGCCTTGAATCCACCAACCAGTTGTAATATGATATACATCCACTGGTTTGTCTAAACATATGATATACATCCACTGGTTCATCATTCATCATTACCCAATTAAACGGCTATAAAAATTGGGCCAACTCCCCTATTCCAGACAAAAACAATGTCACTTTGCCAGGGATTGGTACTCGGTGTTGATACCTCTGGGCATTTTGCTCTTCTTCTTGGCTTTGGTCTTAGGCGCGAAATTCCAGGGGGATGGTGATCTCCGTTTTTCATAGACAGATTTCCAGGCGGAAAAAATGGGGACCCACTTTTTTTTGTCCAATCAGCGCCTGAGATTCGATCTGCGACAAGTTTGGGATACTTGGTCTGTTCCGGCAGGTGCTCCTTTGTTTCCCTTTAAACATTGCCACCGGGTGTAAATCACCACTTTTTGGACAAAACCACAAGCTGTTGACATCGCATAAAAATTATGAAGATCCATTATAGTTTCATCCTATCATATAACACCACTAGACAGCATTTATATGCATGTATACCTGTAATCAAACATCGTTTGCTAGAAAATCCCACATTTAATTCATCTTTTTTTCAATGATGTTCCCAGACACCTCCATTGAGTTCCGGGATTTTCCATTTTTCCGATGTTTTTCCCGTGACCGGGGTTGACCCAACAGCGGGTACCACTTCTCCAGGGACGGGCCTCTTGACCAACAGCGTGAAGAGCGTCGTTTTTACCGAGGGCTCCTTTGGTTACGATACCCAGGTGGGGAAAAACACGCTGCGCTGCTGTCTTTAAGGTTCTGTTTGGTTGGTTTATAAACCCATAGACCATTATAAACATAGGTTATAAACCATTAATAACCAAAAACATCAAACAACTATAGATTTTTTTTATAACTAATAATTCTACTTATTAAACAGCTATTAGTTATATTATTAACCATAAACCTTATCTTCTAGACAAGCCCTAGTTACAATAGTCATTTAAAATTAAAACTTAGCAATTCCGTTCACTGGGCACCCACCACCGGTGGTTTTTTATGTTTTTTGTTTTTTTTAAAGGATCTATTGGATCTATTCATTTCGGATGAATCAATTGGGGGTATGGAATCCCTCCATTCATAGAAAAGTCACCAGTTTTTAATGGAAAATCACCAGTTTTGACCCTGAAAATGTCATTTTTTTTTTTTTGAAAATGACCACCAGTTTGACCAATGGAAAATCACTATAGTTTGTTTTTAATGGAAACACTCGTCTTCCAAGCGCGATGACTGGCAGGGTCGAACTGTAAACAATTACTGGAGGGTAATATATTTTATGATATGGGGGGTTTTGTTAGCAATAAATTGGGGATGATGATGATCCATGAGCGATTTCCTAAGCTGGACGTCGATAAAAATGGGCCACCACCACGAAACCATTTGGAATATTTTCGGGATATTGTACATCATACCAAATAGTGGGCGTACAAAAGTAATACACTGCACATCAAGTTCCTCAAGTTAAAGCAATCGGTTTTGGATGTCAACTCTGGCGAAAAAAACAACATTCAAAAATGGGAGCTGTGAAGGCTATCAAAGTTAGGTCCAGTTAGGTCCTTCCACAAAGTTAGGCCCGAAATCGACCTACAGGACCTGGGGGTCACCTTTTTTGGGCCGAGTCTTTTGGATGACTATATTGAATACCCTCTGGCAAACTAACATAACTATGGAAAATCACCATTTTTAATGGGAAAACTCACTATAAATGGCCATTTTCAATAGCTATGTTAGTTTACCAGAGGGTAAATTGACTGCAAAAATGTGACTGGATAGGCCAAAAAAGGCCGGGATTGCACCGAGAATATCTGAGTTGGCTCAACATATTTGCAAATCTCTTTGGATGCGCAAATCTCACTCATGTACGGTCAATTTTTGGCCAGCAAACCATGTTCATATCAGAAGAATAGAATTCTACGTAATACTCTGTAAATGATCGTATAGTGCAATTCCCTATTCCACTTCACAATACTCTTCTTCTTCTCTTCTTCTCTTCTTCTTCTTTTTCTTCTTGTCTTCTTCTTGTTCTGGTGATTAGTGGATGTAAAGGATATATGATATATACAAAAAACTATCCACTATATATATATGGTTTCTAAAAACGCAATATTAGATCATTTTGGATCATATTCTGAACATATGGTTTCTAAAACCAGCCTGATTTTACATTTCTGGTATTAATATTCTGACGCATTACTATATATATATATATATTGTACATCCACTTATGTCCATGTTGCATCCTATAAGTCCCATTATATGCCCATGATACCCCTTATAGATATGTATATGTCCATGATCCCGATATTTAAAACCGCAGACAATAGATACCATGATGGATATTGATAATACCTATATCTTGAGTAGACCCTGTTGTTAACCAATAATAATTATCCCACAAAGACTAGATATAATATAATCCCCATAAAATATTATTTCATACTAAAGATCCACTATAGATCCACTATGCTTATAATGGATTATTGTTGTTTAATACCATTATGATTTCTAAACATATCAATGCATATCAAAAATATTGATAATATGGTTTATATTCTTGGGAATAATGGATATAATGGATACATTGCATACTCAAAACTATCCGCTACATGGTTATTCAATACAATTATGAAAGCGATATTAGATCATATTCTGATCATGTTCTGATCATATATTATAGATATTTTCCACTATCACCATTATGGTTTATATTCTTGAATACTATTATGGTTATCAAATCTGCATTACATCCCAATTATATATGGATATTAACCACATACTATAGATACCATGATGGATATTAGCAATATCTATGACATCCTATTATTCTCCATTATGGATATGACGGATATTGACAATACCTATATTTTTAGTATACCCATTATTATCCATTATACTGTTGGTAAAACAATAATAAACAATCCCCAACACCATAAATAGGTGGCATGTTTAACATTTCCAATCATAGCTGGTTTGTTATTGTTTCACCCACATTAACTATATTGCCAATATACCATTGCATTATACATACTAAAGCCGGTATTAGATCATACTCTGATCATATAGAGATCTTCCCATATCACCATTGTGGTTTATGTGATGAAATACTATTACGGTTATCAAATCTGCATTACATCCCAATTACTATTCTGTTGATACACTATACCTATAGATATTATCGAAATATATATAATATAGCCCTTGTGGATATGATGGACATTGACAATACCTATATCTTTAGTATATCCCATTATTATCCATCATTCAATCAATACCTTTATTAACCGGATATTATGACCATTGTTAAAGCCACATAAAGGTTATTGACACCATATCATACCACAAGCCACAATGGTTATTGACATATTTCACAATGCTTATAATGGTTATAATATCCATTATTATTATTATTATCCATTGTTATAACATTGGTATAACCAAAGTCATTGATATTATATAACCATATGGTTGTATAATGTGCCAACCATATCCGTTGGTTAATACATATATCATAACCATATTATGGGTCTATTACAATGTTATATTATAGCCAATATGTTATATAATGTTATATTATAACCATATGGATATTATTATTATGGTTAATATGTCAACCACATTATCACCATATCCATTGTTAACCATATGGGTATATTATTACCATATGGATATTATAACAATATATATATATATACAGTAATCAATAGTTAATATAGTAATTAAGGACCAATATATAATTCGTATATTAAGGATAATATAGTAATTAGCAATTAATTCAATATATTTATGGGTATATATGGATAATTAATAATGGATAATATGGATAATATGGGTATATATATATTTATGTTATATTATTACCATATGGATATTATAACAATGGGAATTTCAGGATCCGATTGATTGGAGGTACCTACCATATAGTTATGAGAGTTATAAACCAACTTAGCTAACTATGGGGCACCACCTTGTATAGTAATTAATAATTAATTCAATAATATAGTAATTAATAATGGATAATATGGATAATATGGGTATATATATACATATTTATGTTATATTATTACCAATGGGAATTTCAGGATCCGATTGATTGGAGGTACCTACCATATAGTTATGAGAGTTATAAACCAACTTAGCTAACTATGGGGCACCACCTTGTATAGTAATTAACAATTAATTCAATATATGGTTGACAAATTGTAATAATGGATAATATGGATAATAATGGATAATATGGGTATATATATATATATATCTATACCCATATGGTTGACATTGCCAGGTGAGCGACGAAGCCACCGCTCAATGGCTTCGCTGGCGCCGCGCGCTGCGCCTCGCCGAGCCCAGCGTGGGGCTGGGGCCACCAGGCGCCGCGCTTCCGTTTTTTCATGGGGAAAATGATGGTTTTCCATGGGGAGAATGGCGATTTCCATGGGAAAAATATGGAAAAATGATTGGGGGAATCATTTGTGGACGAAATTTATGATCAACTTGAAGAATTTTGGAGTTGACCTGCGGAAAAACATGTTTTCAAAGGTTGTTTTGAAGATACTGATATGTGCGATTTTGGTAATTTTTTCAGGATAACAGCAGAAATGTGGTGAAACTTGACCAACGTGTTTCACCAAATTTGTGGCTAAATTTTCATTTTTTTGGACACTAACATGACACGACTGAGCAATGCTGCCGCTTTGGTGCGGGAAAACACCCCAAAGATGTTGGAATATGGTTTGCTCCTGCTATTCCTACATTGATTGTCTTGATTTGATGTTGATAAGTGGATTTCCTGGCGTTTTTATGCTAGTTTTAGGTGATCAAAGTCCCATTTTGCTTGGAGATTCAGGTGATTTTCCCTTTTTTTCCCAAGGTTTTCAGGGTGATAACGTGACGCAGGTGGACTGGAGAACGTTGCACAGGTCACCTGGCGTCGGCTGGTTGGGAAGCCAAGCGAAGATCGGCAAACTTTGTGAGCCAAGGTGGTGATGTTTAATGGTTATTATATAAACTCTATATACAGTATATATATATATTACCACATTAAACATGATATATCTATATATTATTATTATCATTATTATTATTATTTTTAATATTATATATCATTCTTCTTCTTCTTCTTCTTATTATAGTTATTCTTATTATCATTGCTATACATATCTATCTATCTATCTATCTATCTATCTATCTATCTATCTATCTATATATGTCACCACATTGTATATATATATATATTACCACATGAAATATGATATATATATATATATGCTATTACATTATTATTACAATTATTATTACACTTACTATTATTGTTATTATTATTATTATTTTTTTTTTAAATATTATATATCATTCTTCTTCTTATTGTTATTCTTTTTATCATTGCTATACATATTTATCTATATATATATGTCACCACATTATATATATATATATATTACCACATGAAATATGATATATATATATATGCTATTACATTATTATTACAATTATTATTACACTTATTATTGTTATAATAATAATAATATATATATATATAGTATATTACCACAGTAATATATATATATGGTCCAGTGTTCCAACCCCCCTCCCCCCTGGCCATGGTCATGGGCCAGAGATAGTACTGTCCCCCTCCCCCCCTGTGGTGTGGTGGGGGTGTGGTACTGTATGGATGGTAGGTATGGTATGTAAGTCTGTTGGATATGGTATGTTTGATATGACAGTATGTATGGTTTGTATGGTATGTATGCTTACTATGATGGGTATGGAATGTTTGCTATGTAAGGTAGGTATGGTATGTATGGCATGTATGTTTGGTATTGTATGTACGGGAGGTGTGGTAATTATGTTTCATATGTATGATATGTGTGGTATGCATGATAGGTATGATAGGTATGGTATGTATGATCAAAGTTCGTATGGTATGTATGGTATGTATGGTATCATTGGAATGTATGGTAGGTACGGTATATGTTAAACACATGTAGTGTTGTGAGAGTACACAGGTAGTAAGTTGGAAGTAGATACATAGCACATGTATATATGACTATAGGTAGCACGTAGGTGTTTGATGGAGCATGTGTGCTACGAAGGTCCTCTAAAAGGTAGCATGTACCTAGTAAATGCGAGGCTGGTAGTCAGAAATGCTGCAAAGACCTAGCAAATACGAGGCTGGACTTCAGAAATGCTGCCAATAGCTTGCAAACAGAAAGGAAGGGGGTGCTACCTGGGGACTCATACCAGTGGGGGGGGGGGGGGGGGGTAGAAACACGGAACACGAGACCATATATATATATGTATATATATATATTACCACATTAATTATGATATTGTGGTAATATAAATATCTATTTCATGGCTATTTTGACAAAGCAATATCTAATGGTACTATTCACATATATGTCAATGTAATATGACCACCAAAATGCATTTTCTATACATATATGTATATATATATTATTGCCATTTTGATGGTCATATTACATTGACACATATGTGAACGTGTCACTATGTAATATATATATTATACATATTGGTGTCATAATTGACATATGATATTAATGTACAATAGCTAAACATAATACTTAACACATTCTATTTCTTTTAAGATGTGTATAGCCCATTTGGGTTTGTGTGGAAATAGGGCATCCCCAGTTTCAATGGTTTGTCAGTCTAGAACGCAATTTTCCCTGTATAATTTAAATTGCCATTTAATTTGGAGTGGGGGTAGACGCCATTTTCAGACACACCCAATATCATAATCAGAATAGTGATAAGAATGGTGTTTATATATACATGTAACGATGATGATCATGATGACGACGACGACGACGATGATGATGATAACATCAATAATACTATCACTATCATCATATTGATGTTATTTTTCAAAATAGTACTGGTAATTAATGGATGATGAAAATGATAGCTGCGGCATCTCCTCTCGTTGCACGGTGGCAGGACTTGATCTATCAGTTGCCAACGGGAGACACCGCTTCCAGCGTTGGTTTACAACGCGCCAAGGTCTTCAACTCAGAGAGGTCTAGTGGTAGTACAGCTACCAAGAATTGCCGGAGTAATGTGGGTAAAACAATCATAAACCAGCCATTTGGGAATGGTAAACATACCACCTATTTATGGTGATTTGGGGGATGGTTTATTAGTGTTTTACCCGCATTATATACGATCAGGGCTGTTTTCTCCTGAAACTAGACATCTACACCAGTCTACACTCCAGAAAACTGGACATGGCTCCTCCAAAGCCACGCCAAAGCCATTTTCTCTGCGGGTCCAGGTCCAGTTTCCACAGTTGAATCGTCACCTTTGCGGGGTTATCTCCCTGCTTCGGAGTAGTTTCAAAAGGGAAGCGCCAGTGCGTTTTTTTTTTGGTGAATCCCCTAAATCCAATTTTTGGCCGGTTCAATCCCCATTCTTGTTGCTTCAATTGCCATTTTTGTTGGTGAAACCACACATATTTGATAGTAAAATACTAAATTCGGAGGGCTAACCCAGCATTATTGATGGTAGAATCTGAAATTTGGATGGTGAAACCATCATTTTTGATAGATTTTGATAGTAAAATGCCGAATTTTGGATGGTTAAAACCTGTTAAAACCTGTTAAAACGTACCGACTCGAGGTCGTGGAGGACGCGCTGAGGGCGCTACCGTTATGGGCGAGCCTCTGTGGAGAGATGCCCAGTAGAAACTCGGTGATGAATCTATCACCATAAATAACGATATAATCATGATTATTAATGGTGATGAATATATGTATACATATATCCATATATATATATACATATATCCATATATATATATACACCCATAAATAATCATGTTATATACATATATTATAACCATTGGTCATGGTTATTAGTGATGATTGATGATTATAAAACACCATGACGAATGTTAGTCAATCATGTTTTTGAGTATAACATTATCAGTCATGATTTTAATAATTAGTCAAACATGTTATAATATTAACAATGATTATCACTGGCGATGATTATAACATTATTACAATGATAATCTTACTCACAACGATGATATAACAATCATGAACAGTGTTATAATTATGTTTAATAGTGGCGATTGATGGTTATTAATGATGATTAATGTATATACCCTCCGGTGTCCTCAAATGTGGCTGTGAAAGCCCCGAACTAGCCATGGAGGTTTTGTTCGCTGGGAAAATCATCGAAGTAGATGGTGAAGTTTCAATTGCCACGTTTGATTACCGGAGGGTAAAGGGGATTAGCCAATCTTGAATGGAGATTTAACCAACACATATTTGGATATATATATATATATGAATTATATATATATAAAATATATATATATAAATTATATATATATAAATTATATATATATATATTATATATAAATTATATATATATAAATTATATATATATATAAATTATATATATAATATATATATATAATTTATATATATACATATACATATATGTTGGGTTTCACAAATCTAAAAAAAACGACCTTGAAAATAGACAATGTTTAATGGAAACTGATGTTCCAACCCCCTATTTGGCAGGGTCTATGTTAGTTGGGGGGCTGGGAAGAAGTGTGTCAAGAGACAAACATAGTGGTTCGACAATAAACAATTGAATAGTCTTAACCATCGAACATCGTGGATTTGAGCCAATAACAAATTAGGTCTTCGCAGATTTAGCCAACAAACATGGGGGTTTAACCAGCAAACACGTGAATTTGCCAAATGAAAAATGGCGATTTGCCTCAGAGAAGTGTAGTGATTATCAGCCAAGCAAACATAGAGTCAGATATCACAAAACGGCTAAGAACAGATTCATCATATCAACAACACAGTGTTGGCTTGATATGGTTAAAGCGATAGGCAAAACACCAGGAACAATCTGCTGGCTGTTGGAAGGGAGATTGGATGGTCCCGAAAATCCGCCGAAATGTCTGGCAGCTGGTCCAAGGATACCAGCTTCTATGCCAACAAGGCGCTCCTAGCAGCCCAGAAATTCAGGGTTGGGTGTGGCAATACCCCAAAATCAGCATGCCAGGTAGGTTTTCTTAGGGAAAATGTGACACATACTGTAGTCGCCATGTTTTGGAAGAAACATGATTCTTAGCCACTGGGTTTAGGGCTAGCCTATTTTCAGGCACACCCGTATTGGATCTATTCATGTTCAGATGCCCAATGTCACCATGAGGTGGTGCTCGTGGAAGTGCCTGTGAAGGATGGCCGCAGTTACAAGTGGACTTCTGTCCCAAATACATAACTATGGAAAATCACAATTTTATAGCCTGGGTAAATCATCTATAAAGTGCAATTTTTCATAGCAAACTGTTAAATTGCCAGAGGGTACTTATTTCTACCAACTGACCTATCGAATTTCACACATCACCTCGATGGATTCTGCAGATGATCCCCCAAAGTGGGCTGGGTCATATTTTCACGCAACGTAGCTATTGCTCCTACCATTGATTTAGTTTTACATCAATTTTAGAAATGTAAAGCTAAAATGGTGGTACTGTTTAGGCAATTTCTAAAATAATTGACCAATTCGCTAAAAGTAAATGTACTATCCCATGGCAATCAATAATTTTTCAATCCTGGGTGGTCTTTAATTGCCCTTTTGGGATGGCCCACGAGAAAGCAACTGTTCGTTGGGATGGTGTATCTAAGCAGCGTTTTTGTTGGTGTAGGAATGTGTCCCTACAATTTGCAAAACATGCTTTCCCCAAAGGAATAAATAGACGTAGGAATAGGTGAGTCAATTCGCATGACATTGTAGAGTATCAACTCCTATGAAATCGTACGAGTGTGTTCGCAGCAATTATCCCATTGATCCCATCGGTCATCTTTTAGAGTTACCATGCGCCAATTTAATGGATGATTTTCCCATTGAAAGCTCCATTTTGCCCGGGGATTTCGCCCATTTTTGATGAGGCGACTCAATGGTCTCCGCCAGTCATGGCAGTTTTCAGGAGGTGAAGCCGTGGTTTGGACGGGCCATGCCATGTTTTCTGTTTTTATTGCTCCCAAAAATGGGGAAAACGGGGAGAATGGGGCAGATCTAACCATAACGGAGATTTAGCTCTCGAGAATTGGATTTAAGAACAAGCATAGGGATTTCATCAGCCAACAAATACCCTAAAATTAGGGGAAGAACCCGAATCGTAGTGACCTCCAAAAGTTCCCCTCTTCCAGTGAATTTCTAAGCCGCTCCATTTCAGAGTCTCTTATGGACCAAATTTGGATGATGTAGGGCCAATTTTTTGGGAACTTCCAATGCAGAAAGACAACATTTGGGGATTTTTCACGAAGGAGAAAGAGTGTATATAGAGGTTTCAGTATTTTTTTTTGTATTTGGGTGATCATCTCACTGATCCGAAACCAAATACTTCAGACTATCTGACTATGGATAGTACCAGTAGTACCGCACAAGGCGGTGGCGGAAGTTTCAAAAATAGGAAACCTATAGGAGAGATTGGTTGTTGTGAATCAAGCATGGCAGGGCGAAGCCACTGATGGATCGAAAGGTGATTGATGTCTCCTCTCTTTCTCTCTCTTTTTTTTCTTCTCTCTCTCTCTCTGATTATCTACCTACATACCCACCGATCTATCTTTCTATCTATCTATCTATCTATCTAGCTGTCCATCTATCCATCTATCCATCTATCCATCTATCCATCTATCTATCTATCTAATCTATCTAATCTATCTAATCTATCTATCTATCTATCTATCTATCTATCTATCTCTATAGCTGTCTATCTATCCATCTATCTACCTATCTATCTGTCTATCTATCTATCTATCTATCCATCTATCTACCTATCTATCTGTCTATCTATCTATCTATCTATCTGTCCATCTGTCTATCTGTCTATCTGTCTATCTGTCTATCTATCTGTCTATCTATCTATCTATCTAGCTATCTATCTATCTATCTAGCTATCTATCTATCTATCTAGCTGTCTATCTATCTGTCTATCTATCTATCTATCCATCTAATCTATCTATCTATCTATCTAGCTGTCTATCTCTCTGTCTGTCTGTCTGAGTGTCTATCTATCTATCTATCTATCTGTCTGTCTGTCTGTCTGCCTGTCTGCCTGTCTGCCTGTCTGCCTGTGTCTGTCTGTCTGTCTGTCTAGCTATCAATCTATTTCATCTGTCTATCTGACTATGTATCTATCTATCTCCTCATCTACCTATCTACCTATCTACCTGTCTACCTATCTACCTATCTACCTATCTACCTATCTACCTATCTACCTATCTATCTATCTATCTATCTATCTCTCTCTCTCTCTTTCTGCTGCCTGTCTATCTATCTACCCGTCTATCTCCAAGCTTGAAAACGAAGCTATTCTGCGAGACGTCCTCAGGTTTTGAACTTGACAACAGCAAAGAGGAAGCAATTCTCCGAGACTTCCTCAATGTTTGCACGTGACAACGGCAAAAACGAAGCAATCCTGCGAGACTTCCTCATTTTTCGAAGTTGACAGCATCAAAAACGAAGCAATTCTGCGAGACTTCTTCATTTTTTTGAACTTGACAACATCCAAAACGAAGCAATTCTGCGAGACTTCTTCAATTTTTGAACTTGACAACATCAAAAACAAAGCAATTCTGCAAGACTTCCTTCAAAAATGGAAAGTTGACTGCAGAGTTTTTTGCGCTTTTGACTCGGAAATGTGCTTCGCGCCCTCTCTTCTCTGATCTTCTCTCTTCCACTCTTCTCTTCTCTCTGACTCTTTCCATCTCTGCTTTTCATTTGTCCATATTGTCGGAAGTTTGACTTCTAAACTTCCTTCGGTGATAAATGGATAAATAAGCCACAAATCTCCAAGTCTCCATCGGTTATCCCGCTGGCCATGACGAATTCATCACATGGTCATCCCGGAAGCCCGGGACATCTACAGGTTGCGAGAGCTTGCGAGTCATGCAGGACTACAAGAGACAACCAGAAAGCATAACTGCTTAGCAGGGAATGGATGGGAATGGGGGAATGGCATGATTATTCTATAAGTGATTATGGATCATTCCCTCATTCCCTGCTAAGCACCAGTAAGTCATTTGGGATTCAAACAAAACACATGATCATAACTGTAAGGAAACTGTAAAATATTTAAAGATGGAGGTATCTCGTGACCGTGTCATCATTGGATGTTTTTTTGTCCGCCAAAATATGATGGTTGTGTTTGCAGGGGATCGAGGAGGTTTTTCCTGGCCCACCAATGTGGGTCCTGAGGATTTTAGATGATTACATTAGTTGATAGTTGACCATAGTTGATTTTACTATATATATATATTATATTACCCCAACTTCAATCAATCAACTTTGGCACCCCATTGGGGTCATATACTTGATTGTAGATGATGACAGTTAACTACAATAGTTGGTTCTAATTATAATAGTTGATCACAGTCGATTATTGACTATATTTGTATATCTCCCGCATTTTCCCGACACGATCATTAAAAATCCAGGATGATTATAGTTGATATTTTCCCAACAACGATATATTTCCTCAAGTTCTTGTGAGTGTAAGAACTACTTTCTCCCGCAGTTTCCCCCGATTTTTTTTGTGGGTGCCTTGGCGACTGCCAGCATGCGACAGGTGAGCGTTAGCGATGTGGCTGCCGGGATGCAGGCGGATCTACAGCTGGACGGTGCTGGCGCCGAGGTGCCATGGGGTCAGCGTTTTGATCATGGGATATAGGTGTAGATCAATGGGATACAATGGGTTAATATGGATTGATATAGGATTTTGAGGAGAATCATGGACAAAGATAGTTATAATACTTGGTTTATAAACCTCATGAAGACTAGTTCGTTATATCTCCCCCATAAACCCGCCAGTTCACCAAGCTTGGCTTTAGGGGTTGGGATTTTCAAACCCCTATGGTTTGATCTGATGGCTAGCTGGACAAACAAACTGCCTTGGGAACATGGCCTATTTAGTTCGTTGATTTACCCAGCTATAACATGGTGATTTTCCACAGTGATGTTAGTTTGCCAGAGGGTAAATGGGTATTTTTCCATGACCACGTCAAATTCCTGGAGGCGATAAAAACAATTGAGCAGTGTTTGCAAGGTCCCCTGTTGGTGATGTTTTATACTAATATCATTATCAATGAACTGGGAATCATGTACTGTAACCAATCAGTATAATGAAATGACAGAGGGTGATAAACAGATAATTTGCCAACAGATTGGGGGATTTCACAACCAATAAATGAGGTTTTCTATATAAGTAAGAGCCGTGATAAAACAACTGATGAATGGTAATGTCATGCTGCCATGCTTTGTTTTTTGTTGGCCCATAACATTTATGGCATTCATGGGTAAATTACCACGCCAAAAAAACAAGCAGTGCCTGTCCAAGACTGGCGCCGGGTCGCCATGTTCAAGGGCAAAATCATGTTGTGAAGCGCGCATCTTTTTTTTGGGTACAGTAGATATGTTTATATCATTGATGATATGATTGATATGATTTCCCAACCAATTTGGGATGATGATTTGAGACCACTAACCTATCAATCATTGTTGGTACATCTCCGCAATTTGTTGGTTATAGAGTTATATCAATCAAGTCCCTATACTTTTCGATTACCCTAATCTCAACCAAGCGCAACTGGCAGCTGGAGGTGCTGATCGAATTGGAAACTCTTCTCCGTATTTTGGAGGCAAAACCGTTGGAACATCGCAGGAAGAGCACGTTGTTTGGTTAACATGGTTGAGAACTTGATGTTCCCGATTCAAATAGTGATTTCAGATGATTTTAGGGGGTATGCCGGTATGCCCGATTTTTGGACAAAGCCAAGGATTGCGTACCCTGAAGGATTTTTCCAAGTGTCCAAGGTGGCAGTGAATTTGTGTTTGGCAAAAGTAATCCTGGCGAGGATGAACATCCACAAAAACTGTAGTGTCCTGAACAACATGCATCAGCATTAGTTGGCAAATGGATATCCATCTGCGACGGTCATTTCACTTCGAACGCAGCCAGGAACGCTCTCCTTCCACCCTGGGCCGCTGGTTGCCGAAGGCCTAAGTTTCAGAAGCGTTGTCCAATTTTTGAGTGTTTAAGTGTTCAAGTTGTGAGACCAGGTCCTGTAAATGATTTTGATGACCAAAGGATGACCAAAGGTCCCAATGACCGGTTTGGATCCACCTGAAACCGCGATTCGTACATTTCAATTGTGTCCAACGGGCCGCAGCTGTTGGGCTGAAGTGCTGGCTGCATCCAAACTCACGTGCCAGGCCAGGTGATTGGCTGCTTTGACTGTCGGCATCTGGAACTGTCATGAAGAAGTCTTAGTTATCTCATGTTGTCACCATAGTGGCAGCGCATAGTGACATAGTGGCAGCGTTGAGAAAACTCAGAGCTTGTGAGTATGAATTCAATGGGAATTTCAGGATCCTAAAATGGAGGTACGTTAGTACCATGTGATGAATCATATTAATCCCCTGAAATGGCTAGTGTCTGTATTCCCCTGGTGATTGGAAGCGCTAAACAGCCCCATTCGCCCTGGTGGAGTCCTGCCCCGCCGCCTCGCCGCTTCAGGCCATGAGCTTCGCACAAAGATTGGCAAAGAAGGCGGATGAGTTTGAGGCAAGAAAGAAAGCGGAAGAGCAGAAGCGGGATGCTGAAGAAGCGGCAAAAATTCATGCTTGGGTGTCTGGATGGCAGAAAAAAGACAACATATTTGCTTCCATCAAAAACAATAAGACTTTGGAAAAAAACGCCGAGTTTGACAAGTGCAAGCTCAAGGGTCATTTATTTATTTTTTGTGTCTCCCTATCATGTGTGCACAGTTTGTTAAAGTATGGACCAAGCAATTTGTGGATTGGTTGTGGCAGTGGGAAGCAAAGTATTGTGCCATTCTGCAGTCAGCATGATGGGATCCAAGGCTGCGAAAGAGCTGGATCTAATCAAGGATCAATGCGACAAAGCCAGTGAGAAAGGCCTGTATGGCATCAGCATAGCTGCGCATATGTACATTGCTCGCCGGTTAGCCAATGCTGACCTGGCCAAACGCCTTTTGCTGCAGAATCTCAAGGGACTGGGCTTTTCCAAAATTTTGGTCCCGGATTTTTCTCATTCTTCGACCATCCTTCGTATAGAGATTTCTTGGAAGGATGTCTCGAGAGTCTCGCGGATTTCTCCAGAACCTCCAGCAAAACGGTTGAAAGGCCACACAGGAACTTGCCAAGTTTGCGAGGAGAGGGGGTCCATGGTGGTGTTGGTTCCTTGTGGGCACGTGCTGTGCCGGGACTGCAGGGATTCTCAGGCAAAGCGAAATCAGAACTGCCCCTTCTGCCGGCAACATGTCACGTGTGCCACCGACGGCCTGTTCTTCAACTGAGTGCCTAGTGATTGCATTGCTGTGCTGGACCTGCTTTCGTAGGCGTTGGTTCAAGCTACCCCTTTTTTTGAATGACATGTCAGCCAGGACACAAAGGCTTTGCTGTGCGCAGAGCCACTTGCAATCCGCGGAGAACAAAAAGCGTTGCTGTGCATTTTTGTCATCCCCTTACGGCAAGCGGAGTCCCAGAGTCCTGGCCGGAGTTTGGTTTCATCATGATTTCAAATGACAAGCAGTGGGATGAGGGCCCTCCAAGCTGACCAAAAATAGCAGCAGTTACTGCATCAGTTCATGGCAACGATGGCAACGATGACAGGACTACACTGGGCCGCAGGGGAAAGCTGCATTTCGCCCCTTGGCATTTTCGCCAACGTCTTGTTGCCCCTGGGGATGCACTGCCAAGAATCAACGTTTTCAAAAACCATTTCCGGTTTCGGGGCGCATCCCAACTGGTAACTGGTAACTGGAACCATCTATACCTGGGCTTTCCTGCATTATCCAGGGGTATCCTGGGGTATATCCGAGATATAATTGGGTTGCAACATGGTTGTTCCCGCACATCTAAGTGGGGCTTCCATGTGTCAGATTTCACGGACAACGGCAGCCTTGGACTCAGATCTTAGGCTCCAGCTTTACCTTCGCTTTGAACCCGGCCAATGCCGACAGCGTTTGGCGTGCCCTGGTCATCGAACAGGCGCGGCATCAATGAGGAGATCCGGCCTCAAATTTTACCAACAAATGGGGGTATAAAACCAACCATAATGGGGATAATTACAAGGGATATATAAGCAACTCAAGAGTCTGGAAATGCCCTTCCACTTTTGTGTTGTAGATGATGATCATCGCCAAGTAATCCTTAACGAGGACATATTGGGACAAGAATTTGGAATTATATGATACTTGGGTTTGTCTGAAAACAGGCTATTGCAATGGGGAACCTGATGATACACCATCACATTGGGTGGTAGTTTATATTTTCAGACAAATCCGTGTGGATGTGACTAATGATTTGTATATCCATCTGCGAAACATGATATTCACGTCGCTTCGCGACGGCAACCGCCCACACCGCATCGTTGGGCTCACACAGCAGGGGCATGATTCAGGGGCGGAGCGGAAAGTGGAGCGGAGGAGTTGAGGCGCGAAGAGCGTTGTTAGTGATGGGTTAACTGATTGTCGGAAAAAAAAACGCGAAGAATTTGATAGCCATGTATAGCGGACCAACGCAGTTCAAAAAATAACGAAAAACATGAAAAAACGGCGAAATTGTTGTTATTTACAGTGTTTTTGCGCGGTGAGAAGCAGAAACCACTGCAAATACCATGGTTTTTGAGGGTCAGGTGGCCAAAAACACTGTAATTTACAGTGTTTTTTAAACCAACGTCAAAAAACACTGGTATTTACGATGTTTTCATTCACACCGTAACATAAAACAGCGTAATTTACGAGGTTTTTGGAAGTTTTGAAGCTAGCCGTCAAGCATGCAGAAAACAGAAAAACACTGTAAAAACCAGTGTTTCTGCTATCACAAAACGACGAAAATCAGTCCGAAAACGGGTCCAAAAACTCAAAAATCCGCCTCCGGGCCAGGCCACCTGCGGAACCGCAAAAAAAGATGTTGCAAACCAAAAAATTGAGGTCAAAAAGTTGAAAAACACGGGTTTTTTTCACTTTTCGCTTGCCGATTTTGGACGGGCGTGTTCACGAACAGGTGTCTTCCGTACTGTTTTTTACAGTGTTTTTTGAAGGCGAGCGTCACGACCTATCAAAAACAGGAGGTTTTGGCGGAAAAATGCCCCCCCCCCCCAGGTAAACCTGTAACCTTTTACGAGTGCCATCCGGAAGATCACGCCCCAGCACCTTCGGTGCGGGCGGATTTCAATTGTGGGATATTTTGGGGTTGTGGATGTGGGGTTTCTTAAGCGATGGGGGGACACCAAAGTTATCACCCAAATCACGAGTCATTAATGGGAAAACCAATGGTGCATAGTCTGCATAGTTTATGGCAGCCTCAGCAAAAGATCTCGCCATAAATGATGAATGCTTGTTTTGTATCTCCGGAAAACACCAATCTGATGGTCAAACGAATCCGTTTTTAGATTTCTCAGACATTGTGAATCACCATCAACAATACGATTTTTTCAAAAAATACATCTGAATATCACTGTTTTTCCTGTAGTTAGCCTCTGGTAATTTAACATTTTACTATTGAAAATGGTGATTTAGTGGATTCACCCAGCTAGCCAGGTGGAACCTGCCCTGGTGGACTTGGGCGTCATGAGCAACCCGGCGCAAAAAAGCACCCCCCGAGAAGAATAGTAACATTATGTTGAAACTGTTGGTAAATACCTCACTTTTCTAGGAAAAATCAGATTCCTATGGTTTGATGCTAAGTAATCTTTTTGCCATTTTGATGTGGAGATATAGTGAGTAATTATATATATATATACATAACCAGCAAAAAACTACATTTAGGACACTGACAAGACGGCTTCGCCAGCAGCCTCATCAATGTGTGGCCTCAACGAGGCTGCTGGCCCTTTCAACTAATCCATTTCTTCACTTGTTCTGGTTGGTGGTTTGGAACATTTTTTATTTTTCCATATATTGGGGATAATAATCCCAGCTGTTACTCACTCCATAATTTTTCAGAGGGGTAGGTCAGCCACCAACCAGTGTTTATCGATCCACTCTCTGGTAATTTTAACATAGCCATGGACAATTACCCATTTGTACTCTCTGGTAAACTAACATAACTATGGAAAATCACAGTTTTCAATGGAAAAATCCACTATAAATGGCCATTTTCAATAGCTATGTTAAATTACCAGAGGGTAGATGCTTTGTACTAGCGCAACGTCCTTTAAGGTGCAGCTCGCGATGAACAGGATCAGTTCCGGGTGTACCTGGAGGCTGGGTGATGGGATGTAGAATTTCGCCAATTTGGATGTGTCCAAATTCTTGACCCACTGACAAATCAAGATCCATGGCTGGCCGCTATTTTTCAGTGGCTGCTGGTTGTCTCAAACCTTCCGTGTTGGAAGGCAACAAAATCATCAGTTTGGAAGCGAATTTGGGGAATTTCTTATTGTAGTTGGGGTTTCTATTGTAGTAAATTCTCCAAATTTGGATCCAAATAATCAATTCCCTGGGCTTATTCTCAGAGTTTCTATTGTAGTAAAACGTCAGTGTGTCGGTCCTTGCCTTCGGGACCCTAGATCCAAGGCCTCATGGTTTCTCCCGCTGACCATTAAAATCTTGTCTTGAAATCATGAAACTTCATTAAACATGCCATAAACATGCCATAAACATGCCATAAACATGCCATAAACATGCCATAAACATGCCATACGCATCACCTAGTAACATCCCCATTTTCCTGACACGTGAAAACATTTTAGGCGGACGACGTCTTCGAGTTGGCGCCCCGGGATTTGAAACGCAGCATGGATGAGGTGCGCGAGAAGGGTGATTTTACCATAGGAATTTTCAAGTTAAGATGGACAGGTCAAATCCAATGCCATTTAATAATGACATAAATGACTTTTCTACCTTTTTGAAGGTTACTATAAAAAATATGGGGATGGGTAAACACTCTATGAAATAGCAGTACTGGGGGTGATGAACATCCATTTACCAGTGATTTTGATGTTCAATGATGTTCACCAGGGTTTGACCCATGGCCATATCAAGAATGAACATTCTTTTTTTTCACAGGCACCCAGGGCAAATATGATTTTACCAAGTTCTCTTTGAAATCTGCAGAACTATTTTTTTGCAAAAGCTACCTCATTGGCCTGCACCGCAGATGATGTTTTATATATGTTTATATATGTTTATATATGTTTATATGTATACTATGTATATATATATGTATATGTATGTATAATTATTTACATGTATATATATATATGTATAGATGTATGTATAATTATTTACATATATATAAATATACATATATACATATATACATATATACATATATACATATATACATATATACATATATACATATATACATATACATATACCTACCTACCTACCTACCTACATACATACATACATACATATTTGTATATGGTGAATCCTTCCAAAGATGACGTACATTACTGGAGGTTGATTACACATGACAAGTTACAGAGGTTTTGTGGCACCGGTGATGCTTCCAAAACGTGGGGTTGGACATCATGCACATCACGGACAATGTTGCCACAAAATGCCACAAATAGAACCAGAAGCAGATAAAATCAACAGATTCTGGGGACGAAGTGTGTCAAGCCTTGAGAGCCTGGAAATCTGCAATTTGCGTGCATGAATGCTTTCACATTGAGCAGGATGGATTGTCTAATGTCACAAAAAATTGGTTTAGATTGCCGCCGCCTATACATGTTTGCTTTCCAGTTTTTTCTTTTCCCAGGCTGAATTTCCCAATTTCTTGTTGTCCCACTCTTTTTCTTGTTGGGGGATCAACATATTTTTTTGTTCGGATCAAAATCCACAAATTGAGTGTTTGTCGTGTAAAATTCAAGTATATCTCAATATATTTCTTGGTTATTTATTGATTATCATATATTCTGATAGGTTAAAAATCCACACGTGTCTTTTTGAACATGGACTAAATTCAAAACACACACATATATATATATATATGTAATACACATAAAATCGCTTATGAACTCCCCAAAGTTGGGGAGGTTGAACCTCCCCAAAGGGTGCGCCCGCAGGATCTGCCCTTGTTGGTCTTCGGTCCTCTGAGCGCCTTCCTCGCTACCTTGGTGACCCGTGGCCGTGTGCTGGTGGCCATGGTGGCGGGCGTGGGGGACCTGATGGAGGAACGGGTGGTGTTGAGGTGACAAAATGGTGAGTGGGGGATGATCTATATCTATATCATACATATACACATACATACATACATACATACATACATACATACATACATACATACATACATACATACATACATACATACATACATACATACATACATACATACATACATACATACATACATACATACATACATACATACATACATACATACATACATACATACATACATACATACATACATACATACATACATACATACATACATACATACAGACATACATACATACACATACATACACATACATACACATACATACACATACATACACATACATACACATACATACACATACATACACATACATACACATACATACACATACATACACATACATACACATACATACACATACATACACATACATACACATACATACATACATACATACATACATACATACATACACATACATACATACATACATACATACATACATACATACATACATACATACATACATACATACATACATACATACATACATACATACATACATACATACATACATACTACATACATACATACATACATACATACATACATACATACATACATACATACATACATACATACATACATACATACATACATACATACATACATACATACATACATACATACATACATACACACATGCATGCATGCATGCATGCATGCATGCATGCATACATACATACACATACATACACACACATTATATATATATTATAAAGATATAGATATAGATAGATGATGTTATATATATATACACATACACTCACATGCATATGTATGAATATATATATATATGTATATAAATAGTTGAGAATTACGCAACAAACGATCTGCTCTAAAAAGCCACCCAATGCGAAGCCCCATTATTCGTAGGTCGTAGGCCATGGGAGAATCATATACACATGGGCTTGTCCAAAAATGGGAAAACACATTGGTTTGTCATCATTTTACCCAAACAACATTGCCATGTTGAGGTATTCCGCATCTTTTGACTACTTGAAATGGGTGGCAGTTTAACATAGTTTAACCTTTTCTTCCATGATATCCCATGGATTTCTTCCATGATTTTCAACAATTTATTTCGATGATGTTCGGCAACTTTCTATGGATTTTCCATGGATTTTCCGTTGGTTTTCCCATGCTCCATGACTGCACTGAGGTCTTAGCCCTGGCAGTTCCTTTAGTGACCAGCATCGGCTTTCTCGCTCAGCAGAAGGAGGATGGACGCGAAGAGGTGCTACGGCTTGATATACCCTCTGGTAATTTAACATAGCTATTGAAAATGGCCATTTATAGTGGATTTTCCCATCAAAAATGGTGATTTTCCATAGCTATGTTAAATTACCAGAGGGTATGATTGATAGCAACATAACTTGATATATTCTATGCTTCGTATTAGGTTTATATTAATAGTTATATAATTATATGGGGATGACAACATGGAGAACCATTTCATATTTCATATAGATATATAGTTGGGTAAAATTTCTCACCTCACGCCACGGTCGCCACGACCGAAGCCTGGAATGATGGTGAATGTAGTGGTAACTATCCCAAAATTGCAATAATAGCCTTATTTCAGGTTTGTGATTCATTATACTTTACCGAGGTTTATGCTTGACATATGGTCTTTAAATGGTTCATATATGGAAAACATGGAGGAACCATTTTAAAGTTTAACAAGTAATACGCAACACATTTTTAATTCAAACAATGGGGTAACCAACAAACATGTGGCTTAAACAATAGTTTTTTTTAAGCAACAGAACATTGATTACTGTAAAACCTAGAAATTTACCATCAAAATCTGCTTTGGAAACCTTTGGATTCCAGGATTTAACCATCAGGCGGGAAAGCAACTGGTTTAGTAAACCACGGTACTCATAGAAATTGCTCCTTTAAGGGGGAAGTGTTTTTTTTGCCTAACCAGCTAAAGTCTTTTTTGCAGGGTGTCTAGCCGCCTAGCCTTGAACGCTGTATATGGGGATGTGTCTTAAAGTTATGGTTGGCTCGCAAGCATGGTCCAGGTTCAGTAGCAAAAAACGACCCAAGTTCTGGTTGGTATTGGTACTACCCTCTGGTAAACGTTTACACAACGAACTGGAAAATCACCATGCTATTAATGGGACAACTCACTATTTCTATGGCAATTTTCCATAGCTTTTTGTATGTTTACCAGGTCGGGTATAGCGGTATAGCCCAAATTTGGCTTGGCAGAGGTGCGAATTATCGCCGCGGCTGCGTGGTTCGTCATCTCTGCAGGTTGGGGACATCGAACATGGTTGGGGGATGGGAAGGGGGTTGGAATACCCTCTGGTTATGTCAAAATAGCTATTGAAAATGGCCATTTATAGTGAGTTTTCCCATTAAAAATGGTGATTTCCCATAGTTATGTTAGTTTACCAGAGGGTACACACACCACAAGCACAGAACAAGAAACAATTAGATCATTTGACCAAACTTGGACATTTTCAGTGACCAAAGATGAGCTTTATCTACTTCAACATGCAGGGATGTGGGGATATCAACCATCAGCTTTCGACACAAAAGAATGAAAAGAATGGAGGTATAGTAAGAGCAACACAGCATGGAGAGACGACCAAGGAGCTTGATAGGATCACCAACATTTAGCGATTGGATGATGGTCTTGCTTCAACTGCGGGTCTTTTTTTGGTGCAGCTTTTATTCTGATCACCTGGGAGAGACTTTGGGGCATCTACAGTATTTGTTTCTCTCCCTTTACTTTATTCTACTACCCTCTGGTAAACATACAAAAAGCTATGGAAAATGGCATCTACAGTATTGGTTCAGCTATAGCAAATGGTGAGTTCACCTATAAACAGTGGTGATTTTCCCATCAGTTTTTTGTAAACGTGACTTTTAGGCCGGGTACAACCCTTGCCACAACCCTTGCCGCGTCAGGGATGGCGGATTTGTGCTCCGCATGCACTCATGCCTTGGAGGATCTGTGGGATCGCCGTGGCTGACGTGGCTTTCATGGGTCATTTTGGTCATTTTCCATTCGCCATGTTCAATTACCAGAGGATAAGTATGGATAAGTGATTTTTAGGATATAACTTATATATATATATATAACTGGTTTTGATTGCAAGGTAAAATCCAATCCTAGAATCGTGGTAAACTATTTTTCTATCTTGCTGGGGGCCAACCCTGCATGAATGTCAATTCAAGTTCATTAATTTGGGATAATTTGGGAAGGTCCTAACATCAAGTGGTAAGTTATGGTAAGTTGCTGATAACCCCCATTCAGTTCCATTAAATCCCATTAAATCCTATTCAAAAGACATTTCCCCAATTATACAGCTCTTGGGATTATGAATCCAAGGTTGACATCAAGTGCTTCTTGACGCTGTGCAGTTCATTGTTCATCTGCTCATTTGCTCCGGCTGTGTCTGAAAACAGGGGGAGACCCATAACATTAAACATGAAAGCTGCAAGCTTTTCTGCTTGAACAAACATGATGGCCGTACAACAGTCATATATATATATAATACATACATCCATCCATCCACATGCATGCATGCATGCATGCATGCATGCATGCATGCAAACGAACGAACGAACGAACGAGCGAACGAACGAACAAACGAACATATATACATTACATTGCATTACAGTACATTCAATTCCATTCCATTCCATTCCATTCCATTCCATTCCATTACATTACATACATACATTTTTTGGGCATACTGTTTTCAGACACACCGTTTTCGGCGCAGGAGAGAAAGGAAAGCCTTCGACCACAGGTGCCCGAGTGGATGATCATCAGCCAGGTACTGAGCGAATGTGGTAAGATTCATTAGATCGGTTGAACATGATGTGGAAACAGATTCTCAGATGTAAGTCTATGAATTAGTAGGACCAGCTTGTTTTTATTAAGCGCAAGAGGTTGTATAGGGCAAACCAATACAGATCCCTTAAATTTGGATGGTTCACCAGCTGGTGAATGATGGGAAGGTTTCCGCCAAGTGGAAAGAACTTGAGATCTTGTCACTGATTTTGGACTCCTTAGTCTTCCAACTTGTTGTTTTGCCTACTTTTTTTCCCTGTGTCTCCTCAATTTTTACAAACATTTGCTACATGTGCCACACATAAAAATCATGTTTTCCCTCAGTTTGAGGCAACAAAATTTACTCCACCAAACTTACTTCCCCAGAGACTCACGACTTCCCCAGGAATGTTGGCCAGCAACATGGTGGTGCCATGGATGTTGGAGGAAGCGACTGGCAAGGGCGCCCTGGCGCTGAGGCTCTTCCGCGTGTGCTGCGAGGTGGGACCCGCTGGGACCTGTGGGATGGTGGGGATGGTTAGTTGATATGGCTTGATATGCTTGGAAAGATCACAACTAAGGAACTATCCCAGATGCTTGGGCTTACCACATTATATTTATTGTGTATATATTACACATATATATAATATATATATATATCATACATATATATGTACATAATTCCAAATTGTGTCCAACTACTACCAAAGCCACAATGTGGCATACAAAAGCATGATCTTGTTGACCTCTCCCTGTCTTCAATCTTTAAAAGCTAGCAATGTTTCACGTGTCAGGAGACATGGTGCCGTCTATTCCTGATTTATGACCCCACCAATCTTTGAGGCTCTGGCTCCGACCACTGCCATGGGTGTCTTGGTGCATGGTTAAGCGGAGGCGCAAAGGTTGGGGGGTACGACACACCAGGTCCATTTAAGAAATCTCATGAATGAATATCTTGTGTATGGGACCCCAAAATGAGCGAATCCGATACTCACAAAGAGGCGACCGGAACATATTTAGAGGGAAAGGGATCACTGAAATTGGGATTTTCACTGAAATATAGCAACAAAAAACTCAGATGTCGCCATCAAGGGGCAGCTAAAAAGATTCCTCTTTTTGGGAACCAGGTCTGACGTTGCTCTTGATGGCACCGGGACAACTCGACATGGTTGCGGGAACCCAGGGAGGAGCTGGAGTTGTGAAAATCTGGAGTTGTTTCCTCTCTTTGGAGGGGCCGGAGGTGGTCCCTTGTGAAACTGGTGGTGGATGATTCTACATCCAGATGTTTGTGACAAATCCCCACATTATGCGTTCTCTTTAGATTGGCCACTTGACAATCACTTGGAATCAGTAACTTATCTGTGACAGTCCGGAAGATTCAAGTTCGAAGCGGAAAAATTGGGAGCCACATCCCCAATTTTATCTTTTTCAACCTGACATTTCTATATGATTCCAGCCCCAGTTGTGGAGGTGACTTTAAGTTGTCCATGGATCAACCAAGGCACCACCCAAGACCAGTCCATCTGTAGTTTTGCTGGTTGGGGTTATGGAATATGGACAATATGGAATCGGCCGCTGAGCCTAAACCAATATTTATTCAATTGATTCCGGACACAAACCATACCCTCTGGTTATTTAACATAGCCATGGTTTTTCGATGGCCCATAGAAATAGATGGTTTACCGTTCTTAATAGCATGGTGAATCTTTCCATGGCAAACTGTTAGTCATAACCAGAGGGTACATCATCATCACGGTCGCCTTTGCGGGGCGCCGTTAAGACTCAGGTGGCGGTCTTCGCGCATCACACGGGGCTGGGGCTGCTGGTGGGTGTCCCTTTGGCGGTGCCTGGGCTGTCCAAGCCTGGAGGACTGGAGGATCCTGGAAAGTTGAGATATCTTGAGATATTAGTTGAGATATTAGTTGAACTATGAAGGATTCAGGCAAAAAAGAGATCTTAATTTAGGAGTTCTTAACTTCCTTTTTTTGAGATGGTTGTTGAGATATGCAAATCTTTCCCCTGAGGCGCTGCTGATCCCGCCCGCCGTTGAAGCTGGAGATGCCCTGGTCGCTCCGGCCTGCCTTGCAGTTGGCCGGTTTTCGGATGGATCAAATGGATAGTGTCCACAGTGTCAACCTCAATCATATCAGTCAATTATATCAGATTCAGAAATTAGAGATATTAGAGCTATGGCAGCTATGGGTAAAAACATGTCAACCTCCCTTTTACCATTCTGTATATTCTGTTCACCCCAGAAGAGCTGGGAGTATTGTAGATTTTGAGCCATCCCCATATAGTTCCCAGCCTCACTAGATTCTCACTTCAACGGCAGGGCGATTAACACAATCAGCTGGGCTGGATGTTCGGCCTTTTTTTTTCATGGATATTTGTCATTGATATTGACCCCACAGCCTCAGGTAGCTGTGAACCATCCCAGTCGAGTTGAGAGTTCCAATCGGATTTGCCGATTTGCCCGGTCAGTTTGAGTGCTACAGCCACTATTCATCGATTCAAGGCTTTTTGGGAACACACGAAACCATACGAAACTATCATTGGTAGTAAACATCATGGTTTCCGGCTAAGATTTTCCCTTCAGCCAACCCATTAGCCTCTGGTTATTTCACGCATGGAAAATCACCATTTCTAAGATTCGTAGATCATGATTTTATATGATTTTATCATTTATAAGTGGGCAATTTCCCAAGCTATGTGCTCCTTGGCTCCTTCCATGGCGACTGTCGAATTTCGATCGCTCCAGCCAGGCCACTCAGATCTTATCTTGGCGCCATGATACGGAGATGGAGATGTCTGAGGCCACAACCCGGCTGTGGGGTCACACACCCAGCAGAAATTGGGAGTTTTTTGGCCGTAACATGGATAAACATGGGTCAAACCCAGCAAAAATTGGGAGTTGTAGCCATCAAAAATGGGGGATTCGGGTCATTTTGCTTAGGCCAAAACGGAGCTTTTTGATAGCAGGAATTCCTGGCATGGTGTGAGCTCGAATTTCGGTCTCCGAAATTCGATTTTTACATGACCAAAAGCTGTGAAGTCTCTTGGGCTGCCTGAATTCATACAATGGTAAACATATGGATTAATGATGGTTAATGATGGTCAATGATGGTTAATACATATATACAACCAAGTGTTCTGATTTTCGACTCTAGGTAGGATCTAGGTGGAGTTTGATCCATGGGCTTTTGTTTTCTCTTGGTGTTTTAGATGCTTAATATAACCCTAGGATTTCCCCAAAGGCTGTTTTAAACGTGGGATGTGTAGGATATGTGGGATGTGCTAACTGCAGACAACGAGTTTATCTCTATCTCCTTGTTTTGACTATGTCAGCAGTGGTTCTTGGCAGGTCAAGAAAAGGATTACATTGAAAACCTGTTCATATCCAGGACTTCAGCATAGCCGCATAGCCATTCCGCTATGGCAGTGGTCGTGGTGGCTGATGCTGCCACAGAGTGGATGTACTGAATGCTGAAGTTTCCAGAAGCCAAGTCCCTGATGAAAGGCCAAAAGAGCACATACTTTCGGACTGCATCCCAGTTGTAAGTGGTTACATTAACCAATATTGATCCCACTGGGGGATATCCCATGATCATAACTAGGTTATTGTATGGTTATTGAATCCTTTTGAATCCACTTACTATTGGTTGAATATAGCTATTCACTGGTCAATACCCTATATATCCCTATATAGTATATAGATTATATCATCTACTCATTGTTTATATAAATGTCCCTTTTAAAAACAAATTCACTTGGATGCACCCCATATTTCATATAACTGGGCTTACTATCCCATCATCATCATCATCATCATCATCATCATCATTTTGATTTCATGATTACCATCGTTATTCTTATTTTCATATATACACAGCAAGCCGCCAGGGCCCGCCCAGTTCACGGCTCGAGGCGTTGATGACTCTCTTCGATAACCTGCTGCCAATGGAGCGGGGCCCCCGGGGATTGAACCACAAAAGATGAGCATCAAAGCAGTTTCTAGATCAGTCAACGTTTTATGGTGATATAGTTGGATATACAAGCCAACTCACCAACTTGATAGCTGGATGTGTCTGAGCATTGGAAAATTAGCTTCAATTTATGGCTGTTTTGATATGTTTTGATACGTTTTGATAGGGATAATCACCCAGGCGACGGACCTTTCATCAGTGGCAGATCACTGAATTTTGGAGCTCACCATCCATCTACCCGCTGGTTATTGTAATGTATGTAGCTACGGAACATTACTACAGGATGGGGCCCCCCAGTTGTAAGTTGGTTTATAAACCAAATAAACCCATCTAAATATAGTTATTTGATGTTATTTGCGTATCATACACCAACTTGTTATAGTTATTTGCACCAACTTAACTAACGAACTGGGGCTCCATCGTGACTTGCCACGCTCCAGGTTCGGGGCCAAACAGGACTGGCAGGGCGAATTCAAATTCAAGGTGCGCCCTGTTGGCGAAAAAATGGTACCTTCAAATGTCGGGGAAACGCCCTAAAAGTCCATGGGCGAATCATGATGTGTCTGGATTTGATAATTTGGTACCTGAAAATTTGAGCAGGAACTGGAAAGCGCCATTCTATCCACTGGTTCAGAACCTCGTTTTCCCTATGATTAGCCGAGGCTAAATCTATCATTTTCAGATAGAGCAATGTCTTTTGTCGGGGGAAATCACCCTGAAAAGGTTGATTAGTGTAGGAACACTTCGTGACTGATGGTCTAAGGATCCATAACCTCCAGTTGGGTGCGAATTTGCACAGAAGCGACCAACATCTTTGTGTCCCAGAAGCGATGTTTTTGTCTGGAGATGGAGGGGAGTGTCCCCAATTTTGCAAACGTTTCAAGTTGGTGAAATGCTCTGAGCATTTGTCCAGACAGGTATGATTCTTGGACGAGTGGGTGCAAGAACCTTTCAAGCAACTGCGGTTTAAATCTCCATTTTCGCAAACTTGGGGATGTCTATATCTACATCTCCGTCAGCGGTAGAGGTACATTGCGTACATAATCAACAGCAATGGTGATCGAAGGGATACTGGTACCATTTGGTAATCAAACCTGGTAACGGGAAAGCCCCTATAAATGGGCATTGAGATAGGAATGTCATCCAGTGATTAGTGAGGGATTTTCCATTGCCACTTTTGATTACCAGAGGCTATTTTATGTCGGATATGTTGGGCGATGTTTGACTGAGGGGATAGAAAAACCACTCCCAGGTGAAGCAAGTGATATCAACACCAAAGGGCAATGCGGCCACCACACCACCACAGTCCGTTCCGAAAAAATTGACGAGTGAAACCACCTCTTTTTGGGACGACTCAAAGTTCTAGAAACAGTGGATGGTTGCGAAATCCTGCACCAGTGGATCCCATCATTTCTATGAACATTTCTACTGCTTGGTGGTTTTTTGTACCATGGAATTTTGACTTTCCATTCACTTGGGAATGGAAAAATCATCCCAATTGTTACTCCATCATTTTTCGGGCTGAACCATGGTGAAACCACCAAGCAGCTGATTGAAATCGCTCCGAAATCCGAAAACCGCCCGCAGATGCGAAAGCGGACCAGAGACTTCCTCCGCTTGAGGCGATGGAGTTTTGCTGGGAAAACTATCCAAAGGGATCGGTCATTTTACCATAGATTTTGATGAGAAAAAAAAATATGCTTTTAAATCCACTTAAGAAAGGACCGAACACTGTATGGCATGTGCAACTTCCAATAATATTTCAATCTGACACTTTTCAATAAGTTTCCATGATTCTTATATTCCATTTTAACATTCCAACGTGCGCTTATACTTAAAAAAAACGACAAGGGGAGACTGAGAAGACACATAAAGCCATATCATATCAAAATACATGTCTATGTGTATATATATATATATACATAATGTATATGATTCCATCGTCAGCACCAGAAACCGACAGGTGGTTAAGTCTGGCAGTGGTCTTGGTGATGACAGGCTGGCTGGTGGCATGGCCAATGAAACTCAGCAAACATCCACGGGTAGCCCGTGAAAATGATCTAATGGGCTTTTTTTTTCCTACCTGGTATGTGTATATATATATATGCATATGAATCTAGTGTATATATATATATATAAACATGTTAAAAGGTTAAGCTCCTGGAGGGTCCTGAAACATAGCATGGAGGATCATGCTTGCCAGCCGGGATGACTGCTCGAAACTGCTCGTATCCCTAATGAATGGTGACAGTAGGAGCTGCTTTCATATGACATAACTCCCATTCCAAATTTGCAAGAGATATAGACTTGGAACCCATGAAAGTGTGAAAATCAAATTGCACTCTCATACTCCAAGGATTCGGACAAATCCTCTGGCAATTTCAACACGGCTAGTTGGGAAATGCCCCATGTATAGACAATCTTCCCATTAAAACCTCCATTTATCGGGGTTTTTGAACTAGCCATGATGACCGGAGGGCATCGCCAGGCCTATTCCTGGTCTATATCTCGGCCTCGCCTGGCCTGTTTCTGGGAACCGGAGAAGGAGTGGTTTTCTGAATCCAACACATCTCCAAACAATGGCTATGGAATTCATTTGTATGTTTATCAATCAAGACATGGGCTAATATATTGATGATGTTTGGCATACAATCACTCACATGTTAAGCATGTAGAGACATAGATATGTACTAATGATACTTGTAGCAGTCTCTTCACAATTTTTCCAAACATGTAACCGACCAAAAAGACACAGCAAAGAAGTATAACTATATTGTCTTAGAATGGAAGAAGCAGAAAGAACATCCTATTGGAGATTATAGTCAGACTACGTGCATAGGTCGAGGTTGGATGCCCCCAACCATAGCCATGTATACTGTATATATAATATAATATAATATAATATAATATATCATATCACATCATATCATATCATATCATATCCCCATGAAATATCACCGTATTATAGTTGGTTTACCACCGTTTTCTTGTTTAAATCCCCATATCATTTCTAGTCATTTTCAAGTTTGTTGTTTAAATACGGGTTCCTCCAATGATAACCATACTAACCCTATTAACATTGCTATTTTGCTATTCCAATTTATCATCATTTATAGTAATTTTCCCTATTAACATTGGTATTTGGATAGTATACCCAAATTTTCAGACACCCATAGCAACCATAATTCACGGGGCAAGTCCTTATTCTGGTGCTCAAACCAGCATTTATCACCATTTATCATGGTAAAACCAGCTTTTATCATCATTTATCCTGGTTAAACCCGCATTTATCACCATTTATCCTGGTTAAACCAGCATCAATCACCATTTATCATGGTTAAACCAGCATTTATCATCATTTATCATGGTAAAACCAGCATTTATCATCATTTATCATGGTTAAACCCGCATTTATCACCATTTATCCTGGTTAAACCAGCATTTATCATCATTTATCATGGTAAAACCAGCATTTATCATCATTTATCATGGTTAAACCGGCATTTATCACCATTTATCCTGGTTAAACCAGCATTAATCACCATTTATCATGGTAAAACCAACATTTATCATCATTTATCATGGTAAAACCAGCATTTATCATCATTTATCATGGTTAAACCGGCATTTATCATCATTTATCATGGTTAAACCACCAGCATTTATCATCATTTATCCTGGTTAAACCGCATTTATCACCATTTATCCTGGTTAAACCAGCATCAATCACCATTTATCATGGTAAAACCAGCATTTATCATCATTTATCATGGTAAAACCATATCATTTTATCATCATTTATCATTTATCAAAATTTTATCATGGTTTTATCATCATTTATCATGGTTAAACCGGCATTTATCATCATTTATCATGGTTAAACCAGCATTTATCACCATTTATCATGGTAAAACCAATCATTTATCCATTTATCACCATTTATCCTGGTTAAACCAGCATTTAATCATTTATCATGGTTAAACCGGCATTTATCATCATTTATCATGGTAAAACCAGCATTTATCATCATTTATCATGGTTAAACCGGCATTTATCATCATTTATCATGGTTAAACCGGCATTTATCACCATTTATCCTGGTTAAACCAGCATTAATCACCATTTATCATGGTAAAACCAACATTTATCATCATTTATCATGGTAAAACCAGCATTTATCATCATTTATCATGGTTAAACCGGCATTTATCATCATTTATCATGGTTAAACCAGCATTTATCATCATTTATCATGGTTAAACCGGCATTTATCATCATTTATCATGGTAAAACCAGCATTTATCATCATTTATCATGGTTAAACCGGCATTTATCACCATTTATCCTGGTTAAACCAACATTTATCATCATTTATCATGGTTAAACCGGCATTTATCACCATTTATCCTGGTTAAACCAGCATTTATCATCATTTATCATGGTAAAACCAGCATTTATCATCATTTATCATGGTTAAACCGGCATTTATCACCATTTATCCTGGTTAAACCAGCATTTATCATCATTTATCATGGTAAAACCAGCATTTATCATCATTTATCATGGTTAAACCGGCATTTATCACCATTTATCCTGGTTAAACCAGCATTTATCATCATTTATCATGGTAAAACCAGCATTTATCATCATTTATCATGGTTAAACCGGCATTTATCACCATTTATCCTGGTTAAACCAGCATTTATCATCATTTATCATGGTTAAACCGGCATTTATCACCATTTATCCTGGTTAAACCAGCATTAATCACCATTTATCATGGTAAAACCAGCATTTATCATCATTTATCATGGTAAAACCAGCATTTATCATCATTTATCATGGTAAAACCAGCATTTATCATCATTTATCATGGTTAAACCGGCATTTATCATCATTTATCATGGTTAAACCGGCATTTATCATCATTTATCATGGTTAAACCGGCATTTATCATCATTTATCATGGTTAAACCGGCATTTATCATCATTTATCATGGTTAAACCAGCATTTATCATCATTTATCATGGTTAAACCGGCATTTATCATCATTTATCATGGTTAAACCAGCATTTATCATCATTTATCATGGTTAAACCGGCATTTATCATCATTTATCGTGGTAAAACCAGCATTTATCATCATTTATCATGGTTAAACCGGCATTTATCATCATTTATCGTGGTAAAACCAGCATTTATCATCATTTATCATGGTTAAACCGGCACTTTTCTACCTGTTTTTGGGGTTCAACCAGCAAGCGCCAGTTCAGCCTGGGTGCTTCGTCGCCCAGCTTCACCGCCGACACACCTCGACTTTTTGAGGCTCTCCATGGTTTTTTTTAATATCTGGGTATGGATCAATAGCTATTACCCTCTGGTAAACTAACAGTTTGCTATGGAAAATCACTGGTTTTAATGGGAAAATCCACTATTTCTATGGTCATTTTCAATAGCAAACTGTTAGTTTACCAGAGGGTAATACCATTACTATAGTGGGATGAACATCCATTTTAACCCAGCTATGGCTTGGGGTGAACTACAGGGGTACCAGGGTTTTGACCTATCTGATATATCTGGGTAAATTATAGTGACCTCTCGGGATTGGTGTTTTCAGGGTCCCAAGGTTAGGGAATTAATTAGTGCATTTACCCGGCCTGGGAAACGTTTACATAACGAACTGGAAAATCACCATGCTATCTAGCTGGGCAAATCAACGAACTTTCCATGAGCAATTTTCAATAGCGAACTGTTAGTCATTACCAGAGGGTATATCTGGGTAAATTATAGTGACCTCACGTCGTGACCGAGCCCTGGAATCATGGGAATTGGATTCGGGGAATGATCCCCAAATGGCCGCAAGTTTCAGGTTAGTGAATTATTATAATTTACCTTAAGAAAATTTAAGAAATATGCATTCTATTTCTATACGCCTCAGTTAGTCATTGGTTTTTGGTTTTGGAAGAAATTGATCTCCTGCTACACTGGCCATCGTTTATGCTTCCCCATAGACGAGCCGTGTCCATGGCCCAGGTCGGCCACCGCTTGTACGACAAGGCGCGCATCCGCGGCTTGTTCGATCCGCTGTCCGGGAACCCATGGGAACCCGGAAACCCAGGCTGCGGCGGGTGAGATCCATCTGATGATATACCCGACCTGGTAAACATACAAAAAGCTATTGAACATGACCATTTATAGTTGATTTTTCCATTAATAGCATGGTGATTGTCCAGTTCGTTTTTTGTATGTCTACCAGAGGGTATTTGGATATTTGGTGATTTATGGGTGAAGAAAGGGGTGACATATGGGTGACATTGACGCAGATTTCTTTTATGTTTTTCGGATAATTCATTTTGTTGATCATGGAGACTTTTTGACCACGTAGCACTGGATTTTTCTCTATCCTTCAGCACCCTGAAAAAGGCTGAGTTGGATGTCGTTGTTTTGCGGGCGCTTCCGTACGATGCGTCCCAAATCTATGGGAAATACCATGGACTTTGTATGGCGGAGCATAAATGGCTAAATGGACAATATCCCCCCTTCGAACTTTCCACTTGTCGGCAAAAAGGGATAGCGCCAAGCGACTTCACCGACTTCTGATTCGAGGGGGTACCACTTTGGGATACAAGTGTACGAGCATCTTGAGATGGATAAACCGGATAAACCTATGGCCGTCTTCACGGCTCCTCAGTCCTAAAGTTACAGCAGCCATAAATCATCGACATCTCGGATCGATGGACAATTTTGGCAAAAGCCAAAACTTTTCGATCATTCATTTTTCATCCAGAAATCGCAAAAAAAAACTTGGGATGCAATAATTCATGGGGAATTTCAATAAATTTCACCGGTCGCCAGTGAGATGGGAGCCCCAAATCACCAGCATTTTCTTGGGAGTGTCAGTCAGTAAAGCAATTTCGATTTTTCCATCCGGATTCAAAAAAGACCATCAAGTAATCAATCCATATGGGTGGAATGTTGCTGTTGCTTCACCAACATGAGTTATCAGTATTAACCATAAAATAATCACCATTAATGACCATTACTATCCATTATTAACCAATACAAACCATGATAATTGAATGATTACAACATTAGTTGATTAATAACAGATCATTGGAACCATTTATCATTTATCATTTACCATTTACTATATTATTTCATGATTTATTCTGAACCATCTAATATTAATCACCTAATGGTTAGTATCAATAACCAATTGTAGTCATTACCAATGACCTAATGATTTCAATAGTATCAATAACCAATTGTAATCATTACTAATGGTTAGTATCAATAACCTAATGGTTCCAATGATCGGATGTATCTATTCTTCACCATGACCAGATCGCATTTCTTCCCATGCCTCCGGGCTGTCCGCTGAGGGAAGGCTACCAAGCCCCGATGGATCAGCATGCCCTGCAATCGGCGAGGCGTAACAAAATCGACGCTTTGTGATGTGAACTCTGTTGGTTTGATTCGGGATAGAAAACATGGGATCTAACCATAGGAAGGCCATAGGAAAACCATAGGAAAACCATAGGAACATGGAGATTTCCACCATATTTAACTCAGAAACATTACGGGATTTCATCGATTTTTTGTCGCTGATTTATGATAGCTAAGTTGATAGACATAACTTATTCATGGGGTGAGGTTCTAAACCAACGTTCTCACTGAAAGCCTTACCTCCAATGTCCAGTAATATGGTAATCACAATCCCTCGGAAAGGTTGAATGTCCAAGGTTTGGACGACATCTGGTAGTTTTTTTTTCACCCTTGACTGTGAATTAGACGTACTAAATTACCATGAAATCGGTAACCCCCCTATTCATTAATCCAGGGTTGACATTCTGTGAGCCTTGCACGCTGGGCTCTGATTCAGCGCATGGGGTCGAAGTTTGACCACAACTGGTGATTTAGTTGGGTGACCGCAACAAACTGTTGCTGCTTGTCCAGTATCCCCCTGACAAATTCCGTTCGGTCATGTTGACGGCCGAAGGTCGATCATTCACTATTTTCCTATGAACATTTCTGCTATTCATGGGGAGCACTTGGAGGATCATCCCACGAATCGTAAGTGGTTAATAACCCTGGTGAACGGGTTTGTCCTCATTTTGTGGCTTATCCATGCTTATCCCATTTAAAAGTGGGTTAGAACATGTTATAACTATGGTCACTAGCCACTTTCAAGCCCCAGTGGGGTGACACAGGCGCTGTTCGCCCACTGCTGCGGATGCTGCAGCGTGCACCTGGTACAAGTGTGAAGCAGGCGACCGGCGACTTGGAGCCGAAGTTTGTCCGTAAAAAACATACATCAATTGATTGGAGCTCATTCTTTTGTCCATCCAAACATAGGTGTTTCCTGACAATTTTCCCAAAGCCAATTCTGGAAACAATCGGAATACTGATAGATATGGGGATTTACTCAGCGAGAATTGGAATACATGCCCGAGAGAAAGAATGTTTGCTTCAATGTGGTTTGAACGACAATCTTACTTGTGCTAAACTGAGGGAATGATCCACAATAACTATCAAGAATCATCCCATTCCCATTTTCAAGGGATTTATCATCTTTTTCCAGTGGTTTATCATTGTTTATGATGAACAACCAATGACCAACCAACCCATGCTGGATTGGAGTCTTGTCCTCTGCTCTCACCGCGCAAAGAATGCATAATGCAGAAGATGTAGTGCAGTGCAGTGCAGTGTGGTGTCGTGTCGTGTCGTGTAGTGTAGTGTGTTGTGTAGTGTAGTGTAGTGTAATGCAATTAGTGTAGTGTAGTTGTAGTGTAGTGTAGTGTTAGTTGTAGTTGTAGTATTTGTAGTATTTGTAGTTAGTCTAGTGTAGTGTCGCGTGGTGTGGTGTGGTGTAGGTGTAGTGTAGTGAGGTGTAATTGAGTGTAGTGTACTGTAGTGTAGTGGAGTGCAGTGTGGTGAAGTGTAGTGTAGTGGAGTGTAGTGTAGTCTAGTGTAGTCTTGTGTAGTTGTAGTCTTGTGTAGTTGTAGTTGTAGTTGTAGTTGTAGTTGTAGTTGTAGTTAGTGTAATGTAGTGTAGTGTAATGTAATTAGCGAAATGTAATGCTGTAATGTAGTGTAGTTCCAGTAGCAGCTGCAGTTGCAGTTGTAGTTGTAGTTGTAGGTGTAGTGAAGTGTCATTCACTGTAGTGTAGTGGAGTGTAGTGTAGTGTAATTGAATGTAGTGTAGTGGAGTGTAGTGTAATGCAATGTAGTGTAGTGGAATGTAATGTAGTGTAGTGTAGCTGTAGTGTAGTGTAGTGTAGTGTAGTGTGGTGCAATTGAGTGTAGTGTAGTGGGGTGTAGTGAAGTGTAGTGGAGTGTAGTGTAATGTAGTGTAGTGTAGTGGAATGTAGACAGGGTGCACAATCCCTTGCGCCTGCCACGCGAAACGACATCTGAACGTCCAAAAGTGTTCCGAACCCCTCAGTTTTTTGCACTTTTTACTTCGAAACGTGCTTCGCGCCACAACGGCGTGCACTTTTTCGACATCTCAACTTCCAAGAGCGGTCCGAACATGAGGTGTTTTAGACATTTTGACTTCGAAACGTGCTTCGCGCCACAATGGCGTGCACTTTTTCGACATCTCAATTTCAAAAAGTGTTCCGGACCTGAGGTGTTTTGTACATTTTGACTTGGAAATGTGCTTCGCGCCACAACGGCGTGCAATTTTTCGACATCTCAACTTCCAAAAGTGCTCCGGACCCGTCAGTTTTTTTACACTTTTGACTTTGAAATGTGCTTCGCGCCACAACGGCGTGCTATTTTTCACCTCTCATCTGGCCAGCTGGCTCCGCACCCGCCGCTTTAGCGAGCGTACTTTTCGGCCCTCCGGAGCTGCAAATCACTGGAAAAACACAGTGTTTCGCGACTTTCCTACCTTTTCACGCACCTGGATCTTCTTTCTTCTGAGACTTTTTCCTTTTTGATCTCCTTTCTTCTTCTCTTCTCTTCTCTGGCTCTTCCCATCTCTGCTTTTCATCTGTCCATATTGTCGGAAGTTTGACTTCTAAACTTCCTTCGATCATACATATATATATATATCAACATATTTCAAATATATCATATATTATATATATACAAAAAATATATATATGTCATACATGTCATATCATATCATATCATATCATATCATATCACATCATATCATATCATATCATATCATATCATATCATATCACATATATATATATATCTGATGGATATACAATCATCAAAGTTGTCGCTTGGATCCTGATTTTGACGGCTTCTTTTGCGTTTATTGTTGGTGACCTCAGAGCCAACCAAAACGCCCAGGGCCCAGGGCGGAACTGCAGGACCGCTGCGCCGCCCATTCTGAGGTACTTCCATTCCAACCTTCGATCAGAATAATTGTTTATTGTGAGGCTGTTGGAATAATTGTTTATTCTGACACATTCTGATTACGTGTGACTGTTTATTGTTTATGTGTCTTCATAATCAGGATAATCATCACTTCCCATTTCTTGCTGGCACAGGACACTGAGCCGACGGAGTGCAAGTGCTACACCATCCAGGTTCAATGGCGGCACGAGCAATGCCGATTCACCGGATCCGATGTTTTTTGGGGCTCACATGGTATGGATTGTCTTCTGAAGGATCATTGTGCTGACGCTGTTGTAGTTTTCCAAAATTGATTCAATCATGTTGAGGCCCCTGCATTTTAACAACCGGTTGACTGTCTCATTGTTGGCTGTGCCGCCTTTTGTAAGGGTCTAGCTCGGTACAAACTCAGCGGACAATGGGGGACAAAACTTCCAAAATGTTTTTTTCCAATTCTTTGATTTTGTTTCACCAGGTGAGGGTCTCTATTAAAAAAAAGGTGCAACTCCTCCCTCCCGCAGGGCTCGGAGACCTGCTCCGGCACGGCAGCGCGGCTCTTTGGGGGTCAGGCCCGGCCCCAAGTTATGGCAATTTCATGGGGATAGCCTCTGGTAAACGTTTACCGTTTGCTATTGAAGCCATGGCCATAGAAAGTTCGAACTGATTTACCCATTAAAAATGGTGATTTTCCATATTTATGTTAGTATATGTTAGTTTATCAGAGGGTAATTGAGCAATGAACAAGATAGCGTGGTTGATTGATTGTGAAGGGGAGTGAAAAAAACAGTATTGGGATTATTGGGGAGAATGAACTAACCCATGGTAGGAAAAAGTATCACCCAACTTGTACCATGAGATCGGATAGGGGTATTTTTAATGGCTCAATTCTGATTAACCACCATGTCTTTTCTCTTCTTGACATTGTTGGTGTTCTACACCCAGCCCAAACAATCGTTATATCCCAGGGTGGGGGTCCTCTGAAAATGTGGGGCCGCCCCCTCTGAAAATGTGGGCATTACAGATATTCGAGGCATTTTGTCTTATCTTATCTTATGGGAAAATTACAGATATTGGAACCAATCATTTTCCTGTTGTTGATTGGTTCCGCATAAACTGTGGTTTGATTTCGTGCAACGTAGTGAGATGTGGCTTGCCATTTCCATGGTTCGGCGTAGTTGATCCCCGCTTTGCAATCAACATGTTTGAGGGTATACTCTGCACAAAAAAAATAGGAGTATACACCATAACTAGGATAGCGACTTAATATCATTGTCATCGCCACTACTTGTACTGTGGATGTGATTATGATAGATACAGCAACCCCCAACAAGATAGAACACTAAAATAATCCTCTCAACTTTGTGGTTTATTTCGTTCTGGGTTTTCAAGGCCCATTTGGGGTTGCTAAACAAATATATATATATATATACACACCCTTTGGTGATCAAACATGGCAATGGAAAATCCACCATTTAGTCCGATGATTTTCCGAGCTACAAAGCGTTACAAAGCTACATTTTGAAGGGAGTTCCTAGCCAGCCACGTTTGATGACATCGAAGGGTGTATCCATTATTCATCATTAATAACAATGAATCACAACTATCTACGGTTATTAGTAAGATTATCACTGTAATACTGTTATAATGTTATAATCATCACCATTAAGATTAATTATTAAAATCCTGGTTGATAATATAATAACCGTAAACATTATTGACTAACATTCGTCATGGTGTTATTAAACATTACTACTATGACATTTGATCACTTATCACCAATAGGTGATCGAAGGACGTTTGGAAGTCAAACTTCCGACATTATGGACTGAAAAGGTAAAAAAGTCGTGAGACGTTCTGTTTTTCCAATGTTTTGTGGCTCCGAAGGGTCGAAAAGTAGGCTCGCTAAAGGGACGGGTGCGGAGCCATCTGGGAAGCTGAGAAATCAAAAATTGCACGCCGCTGTGGCGCGAACCAAATTTGGAAGTCAAAATGCAAAAAGCATCTCAGCGTCGGAGCACTTTTGGACGTTGAGATATCGAAAAAGTGCACGCCGTTCTGGCGTGAAGTACATGTCGAAGTCAAGACGTACAAAACGCTTCAGTGTCAGACCGCTTTTGGACGTTCAGGTGTTGAAAAAGTGCACGCCGTTGTGGCACGAAGCGGGTTCGGAGCACTTTTGGAAGTGGCGATGTTCAAAACGTGCACCCTGTTGGCACTTTTGGACGTTCAAGGGTTATTTTTCGTCGCAGGCGCAATGGATTCTGCATTTTGCCAAAAGTGAGCGAAACGTGAGGGTTTTGTAGCAATCATGGCAGGCGTGGGAGGTTTGAAGACGATCTGCAAAGATGCATTTCGCGTGGCAGGCGCAGTACAAGAGACATATGAGTCAGACATGTTTGGAGGTCAGCGGACAGAGTTCCTGAGAGGGGTTGCAGTTTGGAGCATCAGATCTTCAGCTTTCCTAAGATGCTTTTGCATGACAGGTGCAGCACTTTGTATGTCGTGGCCGCGGCCTCACTTTTTCGTGGCAGGCGCAGTACTTCAGAGAGATGGGATGCAAAAATCGCAAAGTGCATTGGTACGAGGCTGTCAGCTCAGCACTCAACTTTCCATTTTTGAAGGACTGCAACTTTTGGAGGAAATCTGGCAGAGTTGCTGTGTCTTTGATGTTGTCTTTTGCCAAATTTGAAGGAAATCTCGCAAAAAGCTTTGTTTTTCAGGTTTCAACTTCCAAACAAAGGGCATCTCGCAGAATAGCTTCGCTTTGAAGCCTGCAGATAGACAGATAGATAGACAGATGGATAAATAGACAGATAGATAGATGGATAGATAGAAAGATCAATAGGCAAATAATGAGACAGAGAGATAGAAAGACAGACAGGCAGACAGACAGACAAACAGACAGATAGATAGATAGATAGATCGATCCATCAGTGGGTTCGCTCTGCCATCTATGCATCACAGCAACTCACTCTTCCTATAGTTTTCCTATCTTTGGAAACTTCCGCCACCGCCTTGCGCTGTACTACTGGTGTATTTTACTACTGGTGATTTCATTACTAATGTGGGCAAACCAATAATAAACCATCCCCCAAATCAACACACATCGGTTTTTTTTCACCATGCCAACATGTTTTTTTGGCATAGTTTTACCTACCTTATTTATTATTGTGATATCATTATCAAACAGTAAAAATATATACTAGCTATTGGTGGTCTTAAACTATCATTAAACTTGGGATACTATACTAACATTATTAAGACCTGCTATCAAAGTATTCAACCATCAATCATGGTTACTTATCCACCGCTTGTCCATCACCACCAGGCGACCGCTGTGATGGCTTCTGGCCTCTTCTGGAACTGGGCAGGAGCCAGGCGGGCGCGCTTTTCTTCCGGTTACCGTCTGGGGCAGAAGAGACATGCTACGTTTCTCAGGGGGAAATCCATGTCCTTTTCTTACACATATAAATTTACATATATACATATAAATAAATAAATAAATAAATAAATATATACTTACATATATATATATACTTACATATATATATATATGTATACACATATAAATATACAGATATATATATATATATATACATGCACATATATATATATATACATATTTATACATATATATATATACAAATATATTTATACATATATATATATGTATATATGTGCATATATATATATACATATATCTATATATGTATATGTATATATATATATATTGTGAAACTTCCTAGTTTCCTGATTCAGGTGGTGCCTGTTGCATTTTCCCGAAATGATCGGGCAATCCTCCGCCGCATCTCAAGGGCGGGAGGGAGCGGAGTCAATGGCAGGTAAGGGAGAGAAACAGTGTCAGAGGGGCTGACATTCGCATTAGTAGCGGAGCCGGTAACCCCGGCTCACGCAGATATTTCATCATTGGATTAGTGAGGTCACTAAGGTCCCTAGGCTTAGGGTTGGTAAGGGTTATTTGGTTTGGTTGTTGACAGGGCAACAGGGTAGCCCGGTGTGAAACAACTTGGCAATTTTTATTTTCTGGGCAGCGGGTGCCCTCCAGTGAAGCAATGTCGGGATCAATGCCAGCAGCTGGGGCAGCTGCAGCGTCTTCGAACCCGTCCGATGAGAAGGGCAACAGCCTTTGGAATATCCTCCCGAGTTTTGATCCCCAACAGGACGATCCCAGAGAGTACCGTGACAAGGTACTTTTCCTTCATGGGATTTGTCCTCGGAAGGACAGAGCCATGCTGGCTCCACGTCTGGCCATGATGATGAAAGGCACGGCCTGGGCCCAGGTGAAGCAGCTGGATACAGAGCAACTTCTCGATCCAGACAAAGGAGTGCAAGTTCTTTTGACGGCCATCTCGAAGTGGGAAGAGGCTGAGGAAATGCAGCTGTATGACAAGTTTGAGCGGGCACTATACAAAACGACACAACGCAGTGACGAAACAACTCAGAGCTTTGTGAACAGGATGTCGGTGTCGTTCCACGAGCTTGGATCGTTGACAGTCAAAGACATCAGGGCATTTATCCTTCTCAGGCAATCAGCCCTGTCTGTGGAGGATAAGAAACGTGTCCTGTCGATGGCTGGGAACCCACTTAAGTCTGAGGAGGTGGAGAAAGCTATGCGTCAGTTGTCGACAAGGGTGCTGGTGGGTCAAACTGATGGAAAACGCAAGGTGTACCCAGTGAACTACTTGGAGGACGATGCTGAGGAGGTGCACTTCACAGCCGATGCTGATGGCTGGGATGAAGACCAAGCCATTGTCTATCTGGCTGAACAAGGAGATGAAGAAGCCCAGTTGACCAAAGACTTCGAGGACCAGCTGATCGAAGTATGCCAGGAGAACCAAGACCTTGCGATGTGCTACAACTCGTATGCCGAGGCAAGGGCCAAGATTCGAGACCGTCTTCGCCATCGTGGATTTTGGCCAGCCACAGGTGGAAAAGGACGTGGGAAGTCAGGGAAAAAGGGAGGAAAACCAGACATGGGACGGTTTCCGAAAAAGAAGGAAAGTTTGGCAGAGCGCATTGCAGCGTCAAACTGCCGGCGCTGTGGCCAGCGAGGCCACTGGAAGTGGGAATGCCCGCAGAAAGAGGGGACGAAGGAGGACGTGAACTTGGCTGAGGACACAACGTTCTCTGTGAATGACCCGGAGATCTTAGATGAACTTCCAGAAGGTCTGCGTGGGTCGAACACCATTGCAGAGCTGTACCTGAACATGACCAACCAGGACATCCAGGGTTCCGTGTTCTCTCCTGCCGGAATTGGTTTCAATTCCCAAGTTAATGAAGAATTCATTGAAACAGTTTTGGTTTGTTCTCTGGAAAGACAAAATGTCAAGGGTCACTGTCTCGGTAGGGCACTCATGGGGGCAATGTCCAGGAGGGTTGATGGTGAGAGGAAACTTAGGAGTGTATCTCAGGCCACAGGGTGCCCAGGGATAATCGACACTGGTGCCAGCAAGACAGTGATCGGGCAGAGAAAAATCAAGGCGCTTGTCGAAAGCATGCCACTTGAGATTCAAAAACAAATGAATTGGAAAAAGTCTGAAACCATGTTCAGGTTTGGGAACAATGCTGTTTTACCAAGTGTTGGAGCTTTGTATTTACCTTTTGGTAAGCGTTGGATGCGGATTGAGGTTGTTGAAGGTGATACTCCTTTTTTGCTGTCCAATTCATTTCTTCGGTCAATTGATGCTGATGTGTGCATCCGAAACTCATCACTCCGCTTGAATCAACTAGGCATTGAGGTCCCATCGATAGTCAATCAAAAGGGTCTGTTTATGGTGCAATTGGCGGAAGTGATTTCAGCTTTCAGTCGTGAGCACATGACACAAACTTGTGAAGTAGTGACCAATGTAATCACTGAACAACAGCCGCAGCAGAAGCCAGAGAACATCCGGACAGCAGCTGAAGTGGCTCAATCAACCTTTTCGAGCTCTCGAACGTGCAACGTTGGTGACAACTGCGTCCAAGTTCTCCATGGCGAACATGAAGGAGAAGGCAGCCTATGCGTCAGCCTTGGATCTGCCACTTCCGTTTCCGGAAGACCCAGAGATGACCTATATGACGGCCAAGGTGGAGGAGAAGGTGTTCCGGCCACCAGGTGTGGTCAATCTCCGTCAATGGGGCCAGATGACTTTGGCGGAGGGAAAACACAAAGGGAAGACCTTTGCCGAGGTGATCAATGGAGACCGGGAATATGCCAGCTGGATGAAGAAACATCCAAAGCTCTCCAGCGACTGGGCGACCTCGTTTCAGAACTACATCAAGGCTTGGGATCAAACGCATCTGGGAGTTCAAAATCCAAGGGATGCTTTGAAGCCGAAAGCATCTGCGCAGCCCAAGAAGATGCCCAGCCCCGAAGGATGGAGCGAGGAGGAGGCCGAGCTGGTATTGATCGAGGAGGGAATGGTTCCTCAATCGAGTGCCGGGAAAGTCATCAAAGCTTCCCTTCCGACACAGGGGAAAAGGCAGTTCAACAAGGACAACAAGGTGAGCATGGAGGCCGAGGTGGACCCGGAGATGGTGCAGAGCTTGCAGATGCAGATCGCTCTTCTTCAAGATCAATTGGCTCGCATCACCAGGAACACCAACTCCTGAGCCGAGAGGCGAACGATACCATGATGAGTCAGATGACTTCAGCATCATGTGACGTTGGCTCAACGATGTCGCAAAGTAGGTCACCAGTTAGTCAAAGTGGACATGAGATACTTTGTCACTTGGAAACCTTGTCCAGACAAATCGAAGCTGACTTGAAAGAAATCATGATGATGACATCTGAGCAAATGTCGACACGTGTAGCACCACGAGCGCAAGATCGCAAGACCCATTTGGACCTCTTGGAAATTTACTGTGAAGAGGACTCAAATCTTACATCGGTTTTCACTTCGCTGGGAATGAAAGCCAAGAGGTTCACGAGAAAGGATGGCGATCTAAGTACCCAAGCAGGGCAAGAGAAACTCTGGCGGATGATCGAAGAGGAGCAACCATTACACATATGGGTGGCTCCAGAGTGCAAGTTCTGGGGAAACTTCAGCAGGTGGAACAGTGGCCGAAGGCCAACTAAAGGTGCCCCCTGGTAACAACTATCTAAGAAAGAGAACAGTTGTGCTCACGACATCCAAAGAGTTTCACATCTTGCTCGATGCGAGATATTGCCGGAAAGGTCATGAGCATCGACCTATTCTTGGCCAAGCGTATATCAATGGTCGCTGGCAAAATCTGTCAGCCTTTGCTGCGAAGTACTCCAAAGGTTTTGCTAAAAATGTTGCCTATGCAATTGCCACCAGTAAGCAGCTAGGGGAATATCCAGTAACGTTGGAAGAGCTGTTGGTGCCATGCTTTGGAGTACGATCAGCAGAACAGCAGGAAATGGCAGAACAGATTGTCAAGCGGCGTAAGTACAGCCACAAGCAGGGCCCTCGACCTGGTGAAGAAGAAGGACCGGCAATACCATCAAATCTGAGGTATGGCCCTGCATCAACATGGAGAAGTATTTTCAAGACTGTTGGATTACAGGCACCAAGGGTTGGAACAGTTGTAGTCGATCCTGGTAGTGTTTTGTTTCAACAAGTAGCTCAACAAGTGAATCAATTTCGTACTCTTCATGTTGAAATTTGTCGGGGAACTGACCGGTATAGACCACCAAAAGCAGGCATTGACATTTCACCATTAAAGTACAGACTGACGGTCATCCTCAACCGGGAGTCAGGGGAAGTTGAAATACTGGGAAACCCCGAAGAATGGAAGACCCTATCCAAGAGACGACAGATTCGAAGGGCCAAACCAGCTAGGGTGTGTATAACCATTTTTGGGGACGATGGGGCTGAGAACATTCCTCTGGGGAAGAACCTGGCTGAGGGTGACGGGAAGTCTGGGAACGTGGACAAAAGTCCTGCAATGGTTCCCTCCGGCATTGTGGCTGAACCCGATATGGACCAAATGAAACCCATGGAGGAACATGACGAAAGCATAGAGAAACCTGAAAACCTGATTGTAGGTCATCCCCCGAAGAATATACCTACTCATGGGCCAAGGTTCCTATCTTTGTCACGGGAAGATCAACAGTGGCTGAGGAGTACTCATCACAAAATGGGACACCCTGATCCAGAAAAAATTGCAAGGTTTCTCAAATCCACGCATGCTTCCCCCGATATCATTGCAGGATCACTTGATTTTCAGTGTGATGCATGTGTTGAATCCCACAAAGGATTCCAGGCGACTAGGCAGGCTGCAATTCATGAAGACATAGGCTTCAATCAAGTGGTTGGCATGGACATGGCATTCTGGACAGGTAGTAAAGGGATGAGGTATGGTTTTCTACATGTTGTTGATGAGGGGACGTTGTTTCAACAGGCGATGCCATGTCAAGAAAGTGCAACTGCTCAGTTTCAGGCCTTCCAAAATTGCTGGCTCACATGGGCTGGACCCCCTAAAGAAATGTACTTTGATCCGGCATCGGAGTATGTATCTGATGAGTTTCTGACACGTTTGCAAGAAGAGGGGATCCAGGCCAGAGTAACTGCAAGAGACAGTCACTGGCAGCTTGGTCGCACGGAAGTACATGGGTCGATCCTGAAAAGGATGCTGGACCGCATGGACGTCGAGAACCCCGTGGATTCTCCAGAACAGTTTTATCAATGTTTGGTTCAGGCAGTGTGTGCAAAGAATTCTTTGTCCAGGGTGAAGGGATATACCCCTGAACAGGCAGTTTTGGGGATCTCACGTAGGCTACCTGCATCGATATCTTCGGATACCTCCCAAGCTAGTCATGCATTAGCTGAAGGAGAATCCATTGAAAGCGAGAGGTTTCGTGCAGCGCTTGATCGTCGGAGCCTGGCAAGAAAAGCTTTTATTGAGGCCGACAACTGCAACAGTTTGAGGCGTGCACTTCTGAGAAGAACCAGACCAATTCGAGAGCCATTTGAAGAAGGGGACTGGGTACTGTACTGGAGACGTAAAGGGGGAAACCTCCGAAGGGAAAGGGGTAGGTGGCATGGGCCTGCCAGGGTAGTTCAAGTAGAGGGGAAAAGAATTGTTTGGCTGGTTCATGCACATCAACTGGTGCGAGCAAGCCCGGAACAACTCCGTCCAGCGTCTTTGCGGGAGTGGAAAGCTGTACAAAGCTCTGAAGAAGCCATGGTGCCAGTGAAATCATGGCTACAGCAAATCCAGGCTCAAGATTTTTTCAATCTGGAGTCCGAAGAAATTCCAGAGGAAGGTGATATTTCCATGGAGCCTGATCCGGTGACAGAACATGGGACCCCAGAATCATCGGGATATGAACCCTCAATTGGTGAACCAGAAAGAGAAGTAACAGGGGATGGTCAAAGTAATGTTCCCGGAGATTTGGGGGGGTTAGGTGTTCCAGTACCGGAGGATGATGAAGAGGATTTGCTATTTGGGGACACTGTAGAGTTTTGGCACCCTGACCCAACGAAAATGTGGGAAATTGACATCACACCCCCAAGTTGTGATCCAAGTTGGTCCTGGGATAATCCTGAAGAAATTATTTGTGTAGCAACCGAAGTGAGGAAAAAGAGGGTTGAGGTGTCATTGAAAGATTTGGGAGAAGCGGACCAACTCAGATTCGCAGCTGCAAAAGATAAGGAAATTCGTGCATGGTTGCATCATCGAACGGTGCAAAAGGTCTCCAAGGGTCGAATTCCCGAACATGCTGTCATGCGATGCAGATGGCTGCTCACATGGAAAGGGGCTAATGGGGATGAACCACCTGGGGAATTGGCATTTAATGGGAAGAAAGCAAAGGCCAGGTTGGTGATCATTGGGTATGAAGATCCTGATTTATCCACTATCAAGAATGATAGTCCCACGCTCTCCAAGGATGGGAGACAAATGGTCCTTCAACAAGTGAGCAGCCATAATTGGCCTTTGATTTCGTTTGACATCAGCACAGCGTTCCTGCATGGAAAAGGGGACGGCCGAAATTTGGGGATTCATCCACCTCCTGAAATCAAGGAAGCTCTCTCTATGGATGATTCAGACCAGTGTGCATTAAATGGTGGGGCATACGGAAGGGTGGATGCTCCCTATCTTTGGTTTTGTGAACTGAGAGATGAGCTTCTGAAACAGAACTGTCGTCAATGTCCGTTGGATCCATGCGTTTTCACTTTTGGAAAGACTGGACCTGATGGCAAACATGTGCCACTGGGATGTCTCGGGATCCATGTTGATGACGGAATAGGAGGAGGGACCCCTGAATTTATGGAGATGTTGAAACGGGTAGAGAAAAGATTTAAGTTTGGGTCTTTTGAGTCCGGGGAATTTAAATATACAGGGATCCACTTCAAACAATGGGATGATGGGAGCATTGAGTATGATCAAAGGGAATATCTTGAGAGGGTTGAGCCAATTTCGATTCCTAGGGAACGTAAAGGGAACCCCGATAGTCCAGTGGATGAGAAAGAAAGACATGCTCTCAGAAGTCTCATAGGAGCCCTGCAGTATGCTGGTGTTCACACCAGACCGGACCTGTGTGCAAAAATCGGCGAAGTCCAGGCTTCGGTAACCAAGGCAACAGTGGCCGATCTTGTGCAGTGCAATAAGATCCTTCATGAAGCCAAAAGCCACCCGGTTTCGTTGATGGTGCTCCCAATAGAGCCAAAACAGGTAACCTTTTGTGCCTTCTCAGATGCCAGCTTCCTTTCGAGCAAGCATAGCACAGCTCATCAGGGAACTTTGGTTTTTACAACAACCGCTGAAATTTTGGAGAATAAGAAAGCTGTTGTTGCACCCATTGCTTGGTCGAGTAAGAAGGTGCCTCGTGTTGTCCGCAGCACACTGAGTGCTGAAGCAGCCGCTCTTAGCAACACGGTTGACAGGTTGCTATGGCTGAGAATGCTGTGGGCCTGGGTCGAAGACCCGGAATGTGAATGGGGCAGTCCGGAAGAAGTTTTGGGAGGGGAGAACAAAGCAGCTGTTGTCACTGATTGTAGGTCCATGTTTGACATCTTGACACGGACAGCAGTTCCCAGCTGTACAGAGCATCGAACAACCATCGAGTGTCTTCTCATCCGTGAACGACTCAAATCCAATTGTGATGTCAGGTGGGTTACTAGTCAAGCCATGTTGGCGGACTGTTTGACGAAGACAATGGATTCCTCAGTTTTGCGTGAGTGTTTAAGGACTGGTCGTTATTCGCTGTTTGATGAGGGTTTGGTGTTGAAACAACGTGCGGATGGGAGACAACGACTGAAATGGATCAAAGAACAGACGCCAACTGAAGAACAGTCTGATCCAGTTTTGACTGAAAATGAGCAGTCGGCGATGGTTTCAGAACATTTTGAATCTCAAGATTTTTGGAAGGTCGGACCAGGTGATCAGGTGCGTAGAATCCACGTGCGGCCGAGAACTAGGAGATTTGTACCTATTGGGGTTACTGGGTGCCCTTGTGATCTTAGGGATCTATCTGCTTGTCGGGAAACCCGAGTATCGAATGGTAGGATTGAAAAGGACTTCTGGCCTGGAACACGTGGTGCAGCACCAATGAACACGTTATGGACCGGCGAAACCATCTTTTTCAGGAAGAAGGAAAGAGAGAGTGTTCATGCAAAGAATAAGGTGTGTGAAACTTCCTAGTTTCCTGATTCAGGTGGTGCCTGTTGCATTTTCCCGAAATGATCGGGCAATCCTCCGCCGCATCTCAAGGGCGGGAGGGAGCGGAGTCAATGGCAGGTAAGGGAGAGAAACAGTGTCAGAGGGGCTGACATTCGCAATATATATATATAGATATACATATATATATATGTATATATATATATATATTTATATCTGTATATACTGTATATATATATATATGTATATATATATATACACATATACATATTCCTTTTTTTCACAGACACACACACATATATATATATAGATATATATATATATAGATATATATATATATATGTATATATATATATAGATATATATATATGTATATATATATATACACACATTTTTTTTGCACATGCATACATATATACATTATATTTATATATATATATATGGCAAAATTCACTTTGGCGACCCGCAGCTGACAACAGCTTTGTTGTGCTAGAGGGAAAACACAAACATATATATATATATACATTGTCTTCTCAGAGTAGACATATGGAATCGTCAGAAAATCCTCACTAAAATGGGAAGGTGTTTGAGACCTCCATACTTTACCTACTATCTTCATTTTTTTTCCGGGTAAACATGTGTTTCTTTTGGGTAAAACGTTTTGTTTGGGGCACCTATCAGCCCCTTTTTGTGGATCTGTTGAGTCGGCTGCGGCCGTGCGGCCCATCGTTAAACATTTACATAGATGGATCTTGATCTAGTGACTTTACACACAGATATACTTATATATTGACTTTAAATATGGTTTTGCATCTGTAAAGTGTGTATAGTGCGACATGTACTTCCCATACCAGGTCATCTCTATCCATCCTCAGTGAAACACATTCCCTGGCGATCCTAAACTCACCTGGTAGGCTGAACCAAGTGTTCAACGTGACAACTCCAGCGCCAGAGAGCCTGTTGGAGATTGAGGTGGGTCGGATGGGATGGCTAGCCATCAATGTGGCTGTTTCCTAAAGGGAATGCCCCAACACGGCGGTTTGAATAGGACAACGGTTGTAATCATCAACCACAGACAAACCCAAATCGTCCAAAATCAGATTATGTAAGTGTTGAAACAATCATTGACAAACTGGATGTTTGCAATTTAGTATTGAAACAAACATGGGTTCAGGGTACTGGTACCGTCCATTTGAAAGGAAATACCCGTAAACCCCCGTTTTGGAGCACCATTTGTAGGGACAATTTGCTACAGATGCCCAATTCTGTTTTGTTTTTTGATGTTTTCGTAATCTGTTGTTGATTAGATCAACGTTTTTGATGCGTGTGACATGTTACAATCTCTATTTTTTCAAACCAGTTGGGTAAATCCCAATTTTTGGTTCAACATAGTTAAGTCCTTTTTGTCACATTGAATCCACTTTTGCTGATTCAAACACGATTTTTGTTCGTTACTGTGATATACAATTCTTCGTGAAACCCCCGTTTTGTTCATACCCAGAGTCAATGGATCAATGGATGACTTTAATTGAATCTAAGGAAGCATTGCAGGAAACCCTTGTTTTTTAGTCCCCAAGTTTTGGAGTAAAACTCTGTTATTTTCCCCTTGATGAGTTGAGATGATTCTTAGAACTAAAACTGGTGATGGTTGAGACGAAACATGCGAACCCATCCATTTTTTTTGCCCGTCAAAAACTGGTATTTTTATCATTACATAGTTAAGTGGGTTTATTTGCAAGCCAGTAGACATCCCTGGTTTGAATAACCCCGTTAAGTAAAGACATATAAACCATAAACTTGCCATAAACCCTACAAGGTGAGACCCCTGTTTGATACCTAATTTGACGCACATAACTTTGGTTTTTGGGGAATATAAGTACAATACAGCATTTATGTGGTGAAACTAAACCAAAAAACATCACTGGAGAGCCTGAGTTTGTATGGAAAACCATCATGTTTCTGGATATAGGATTTAGATAAAACTGGGAAATCACAATGTTTATGGATGTTCATAGGATTTAGATCAAACTATATATATACATATACATACATGTAAAACCATACAGTAAACCTTACAAGGTGGTGCCTCAGTTCGGAATCGGGCAGTTTGTGAACATAACTCCAACTTTACTTGGGGTTGATGATGTAGATTAGATATATCTATACTACCCTCAGGTAATCAAACATGACCATGGAAAACCCACCATTTAGTTCGATGATTCTTCCTCATTTTGCCATTAACGCCTCCATTTTTCCTAAAACAGTGTGTCCACACTGAGGGGTTCTTACTGCAAGGGCCAAGGCCGCTGCTTGATCAGGGTGCTCCATCTGTTTTCCGTTTTTTTTCCTGTAAATTCTCGCATGAAATTGCTCTTGTGAGCTGTCCATGTGCATTTCGACTGCGCAGGCTGGCGGAAAGTGTGGGCCGTGGTCTTGGTTTGTGGCATTTTAACCTGAGAATTCTCGCATAAAATGGCTCTTGTGACACGACTGCGCAGGCTTGCAAGAAACGTCTTGGCCTACGGCATTTTACCTGAGAATTTTCGCATAAAATGGTTCTTGCGGCATGTCCAAGTGCATTTTGACGGCGTGGGCTCGCACAAAACGTAGGCCTAAGTCTTGGTCGTACTTGAAAAGAAAGCGTGCCGCGGTTCCGCACTTGGCGAGTTGCATGCATGGATCTTCATCACCATATTAACACACCGCGCCATTTTCCATGCTGTTTGTTGCTCGACATATTAGATTTGCCTCTGTATCCCTTCATTTCCATTCTTGAAAGTCGACATGTCCACAAAGTTGTTTCCAGTATGAGCGCTTTCCCACACTGTTTGGGGCCTCTTGCCGGTGTAATTCCAATTTTTCCCCGTGTTCTCTAATGTTTTCCTATGATTTCCCCACAATCAATGAGGAGATTTCCACCAGGTCTGGAGCAGCGGCGGCCGCAGCTTGAACGACGGCGTCAAGTCGCGCAGCGCCGACGCGGCGCCAGCCTCAGAGGGAGGAAGATTTGGAAGATCAGAGCGGCGAATTGGAAAACAACCGGATACAATATATATGTTCATATATATACATATATATATATATGATTTTAATATTCTTTAGATACATATATTAATAATAATACCAATAAATCAAATGATAATAAAAATTATTATCTATATATATATGTATATCTGTGTGTAATCAATGACAATGTGAATATAAAGGACTTGATCAATAAGAGTATGGATATGGGGAATCAAAGAAACATAGGTGATTTTTCACTGGCAATAGATTGGGGATTCTTCCACGTGAAACACGGGGATTTAATGCTGTGCATCCCCCACGATGTGGGTTGAATGGTTTCTGCACACAACCAACACTCATTTTATGGTTGGATATTCTTGGGTGGTTTTCCCCTTTTCCCCTCCCTGCCCAGTTGTTTAAGACGTGGAACGAGGCTTCCTGGGAATCTGCCTGTCTGCAGATCCTTTGCTTCTGTGGCGGCATGGAGTGCAGGACAGAACTCCTATTGAGGATCATTATCGACGAACTGGGGCCCATGAAGCAGCCACTATTGTCACTATCTTTGGGGATCTTCCAAGAGGCTTTTGGACGTGTTACAACTTGGCAAGCACTGAGGCTCTTGTCTGAACAGCTTTGAGGGGGACACATTGCATCATCTCTTTCTTGGGACCAACCACACCCAGCAAAACTTGCAGTATCTGATCCTAGGTATGTTCGAAGTTGCACCCAATTAATCCAATCGATATTCATTTGAAGACCACATTCTTGTTGGTGTTGTATAGCCACCTTATTAATGGTAGAAATTGCCTATTTCATCTAGTTATTCGCCACTTGCTAATTAGATTTTCGTGGTAGTTGGTCCAATCTGCCAATTTGTGCTGGATATATACGGGATAAACATGGATAAACCATTACAAATCCGATTTAACCCCCAGTATATATAGCCATTTTACATATTACTACAATACGTATTATAAGATACAACAAGAAATGATTTTTGGGATCATTCCCCCATACACTAACCATCTGATTTCAGTCAAAACTGTTATCCCTGGTCAAATCCACCGGAATCCCATTTTTCAAACATATGGGTATGGGTCAATACCTATTAATACCATTTTTAGTGGGATGAACATCCATTTACCAGCTATTTTGATGTTCACCAGGGGTACAAGGTTTTGACACACTGCCATATGTTGGTGTTAAATCATCATGGTATGCTTTGGATGGTTTTTTGGCCACTTATTTCCAGGACCGAAGCCGCCTGGACCGAGCTTGGTAGCTTCGTTCGGATGCTCAGTGATGGGGGGTGAATGGGGCCTGGTGAAGATGGCGTTGAGTAGTGAACATGACGGAATCAAGCAGGACAAATTGGGATTTTTACCAAACAAGGCTTTTACAAGGAAACCATGGTTTTCTTTTTCGGAAAGAATTGGGATTTTTGCAAAAACAATATAGCTTTTTACAGGAAATATGTTTGATTTTACCAGCACATACAAGGGGATTTAATGCCATTTGACCATCGAAAATAAGAATTGAACCAGGAAAGAATGGGATGAACCATCGAAAATTTGATGGGCCGAAATAGGGATTGAACCATCAAGAACGTGGTTTAAACTTTAAACCAGGAAAGTCGGTGATCACTTAACAACCAAAAAGAACATGATGTGGTAAACCCAAGAATAAACCTAGAGTTTGGGGATGGTGTATACAGTCCATTATTATTAATTTAGATATGGTTTATTATTGGGTTTACCACATGAATCAAAGAGATCGAAAAACAGCCAACAGTCAAAAGAAAGTAGGGTGATGTTTGTGGATCTTGATCATTTTGGGATCAGGTTTGGTCAAAATCCAAAATATCATCTGACTCACGGACTGCACATGGGGATTGAATGGGAAGGAACCAGACAAATAGGGATCCCTTATTAAAAAGGGGATGTTTCTAATAGGAATGGGGAAGAATGGGCAGAGAGCCAAGAAGAATTCATGGAACATGACAACTTGTGGAGATTTACCCAACCAACCATGCCACGACAGATTTCAAGCGCATCGTTTTACCACAGGATCAGACAAGCCGAGCAGTGGGCAGACTTCACTCGTATACTTTTCTGGTCATTGTACTTGGCTAGATGGGAATTCCCACTAAAAGGAGGTTTCCTAAGCCACAGAGCTACCCTCAGGTCTCATCCATTGATGGATTGTCCATGATTTTTTCAACCATCCAGCTATTGGGTAGGTTGATGGAACCCCCCCAGAAAAATGGAGGTTGAAAAAAGGGACAAGAAGATTCCAACGTGGGTTTGGCTCAAAATTTTGGACCACTATTGTGGGATGGTGAACTAACCAGTGGTGCTTTTTGCGTGGCGCTTGAACTCCAATTTTGTTGATGAATTTCCAAAATCCTATTGGCACAAAACCCCATGTTGGTAAAACCCCCAACTGTCTTGCATTCCATTCATGTGTTTTTTTGTTGGTGAAGATGCTACCAATTTTCCATATTAAAAAAAACCTGTTGGCCAGGAATCTGGTTCCTTCGACTCCTCGTGGTTCGGGGCGCTCAGCTGAACCGACTTCACTGGCGCTGGGTGAATGGTTGGTTTTGCATGACATGAATTTACTGCTCTTCGTACAGCTAGAAATGGCATTTTTTTGTGGGTTTTCAAAGTTTTTGTGGTTCATTTGGAGTGAAATATGTCAAGTCAATATATAATTATATAAATACATATATATATATATATAGGTATGTATGTATATGAGATATCCCCAGCTGGATCGAAAAACAAAGCCACTGCATGGTTGGCTGCTTCAAATCTGCGTCCATATGTCACATTATGTCGTCTCTATCAGGATCAACATGTAAAGCCCTCCCTCAAGCCAGCGATTTCGGGCATGTAAAGCTGACCTCTGCAGAAAGGTCCATCAATACCACTGGCAACGTGTCCAACTTCACCAATACCACGACAAGCAGTCTAGGCAGGGGGCGCTGTAGATGGTGGTGTTCCCCGCGA